GAGCAAACAAGTAAACACAGTAAATAAAATAAACCAAATGAATCTCAACAAACAGATAGCATCACCGCTCCAGACCGCTGCTGCAGTGTGAAACAGTCACAGGAGTCTCGGCAGAAAAACAACATCTAATCAGTGCTGTGACACACACACTCACACACACACACACACACACACACACACACACACACACACACACACATTCCACATCATGACACACATGCACATGGACACACTCAGCCTGAGGTCCGACCCCACCTGAGCTGGATCTGTGTCTCAACAGCACAATCACACTGGAATGAGAACCAATAACAGCTTTTTACCCTCCATACACACACACACACACACACACACACACACACACACACACACACTAACATAGAGCTTTACATCAGTAAGAATGAAAAGAACAATAAAATCTCCGGATATGAAAAGCTCCTCCGGCAAGAATGCAGGGCTGAGGTATAAGATGCTCCTGGTGTGTAAGTGTGTGTGTGTGTGTGTGTGTGTGTGTGTGTGTGTGTGTGTGTGTGTGCCCTTTAAGGATAGACGTCTGAAGATAAAAGACCACATAAATCTCTCCTCTCTGTGTTGTTCGGAGAATTTTGATTGAGTGTCTGAATGTGAGGCCGTAGGCAGAGTTCAGCGGGTATGTCTGTAAAAACTGAGACACGCTCAGAAATAAGAAAGTTCGTGTGCAGGTCCTTAAGGAGATTTGAAACTTAACTAAATAACCAAAAACAAAACCTCAGAGAAAACTTATTTTACATTTGAACTAAAAAAACTCACCATTAGGGCGCTGATAGTCTAGTGGTTTAAGTGCCCCAAGTACAGAGGTTGTGGTTCTCGTCTTGGTAGTTGCTGTTTTGACTTCTGGCTGCCACCCTTTGCTGTATACCCACCCCCCAATCCAAGAAGAATAGCAAAATGTTTCCATCGTGCTCAAAATAATTTTTATTTATGATGTCTTCCATGGTAAAAAACGGAAAAAAAATGGAGGATCATGTCATTCAACACAGCAGCCTCTTGTCCTTGCAAACCACTCTGGAGCTTCACCCATGAGGGGCAAGGGAGTGTTTGCTCTCAGAAAATGACCACAAAATATTGCTGTGTATCCTCATTTCTGCACAGTTTACCTTTGATTTGAGATTAATGTAAATGGGTTGCAAAATTCAAACTGGGATAAAAGGCTCAATACAGAATATGCTACCTTAAGTTACCAACAGAAATTCAACCCAACACACAGAGCATTCAAAGCACTTTGTGTTGGGTTGGGTGCCAATGGCATTGGCATTTTCCTTCTCCGAAAGCTTCTTTTTGAAAATTCAGCTTCCTGGACTTCAACACACACACACAAAAAAGGATTTTTGCTCTTTTTGTCCCCGGCCAGATTTGACATAAATCATACGCATGAAGCTTCAGTTCAGAGGTCATAGAACAACATCATTCAGCTCTCTATGGAGACATTTTCCCATGAGCTACTTCTAAGATTTTTTTTTACATTTCATGTAGGAGGACAGGAAAGAAAGTTGGACGAAAACGCTGGAGAAAAAAATTCTGGTCTGTTGTTGGACAGCTCTGACATGTGCTCTGCAGCAGCTCACATGGATTTATTTTTAGGTGAGTATGCAAAGAAAACGTTGAGATGTAGAACTGCTGGTACTGTAGTGTTGACTCTACCTCCCAGCATGCTTCATTCAAGCCTGTATTCTGATGCTGTAATACTGTTCTGTGTCATGAAAGAGAAGGCCTTATAGGATGACACTGGGCTGCTGTAGAAACACCTATTGTTTGAATGTCTCGGTTTTTGTAATGAGGTGAACCATGACTGAGGGTGTTTGTGCAGCGACCAGCAGCACACTGTTCCTGTCAATGCTGATGATCCCTGACACTCCCACAGAGCTGAACATTTCTGTTTGTCCCTGCAGCGTGAGAGCTTTGACTTGATTGAGGTTATTTTAATACATAAATGAAAAACTGTTGTGTATGTACATGGATAGAGTTGTCCTGGCCAGTTTTTATCCATCTGGTCTACATGGCCATCAGCTGTTGACTTTAAACATACTGTATTTCAGTCTTTTGAACCAGGGGCGTTTCTAAAGTTGGTCTGGGGTGGCATTGGCCCGCTAATCTCTGGCCACCCCATTTGTGTTGATATACTTTATTGACCTGAATATGAAACAGTTTTTTTAAACACACATGGAAAAAGTGGGATCGTACACATTTGTGGTTTTGAAATCAGTAGACTTTGGGTTTAATTAAGTTAGTGCCCCAAACGTCCTGAGCAGTCTCCCGCCCACTGAAAAGGCAGGTATCTTTTAGGTTAAGGTCATAAAACCTAAGGAAGAATAGGAGTAGAGGGGGGCCGAGCTGTAATGTCAATCATCTGAAAGGTACAGAGATAAGTTTTGCATATTTTCAATGACGGTCATACAACCAGTTTGCCTCTTGCTTTCATGTTTGTTGATTGTTTTGGTATATGATGTAATAAATAGAAACAAGCTGAAAGGGGGGATACTGCCACCTGGCGTGGTGGAGGCAGACAGCAGGTACTCAATTAATCTGTTCTAGCCTGGTGCTTGCATACTGGAACTGGGACTGTCACCTAATCCTGCTATAACCACACTTGGCTGTGCATGTAAATGAACTAAAAGTGTGAAACTGGCCCAACCAGATCCATCAGTACTATGCATAAAAAGCATGTTTGATCCAAGTCCTAGTTTGTGTTGCAGGTAATGTACGAGTACAGACGAGCCATCAACCTCCATTATTCACCTGCACCACCATCATGCACAACAAAACAAACTTGGACTAAAGCTAAATGTTTTGAAAGTAGTGCAGACACTTATTTTTAAGCTTCTTGAAGCTGCTTTCAAACTGCTTTCTGGTCCATGGTAGATGAAGAACCATAGGGAACCCTTGTGATGAAATATGGCAAACATGAGCAGTCTGAGATTGACATTAATTAGCAGAAATAAACCCACAAAGTTAAAAAGAGAGGTGCATATTGTTTGGTACCCTCACTCTGGCTAATGGACACTGTAACGCATGTCTTATGTTACAATTACGTCCTATAATTAAACAATTTAAACATGTAGAGGAGAGAGAGATTTCTGGTCTGTCCTGCTCTTGTTGATGTGAGGGTAAAAGTGTGCTGATTTAGTCTTCTACACACCACAAAGCACAAGTGTGTGTGTATGTGTGTGTGCGTGATTCAATCTGGTTTTGTCACTCTGAGGAAGTGACACAGCTGCTAAGGTCAGCAGGATACAGAGAAGGAAGGAGAGAGCGGGTCGTTGTCATGGCGCCCAGCTTAACAATGGAGTGGGGTCGAAAAGGAGACACCATTGCATGGTTTAGACCCTTGGAAGAAAAAACACCTCATACACTACACACTCAGACACACACTCACCGATGAACAATACACCCTTCAGTAATGCGACACACTGGATAAAGTCACACCTGACATTCAGGACTCACCCTGAGCTCTAACTCCATCTAACTCAGAGTCTTTGTTGGTGAAACGCACAAATCACAACACACCAACACACACCTCTGACACCCCCGACTCTGCTTCTCACTCTCCGTCACGTTCATAACAACATTTATAATCATCTACATGACAATTTGTGTGGGGCTCCATAGTGAGGCATGGGGGTGACAGGGGTTAGCGCTGAAGGGAAGCAGTGCATGCTGGGATTGCGGCCTGCTGAGAGAGTGGCATTCTGGGAGGCGGTGTCCTGCGGGCAGGGCCTCTGGGGGATGCAGTATGGTTAATAGGCCTTTCATGGCCGGCCCACAAAGGCTTTTGTCCCGAGCTAATTCATCCAGCCCTGCGTGGAGAGATGGAGAGTGGGGAGGGGCAGCATGGAGGGGTTTTTGGGGTTCCCACTTTTTTATTCCTCTCTCCCTCCAGTTCTACTCTGCTGGGTGGCGCTAATGTGAGAGAGCAACATACAAACAGAGCCCCCGCCCGGTAGCAGCAACACCAAAACATTGGCAGAGATTCGCTGGCAAATTGCAGCACAACACTAGAAAACACCCACAATGCTTTAAGAGATTTAAAAAAACAAACAAATTCTGGATATGACTCGCAAAGTCCGGCATGAGGATGATTGATCACAGTATTCTTTGATTAATTGAAAATTGAATCCAAATCCATGAGTCAATGGGTCTGGTCTCACACTTTCACCAGAACAAGAGCAACAGGTGTCATCAAAAGCCAGGACTTGTCAGTGAGGGCAACCCCGCCATGTTGCAAGAACCCTTCAGGTACATCATGGTGGGAGTTCCTGTTTTCAGGGGGCGAAGACGCGGCCCACTTCCCCCCAACAGACCCCCACTATCAGGCCCTGTGATCTGAGAACAGTCAGTTATTAATGAACTGGACAGGACCGGCTCCACACGTTACAAAGTGTGCTGATTGAAGTGGAGAGGAGAATTCCTGAGTGAGCGCATGGGGGGGCTTGAGCTGTGATCGCTGTGGTATGAGAGTGTGTGTTAAAGTTTGTCTTGGTGTGTTAGTGTGTATGCTGCACAGTTCTGACTGGGCCCGTCCAGTTCACAACAACACAACACATCACAGCACAGCACTGCACAGCTGCACTGGAGGGCCTGCAGGCCTCAATGGACGGGGGTCAATACAAACTCTGTGGGGACTAACGCATACCAAATCAGGGGGAACAGAGCAGGAGGAGGGGGAGGGGGCGCACTTTTCTCCTCCGGGACAGCGTAGTTTTTTTTGGGAAATAAAATCTTAGTTTTTTAGGTCTTACACATCTACTTTTGCTCTCTAAATCCTCAAACTAGGTTGTTGTTTGAGCAAAACTTTAGAAAAAAAACCTCCTGTGCCGTGCGGACGACTCTGTAGTCTGGAGGAAAAGCGGTGCAATAGCAGCTCTTGGATTTTGGGAGCCAGTCCCTATTGTTCAAATCCCTCCTCCTGCTTGGGAAGTGGGAGGACCCGAAAAGGCGTCGCAAAAGGGAGAATTGTTTGAGAGCTCAGTCATCCAAAAACGGCCTTTCAATGTGAGAACTTGGGGAGCCGAAGAAAATGTCGGTGGCATCGCAGTAAATTACTAAAGCAGCGAGGCTTTAGAGGGAAAAGTTGAGTAAAAGTGTTGTTTTTTGGGACTAAAACTCTACGCCGCAGCGGGACGAAGAGCAGCTCGGTCGGTTTGAACGAGGTGTGAGCACCAAATACAGCAGTTTTGGTAAGTTTTATCCCCCATGCAGTCCATGTTTTTACGGTGTGAACGCTCCTTACAAACACTTCTTTCTTTTTTCGATCAACGTAGCAGTTTTGCTCTTTGTTTGCAGTCTGGTCTAACTCAATTGCAACTTTTTTTACGAGAAACTTTGATAGAAGTTGCCGGATAACTAGTTAATTCTGGTTTGTACTTAGCTACATTTACTTCGTTATGTCCATCGTATTCAAGCTTATAAAGCCACCAACAGACCTCAGATATCCCGCAGTTTATTCACTGAAATGGACGTGGTCGTCGTGTTTTTCTGCTTTAGACTAACCTTCTATAAGAAACGTTAACTTTGCTCTCGCGACGTAGCCTGTTGTTGATTGGATGAGCTCTGCGTCCATGTTTTCCAAAGTTTACCTCAATTTTCTGCCTCTATCTGTGGACTAATACGGAGCAATGCGTGCGTTTGACAAGAAACACGCCTTTTGTGACACGATGTGTGGATTTCTTGTTGTGTTTTTTGGCATACGTGTGATTATTTTAGAAAATACGTCTGCGTTTTTTAGGCCGCAGCCTATAGTCGCTGCTATAGGGTAACAGAAAACAGACATGGTGAGCCCTGCCAGATTTACCCCGTATTGTCATCAGGGGAGAGCAGGGGAACAGTGGATAACACAGGGAAGGAACAAAAATGACAATATTACATGATGTGGCGTAATCTTTTCAGACATTTAAGATCTTTTCCATCTGTTGAATGCACAAAACGCCTGGAATGAATTGAATTGTTTGTCTAGAGAGAACCATAACAACCCTACCTGAGGGCATTTCTATAGTCCCACTCCCCCACACCAAAGTCTGGTGTAAAAATAACCTAATTAAAGCCTCCCATAAAGTGACAGCTGCTCAGTGCAGCCAGGAATGCAGCATCAGGAGCCTCTGCAGATATCACCCTTTCTCTCACTCATTCACGTCTGATTTTAATGAGAAAATGTTTGTCTTAATCCCCATGTTGCTAATGAGCTGTTGGGCCGGGGGTGTCACTCACTGAGAAGGGGGACAGTGGAGGAGAGGAGGGGGGTATTAGGGACATGGAGGAGTGCCTGCAAGAACAGCCGCAGGGGCTCAAGTTTCCAACCCCAGGTGTCGTTTTTGTTGTTTGGATTACATTCTGCCTCCGCTGCCTCGCATGGAAGAACCAGTGACAGACATGGCATCAGACAAGAGGGCCTGATTGTTCCCCCTGAATCAATGTCACTTGGATTAAAAGTCGAAACGAATGGCCTGGCCTCCTCCAATTAGGTGCACGGCTTATAAGGGAATTAATTGGTCTCAGTAAGAAGGAGCCTCTTGTTGTTTGGTTGCAGGGATTGTTGTTGTTGTTGATCATCTCTGGCAGGCGGCTCCATCAAAGTTGGACTAATTGATTCCAGTCTGATTATCTGCTTGTTTCTCACACTGTTCGGCCCCTTTGATTACTGAGTCGGGGCCTTGGATCGGAAAACACCATTATGAGAGGACGTGAGCAATCTTGCGTTTCATATCACAGAGTAGTTAATTGTCAGGCAGCTACAGCAACTCACTTTTTCTAAATCCTACGGCCGTACTGTGCAATATACAGTGAAAAACGCAGCAGTCTAGACACAATTCATCAGGTACCACTACTTCAAATCCCCAGTGGAGAGCTCATACTAATATGATTTTAAATCTGGAATACTGAGTTCTTTCTCTGGTCATTTCTATCAATTTTGAAGCAAAAGTACATGGTTTTATTTTTGTTATCAAAACTGTGAAATACTTGACATTTTAAGGCTATAGGCAAATTTCAATATGCCGTCCTCTGGTCTCGTAACTAGTGTTAATAAAGGGCTAATTTCATGCCAGTAAAGTGCTCTAAACTATCACTAAGTTTCTTGATGAGCATAATGACACAATGTTTTTTCTTACTCAGGGCATTTTGATGAATGAAACTCTTCCAGTGTGCAGCTCCAAACCAAAACAACGTAGAAGAGGAGCAAATTGTGCCCTTAAGGTGTCCGTAAAGATCCACAAACTAACTGCACACAGGAAACTTATTTTGTCGTCTGCGGTTGCGTGATATGTGTCAGAATTTAGGGGCCACATATTTTTGTTGTCCTGTTACCACCAGCTGGATTTTTTTACAGTGTAGCTGGAACCTAAAATCACATTCGATTGATCTTGGTTACCTGCCAAACAGACGCGTTGTGGGGACAAAAGCTGCCAGTTTTCCACTATTTGCCTGCAAGTACGAAGATAGTTTTCTTCCAGAGTGTAGGAGCTGAGTTTTCATGTGTGTTAAAAGCTTTTAAAGGAAAGTTACTGTGTGGATTTAGGTTCGAAGCCAGCTGCAGTAAGCTGTCTTGCTCATATTTTACAGCCAAACTGAGCTGTGATGTCAGATATGAATGGAAGGATACAGGCCTGTGGTGTTTTCACATCTGGATATAAAGCAGAGTCTTAAGTTGGAGATTGGTTTAAAGATACACTTCGTAGATAACAAACATCCGTCAGTTCCTTGAGGACTGCTCTAACTGCGCTGATTTTGAGTTTTTGCGGCCCTGAGCTTTGACTAGGTTTCCCAAAAAGCAGCATTGTTATTGTAAGGGGTGTAACATTGGAGTTAATCGACAAAAGAGAAAAAAAACCTCCTTCCTGAGGGCATGCTTTCATCTGTATGACAGCGGGTACATTCATGCAGTCATAACAGCCTGCAGGCAGAATCTAGGGGCCTTTTTCTACACATATGTGTGCTTGAGTGATAGCTCCTGTCCAATCGGGATTATCTCTTTGCACTGGAATGTGTTGCTTGTCACCTGCACGGTCATTTAGAGATTACAGCATTAGAAGGAATGGAGTATTTTGAGCTAAATAACTTCAGCACAAGTTTTTGCATGAGCAAGCAAATTTGCCAAATAAGCCTGCTTCATTTCCCCGGACGTTATTGGCTCGTTGACATACTGCGCATTAGTCCTCCAGTGCTGAGAGATTGGAGATTCGGGCTCAGGGCTCGCGCCCCCAGGAGGGTTTCTGTGTCCAGCCAGACATTGGATAAGCTGAGAGGGACACCTGGAGCGGCAGGTGGCCGGGGTCCAGGCCCCTCCCCTGGGGCTGCATACCTCTGTCCTCCTGATCCTCCCTGTCAGCCAGGACCACAGAGAGCGAAAGACTGTGAGGGGGGAGGAATGTGAGGGGGGGGGGAGTGAAGGAGAAAGTTCTGACAGAAGGTTGGAGGGTCTGATTAAACAGGCCGCCATCAAAAAGAGTGAGATCATTGAGGCTAGGACGAGGAAAGAGGTTCTGAAGGAAGGAGGGAGCGAAAAGGGAGCATCTTGACTTTTAGATTAATATTCAATGGCCATATTTGAATGCCCGTATTGATGATATCTGTATCATTAACATAATCACCTATTCATATGTTGTCTTTTGAGCCTAATAAAGATTATCCAAAGCCTCCTAACTAGTTGAGCCGATTGTTCCACTACTTAAAGTCAAAATTAAGAAGCCCTTGATTGGATAATGAAGTTACCCAGGCCACACTCTCGCTCATTCTCTCGCTCGCTCTCTTACATGCAAACACAAACACACACATTGTCAGGCCGGTGTGAGTGCTGTTAAGATCATTGATCAACTCCAGACTCGAGAAGAAAGCAGCAAGTGTGTGTAGACAAACAAGCCCTGTGTGTGCAAAGCAGATATTTGGACAAAGATTAGGGGGTGTTATTACGAGCCAAGAGCAACCCAGACGCTCTAATAGATCACTCACACACAGGCTGGAGATTGCACTCTGACTGGAGCTGAATTAAAGTCACTTTCCTCAAAAATTGGTCTCATTTTGGCTCGCTTCTGTGGACTTCTAAGGTCTTTGAGCGCACTTGAATTCCTTTTATGTGCTGTATTAATGACAGAGCGGTGTATTCCCCGTTTTGAGCATGTGCAAACGGAACAATAAAAAGCGCCAGAAAGACAAAAACGTAAAGGAATCTGGCTCGTGTTCCAGGGCTTTAACCAATAATCAGATTGAAAGTGTTGCCCCAGAGAGAAGAAAGTCATCATTGAAGAATGTCAAACTGGCAGGAGAAGACATGATACAACAGAATAAATCACCGGGCTCCAGATTAGTTCGTTATTGGGCCCCTGAGGTTATCACAGCTGGAATTTTCCATTGACAGCCCTCTTCTGTACTCTGTCCAAATCGCGTGTAAGTAAGTAAGTAAGTGTGTGTGAGGTTTTATTTAAAATTTCAGAGTCCCCCCCCATTCCTGAGGATAGTGCACATCTGAGACTGTGAGTGACGGGACAAATGGCAGCTCGTCTCACACACAAATCCAGCATCTGACACTGAAGGCTTTCTTTGAAACGAGCCTCCTCCAGCTGTTTCTGCTCTTGAGAATCGCTTTCAGACCAGCAGCTTTCACTTTGAAAACCGTGGAGCTTGCAGTCAGGAGTCGGTTGCACCATCTCATTCCCCCTTCACACCCTCGTTTTCTGTTTAATTTCCTGCTTCTTCTCTATTTTCCTCTTTCTCTTCATAGCTGCTTTTCCCATAACTCCAGACCTTCTCCATTCCCTCATCTCTCTTTCCGCTCTCCTTTCTGCCTTATCTCAGTTTCCTAATGCGCTCTCGTATCTGTTTTTCATATAATATTTCACTCTCTGCTTTTCTCTTCCTTCCTTCGTCTCCCACTGAGACTTCTAGCCTCTCTCTCTCTCTCCCTCTCTCTCTTTTCCCTCCTGGTTCCTGCTGAATAATGGGGAGAAATTGCTCTTGATTTATAATTGGTTCCATTCACTCTGATGCATGAGCTGCCAAAAGAGTTTGGGGGCCCCTTTTACCCCTCCTCCCTCGCCTCCTCCTCCTCCCTACGATGCAGGAACACACAAGGAGAGAGGGCTGTGTGTATGTACAGCTATGAAAGTCTATATTAGCATGCATGGGCGCAGTGGTGAGGATGCAGTGTATCTCTCAGTCCGCAGATAAGTGGTAGTCTGTTATTTTATGCGTGTTGGAAAAACTTCCTGAGGTCTGCATATTTATGTGCCTCTGTGAGTACACTTTTACCATGTAATCGTAGTTTGTGTGATTGCTTGCTTATGTGTCATAGAGTGTGTGTGTTCGTGTGTGTGTGTGTGCAGGGAGAGGACAGGCAGGGAAAGAATAGTTGTGGCTAAATGAAATATGTAACTCTGAGTGTGTGCGTGTGTTATTATGCTTACTATGGCGTTCATCTGGCTAGTTCTTTCTTTCTTTCTTTCTTTCTTTCTTTCTTTCTTTCTTTCTTTCTTTCTTTCTTTCTTTCTTTCTTTCTTTCTTTCTTCCTTCCTTCCTTCCTTCCTTCCTTCCTTCCTCCCTTCTACCACTCACCAGGGTGCTTCTATCTCTTCATCTCTCCCATGCCTCATCATCTTTCTATCTTTTTCATCTTTTCCTTTATCAGCCTATCTCTCTGTTCTTTCGTCCATCTCTTCATCCTTCTTTTTTTCCATTATCCACCTCTCCTGTCCCTTTTCACTCCAGCTACCTATCTCCACCATATCTTTCTATTCTTCTTTCCCCTCTCCACCATTCATCTTTCCTCCTTTCTTTTATCAATTCTTTCATTTCTTTCTTTTCTCCTTCATCCCTGGTATCTTTTTTCCCCTCATCTATCCACTCTTTTTTTTCTTTTCCACCTGACCACCCATCTTGCTGTCTTTTTAACCTCCTTTTTTTAATCATCTATCCTCCCCTCTGTTATCCATCCTTTCATCCCTCCGATCTGATTGGCTGCTGTTCTCCTCATCACCGTTAGATCCATCCATCCTTCAGTCCTGATGATCAGCTCCTGTTCCCATGGCCCTGGCATGCATGCTGGCACCCCTCACCAGGCGGAGGAATGTGTGTGTGTGTGCGTGTGCGCACCGTGGCTCAGTAATTAGCTCTCCGTGGTTAATTCGCTTTCGTTATCTAAATTATGCAAATGCTTCGGTGCCTAATTGATTAGAACGCCCCCCTCCTCTGCTCAGCCAGCCTGTCCACATCACTCTCGTTAATCCTCGAGACACTCTGTAGCTCGTTAGCGTTGGTACGGGGGGACACAGGGGGGGTTTGGACGAGCATATAGCTTGTTAATACCTTGTGAAGCGTGTGCATATGTGTGTGTCTGTGTGCTGCGATGGAGGAGAAGGAGGGGTGAGTCCTGAACCTCGTTAGGGATGCTTAGATGCTTTTGATGTGTAATTTTATGGCATGAGAACGAGCGATGTCTCGAGTGGAGGATTGGAGGATTTGGACTGGCCCCCTCTCCACCTGTTGGGCCGTGTTTTCATGCCAAGATAAGACTCCAGAAGGTTCTCTTGTGTCCGGGAAAGCCTCGGAGCAGTGAAGAGATGGATGGGAAAAGGTTTAAGATTTGTTCCCTGCCAGATTTTTGCTTGTGTGAAGTACAGCAGAGAGATTTTCCACCTCGGCCTCCTGTTTTATCAGTGGTACTCTGAAATAGAGAAAGTCCTACCCAGCAATTAAACGTTATTAAGCAGCCGTTCCATACTTTTTAAATCCTTGTGTAATATCAGATAAAAGCTGAAAACTTCTGCAAATATGAAAATCCCTGCTCACATGAATGGCCTAAACACTGACACATCAATGATGCCTAGTACCAGTTTTAACATGATATCTGTGTGAAGTATTTTAAAGCGTTGGAAACAGATAGCAAAGTTTGTGATGCTTTTAACGGACATGTGATTTGATAAGGAGCAAAATAAAAACACTTCTTTGACACTTCAGCTGAAAAATAGTGCAGTAGCCACCCAAAAGTTGGGAAAATTACCAAGACTAGTCAGGAATCTCTTTGGTCCTGTGTGTGATGCAGGCTTCTGCGGGCTTATGTTGTACTTAGTTTGGTCTCACTATTGCCATCAGCTAAAATCAGGCAAAAAAAAAAAAAACCCAGAACAATCTTGTGCATCCCTATTTTCTATGTTGACATTGGCACCCCCTGTGGACAGAGCAGTACCTGACATAAATAAGCTTTATTTGTTAGTCAGAATACAACAGAGTGTAACAAAGCCCAACAAACCATCGAACTAAACCAGCACCATGACAGGAGTTCATGTATCTGTCATAAGCGATGTAACATACACATACCCTCTCCCTAAACCAACAGGCATAAAGACAAAAGGGAAGTAAAGTTAAAAATACTTTAAATTGGATTTGTATTGACCTGATTTCATAAAGGCTACCCAAGAGTGGGAACGATGATTGGCTCGCTTTTATCACCGTTTTTTTCCAAGGAGAATGAATCAACCTGGTTAGTGCACTGATGAATACAAGGAGGATCATCATGTTTCCACTTAGATGTGATTTACTTGTTGGCAGCAAAGCTTAAGGAGATTTACATCCTCAGACATCATTGTCTAAGCTTGAGGTAAGACCACATCATCTGCATGAGCGTATCGGTCCCTGGTTTGCAGCAGGCGGAGAGAGGATAACTCAGTTTTAATGTGGCTCAGTCTCTCAGGTGTAACATTCACTCCACAGAAGTCAGTTTTATAGTTTTTATCTGTTTTTAACAGACAAGAAATGATTCAACAGATTCATTTTATGGTAATGCTTTTATGGTTCATATGGACTCATAAGTTATTTTCAAATCTCTTAATAGCCAGTTAAACCCTCATCACAGGAGCCTGAATTACCTGTTGTATGTACTGAGTAGATCCAGGTCTTGCTGTGTACCAATTTGAAAATGTTGATGATTGAACTAATGGGAGGATTTGGTTCTGATTTTATGATTGATCCATTTGTTGGTCAACCAAAAGTAACTCGTGTAATACATTTATGAAGCCACAGGATTGATGGCTGTAGCTTCTGTTGTAAAAACTTGTACTTTTCTGTCTTTCATCATTATAGTTTAGAACCTGTCCATTAAAGACTTCAATCTGCTGGTAGAATCATTTGCCAAAGTTTTGGTAAAAAGCCTTAAATTTTCAGTTCCAGTGTGATTTTTTTTTGTGACTTTTTTCTGGATTTTGACAGTGTTGGTTGGATTAAACTTATTACCTCTAACCAAATTTATGTTGAATAAGATTACTAATAATGCTTTATTGGTGCCCTGGATCCAATATTTTTGAACCCAGTAAAGAACCTAAAAGGCTTGGACTTCTAAAATGTTGTTGTTCGACTGTTTTTGGAGAATTTTTTAGTCAGTGTGAGGTTAAAAAAAATCATTTCCTGTTGAACGTATATCTTATCTTAAACTGATAATGTCCACTGTCAGTCTTTTCCTTGATTCCCCAGTCTCTTTCTCCTCTAGTTGTCTTGTTGCTCTCCTGTGTGATGGTCTGTTGGTAAACCATGTGTGTAGTTGATTTGTTCAACAACCTCCGGACCCTCCTCATCCTCCTGAGGTCTGCACAAACCCGGGCCAAACCAAGAGACCAGCAAACAGATTGAGGGAGTGGGGTGAAAATATGTTGGGACATTGAGCGGCGCTCTCACACACGCTCTCTCAAACACACCCTCTCATTGACGAGGCCCTGCTCTCTCCTCCTGCTCGCCCGTCGGTTGACATCCTCTCTATTAATTTGAGTAGCCGTTCTGCTTTCTCAGTCAACCTCTCCACCCCCCTCCTCTCTCTGCCTCCTAAACCCCCTTCACCCATCTCACATCAATCCATAAAGGCACTCACCCCCTCCTCCTCCTCTTCTTCTTCCTCTCTTGCTCCCTAAACTCTCAAACCTCTTGGTCATGGAGCCCCCCCTCTTCTCTTTGGTTATTGAGCAGGGCCCATCAGCTCTTCCCTGGGCCCTTCAGAGTAGCGTCTCCCCTTTCTCCAGGGGTCCGCGGGGTCTTTGTCCGTGCGCCGGCTCACTGCTTTACAATGACTCTCCACTCTATTAAGGTGCGTTCTGCCTGTTAGCGTCGCCAGGGGCAACTGGCCTCCCGCATGGCAGCTATGCAGCATGGCATTGTGGGCCCCGGGCCCAAGCGGGGGCAGTTGAACCCCCGGCACTCCTCACACTTGACACCGCATGTGTTTATCTAAAGGGGGGGCTTTGTGGTGTTTGGAGAACCTCGAGGGAAGGAGGCGAAGGAGGGGGGGTGTAAAAAGACGTAAAACTGAGTGAGGAGGGAGGGATGGGTAAGAGGGGAGTTTGGGGAGGTGATAAATATTCAACAGCTCAGCTCCTCAGAAGGAGTTACTACCCTGCCACCCCTCCACCACCTCCACCCTCACCCCCCTCTCCTCCCGTGTGTCCTCTTCATGCCAGAAAGCAGATGGAATGTGAGCGCTCAGGGAGGAGGCTCCAGTCTGGTTTTATCCAATTAGCAGGGTTGTCAAAATGAATTTATCCACGGAGGCAGGGGGACAATGGGACTGGCAGTGGCTCCGGGAGAACAGGGGCCCCGGTGTCTTTACTTAGCACGCTCACAATGAACTTCTGTCAAGTGACTCTCTCACACAGCGACATATAAGGCACTCGCATACCTACACTCATGATGCATGCCTGCACACCACCGCAGCAAGCTGGGACGCTTTACTGGTCCTGTCCCCCCCTTCAATCCTTTGCATGACATACACACCAAACATGGACACACACCTGCAACCAAGGCTGTTTCTAGGTACTTTGAATCTGACCCAAGTCTGGAGTTCTTGTAGGTAATCTGTGGATCCAAAAAGGACTCATTTAAACCCCCTTTTGCTGAACTAACACAAGGAAGGGGATTACCTTGGAAACAAGACTAAATGTAAAGGCGCTGTCAAAAAAAATACCTGCACTCATCTGCAACTCAAAGATGTTTTCATGTTTTCAGAGCACATATCTGATAAGATGTAGCCACCTGTCGCAGAGGCTGGATACTGGGGTTGTTTTTTATGTCTCTGGGATCCTTCAATACACTCCTTCAAGAGTTGTAATCCCGCAAACTTGACAAAAAAGTGGCTTTTTCTGATGTGTACAACGTCAAAGCAGTTAGACAAGAAATTAAAAAACTAAAACTAAATTCACTGTAAAGTTGACAGAACGTCAATATATGAATGGCTCAAAACCTGACAAACCTGAATCTATAAAAACACAACCTTTTTAATATCATGGAGTTAAAGAAGTAAAAGAGAAAGACAGATAAGAGTATATATTAACCATATTTGTTATGGATTTGCAATTGCATTATAAAAAGTAAATGGAAAAACAGCAGTCAGCTCAAAGAGGTAAAAAATGGTAATCATTAAGGTGCTTTCTGCAGAAGTGGGTCCTGGTTCACAGTAGTCCGTAGTCAGTTACTCAACATGATTACAGGAACGGTTTTGCTCTAGTGTAATCATATCTCTGCTCCAAACCAGCAAACTCAAGCAGTTCACACACGTCTCCTCGCTGCACTGTCACTGAAATATGTTTTGATACCACAAAGTGTTGTGCCACGCAGCATTGTTCCTCACTGAAATAAAACAGCCCCAGACTCACATTAACACACACACACACACACATACACACACATTCTCCAGCTTCTTGATTTAGGGGACCTGTCTGTGCGTTCTGCTCTGGTTTTTATCAGTCTCGCTGATGCGTAGGAGGCTCTTCTCCCCCTCTCTGTCTGTGTCTTCTCTGGGACGGATGGATGGAAAAAGTTGGACATAGATGTCAGGCCAACTTTTCATCTTGAGGCAGGGTATCTGCTAAGCAAACACAGGACCCAGCTGACTTATGAATCAGTCGGACAGACGGGCCGAGAAGAGGGAGGCTGTTTTTGAGGGAGTGATGATTTATGTGGGGCCTTCTCATACCACTGTTGTAACAAAGCTCCATCTCTGCTCCTGCGTCTTCTTCTGTCTCACTTACAAAAATGTGACATGGAAGAAGCGCTCGCTGGCGAAGTAGCGTGTCCCGCTGTGTGTGCAGTTGGCAGGCAGGCTGGTGTGGTTTACGGTTAGAGACCCTCACAGCCGGAACAGGTGCTTGATACAGATGTATGTGTCGTTTATGGGCAGCTGTCCCGGGTTGTGTCCATACAGGGACCAGCCTCAGAAGCCACAGACCTCCAGCTTTACTCGCTCCTGGTTCAACAGTAGCTGGCTGTTTGTTTACAGAGGGAGCCCACTGCTAATGGAGCCCTTTGAGTAGTCAAGGAGGTAACTGGCTATACACATCAAGCCCGATGCAATTTTGCAACTTTCCAGGGGAAAAAGACGCATCCCAGGGAAGACTTTTCACGGCCTCTGATTGGCTAGAAAAGCTGGAAACGTCATCACACGCTCAAGCCAAATGGTCAGCACTTATAGCCAATCAGAGGCGATAAGATAAGCACATGAAACTATGTTAACAACCGTTAGCTTACGTTAGCACAGATGAAAGTTAAAACAAAGACGTTTAGCAAACTGTTAAAGCACACAAACCATCGTCATATGAGAAATCCGACGCTATGACTCTCCACAAGTTGTCCTTCAGGTCGTTATCTTTGTAATATTTGTGTCTTTTATCAAAAAGCACTCTGTTCTCCGACACGTTAACAATCAGCCGGTCGGCCATGTTGGATATACCGGTGAATCAGACGTTGCAACAACACACAATCTGATTGGTCAGAAGTGAACACACAGTATGCGAAACTTTAGAAAAATTGACCGTGATCTGAAGCATTAAATGCCACAATATTGCAGGACGGGAAAACGTCACTGATGTAAACGCTTGTATTGAAAGGATACAGGTTCGGAAAAAAAATATTGATGTCCGAAATAATCGCATGACAAAAACAGACCTTTAAGGAAACGTGGCTGCCAGTTTGTGCCTATGACCTCTCCGACCACCACCACACAACACTTTACAATCAAACACCAGTGGCAGACACACACTGGGAGCAAGGTGTCCTGCCCAAGGACACAAAGTACAGACTCGGGATAGGGGGGAATCGAACCACCAACCTTCCAGTTATTGGACGACCGCTCTCCCTCCTAAGCTATTGTTGCCTAAACCTGTCCTAATTGAATTTACTCTCATAGCTCTCATCTTGTAAGGTGTAGTTAATATTTAAAGCACAATAGACCCCAAAACCAGTTTCAACTGCTGGTAAAACTCACAACAAACAAGCATGCTAACTTAGCAGCCAGCTAGCACACATTCAAGAGCATTCAGCGGCTAATCAGCAAGATGCTAGTTAGCAAAACAGAGCAAAGACAAGAGGGCTAGTGTTTGTGTGCAGAGGCTATTGCCCTTGTCCTTGCCTTCTGGTTGCTAACTTCACTTTAGAGGTAATAAATGAACAATTACGCTATACTTCTGCACAGATCGTCCTCATGAATAATAACTTTATTGCTCTGTATAACTTTCTTTTACAACCTTCACTGTGTTCACGGTCGTTCGTGTCTCGATCATTAAGAATCTTCATAATGTGAAATTAAAAGTAATAACGTGCGGCTATGTGTGACAGCTTTTTCCGTCAGCCTGCTGCTTTGCTCATTTTCAATAAACGTGCCAGTCAGCTAAACAGTTTCACTGCTGCCATTAGATGATGGAGGTGCTGTGCAAAAGTTTCCACTCTCTTTCTGTCCTGCTTTGGCCTCTTATGGGTGTGTGTTATGCGAGCAGTCCCCGGTCTCAGAGTGTCATTAATCATCCACTTGCCAAAATAAGATTAGGACAAATATGTATGAGAAAGTTTTTCTGCCTAGTCCATTTTTACTTTATCGATGTAGGCCGTTTTTTTTTCCCTTCTTCTCTCGAGTATGTGCATGTTCAGCTACATGCATGTGTAAGAGAGCAAGCTGGAGAAATAAAGATTCAGTTTTGCAGGACCACCCTCCTCATCCTGACGGGAAGTTGTTAGTTTAACCTGACAGGAAAGAATTTGGGAAACTTGGCAGCAGGCGACAAGGGAGAGAGAAAAGCTCCCTTCTCTGCATTAACTGTTAATAGACTGACCATTACCATCCTCTTCTCCATTTTCCTCCCAATCCATCCTACCTCCATCTCACGCACACTCCCTCCCCACTCTGATATATATTCCCTCCCTCGCCCCCTCTCCCCATCCTGCCTCTCATTAGTTGTTCTTTGTCCCGACTCCTGAATGCACCCTGTGTGTTTTCCTCTGCCCCTTAACTCTCCCTCCCTCCTCCTCCCGGACCCTCTACCTGTATCAGTTACACCTGAGCGGGAAGGTGGAGGGGTCGGGTTACAGCCCGCAGAATGAGGGCGCCCCTTTGATGAACACACTCTGGATGGGTGCGGGTGCAGGCGGAGGAGATGGGGTCAGCGGTGAGATGGGGGCTGACAGAAAAGAAAGGCTTTATTTGTGTTTGGAGTTTCTGCTGCTGAGGGTGCTGCAGAGTGCACCGCCTCGCCCGGGTTGTGTTTTGCTAATGTCTGCCTGTTTGTATACGTGTGTGTATGTAAGATAAGTTTTTGTATGGATCAAGATTGATTGTTTAGATGGATGATGTCGTTGTGTTTTGGAGGTTTTGTTTTCCGTTCACTTCTGTGGGTGTGTGTTTGTTTCAGTCAGAAGAAAGTGGTTTATGCTGTTTGTTTGGAGAGAACCAAGTTTGTAAATGAACCACTGACCTTTTTCTCCTTCTTCTTCTTCTGTGTGTGTGTAACAGGGGGCAGTGTATGGAAGATGTCTGGAAAGACAGACTGGACTCAGTGGATGAAAAAGAGAAGAGCTCCAGTGTTGTGTGCTCTGGGAGTCGTTCTGCTATGCTGCCTACAGAGCAGCGCCTCTCTCACCGGTGAGTACAAACTCCGATTTTCTCTATGAAGAAACAACCTTAAGAAAAATGATCAAAACTTTCCATGTCAGTCTCCTTCAAATATGCATTACTGACTTCTTCTGCCCTTACTTTATGAATGACCTTACTCTAGTTTCCAAACACCTGGCGCAGGGTAACTCTTGCAGGGTACTAAATATCCTGGCTCTGTCACAGGTGGGAGATGTTTGTACGTGTCTGGCAGGAAACGCAGAAGTTTATTTGAAATGAAGAAGTTGGTCGTTTTCATGAGCTGCACAAGCCAACTCACAAAGACTGGAGAAGAAAAGCTGTGTTGTATGTCGAGTTGTAACAAAAAGACCTTCGACTGATTATTCGATGAAAAAGATCGATTGGCGATCCCTTTTTTTTGCCGAGGACAAAGCCAAGAAAATGTCAAAAATGCTTTCCTTGGACATGACTTGTGATTTGGGGTTTTGGTTTGGTCGGGAAAACTTTTTATAATGAATCAGGAAAATTTGGTAGAGTTTTTTTTGCCTTTATTAATTTCACTTGTTTTTGTGGTTGTCAAACTGCTCATGATTTGATGGATGATCAATAGGAAACGTCCTAAATGCTGCCTGCTATGACGTGTCTGTGGAGGTTCCTGACTTTCATATCTTCCTCAGATGAGGTGCCAGTGTTTCTCGAGGAGCCCATGTCCGTGGTGCAGAAGCTCGGCGGAAGCGTCAGTCTTCGCTGCAGCGCCCGACCCGCCTCTGCCAACATCAGCTGGCGCCTCAACAGCCAGGAGCTCTCAGATGGAGACATGGGTGTAGTGCTCGGACCTACCAGCCTGTTCATCCCTGCGCTGTCTAACCTGACTCTGGGCAGATACCAGTGTGTGGCCAGCACCGGAGCAGGAGCCCTTGCAAGTGTACCCGCTAACGTCACTGCTGCTAGTGAGTAGACATCTAGTCTTTTCCTATATAATGTCACATATCAAGATGAAGTATTGGCCCATGAGTGCCAGTAAATAGAAATCCATGTTGTCAGTGGAGGAACATCGACTGCTGGAAGCACAGACGTCATTCAGCGACGTCACCTGTTGGTTTTCTAAATGAGGGTTATTATGGCATTTGTCATACTGGAAAAGCTGGTTCTATTTGAGTCAAAAAAAAAAAACATTGAGGCCGCGCTGTCCTGAAAAACAACTACAACATACTCACCTGTCAGTCAAGTCCTTCCCTCCCCAAATCATGGTTAATAATTCACAACCCTTAGCCGCAATAATAAAGACGTAAGGTCTGAAAATATGAAACTGTGTTAGGAATAAAGAAAAGAAACGTCACCCCCTCACAAAGATTCAGACATCAGTGGAAAAGCATCAGTCAGGCAGCTGTTTTTCTCCGGTGTCATATTGATCTAATGCAGCTAAAGTGAATTATTCTCACTGCTGGTGTTTTTAGTGGTCTGAGTGTGTGGGGTTATATTTGATATGCATCATGGGACCAAGAGGGGGGCTTGGAGCTGTGTAACCTGATTCAGAGGAATGGAGGGGACTCAGGGGCCGGGGGCCGGTCAGAGCTGAGGGGAAAGGGGACCAGGACTCAGTTAGGCAGGCTGGGGGCCCCCTGCTTCCATCGGACCCTCTGCTCCCCACAACACCACATTCCTCACCACGGGGCCCGACAGCGAGGCTCTGCAGAAATTATGGCCCCATAATTGGTGAGAGGGTTTGGGGGAGACGAGGATGCTGTTTATGTGTGTGTGTGTGTTAGAGGGTGGACAGAGGATACACCATTAGGTAAAAAAAAACCCACTGCTGTTAGATGTATTGTCTTACATGCAGGGATGTGATGTATGAGGCTGCCATAGCTGAAGAAACTGGAGGTGTTTTAGGCGCGTCGAGACAAGATCCTCACACAAGATGAGACGTGATGTCACATTCTCCGTCTCCCCCTTCACAACTTTACACACACTTTCACGCATTTCTCTCCCTCTGCATGTTTCACTCCTCACCCTGTCACTCTCTCTCCTCTCGTCTCCTTTCATTATCTCTGACTCTCCCTCCTCCTTTTTGTCATCTTCACCTCTGCTTTGCATTTCTCCCTTTTTGTACAAAGGGAGTAAAACGTTATTGATGGTTCCAATGGTGGCTGTTGAAATAACCACATATGGAGGCAGACTTTTTCACCCCCACCTCCCCCCCCTAAAAAACTTCTCTAATTTAATAACGGTCTCTCCTCCTCGGCCACCCCCAGACCGCCTAAGGAATTGCTCCACGGGGAGTGTGTACGTGCTTGCCTCTCCATTTGAGCCCTCTTAGCTGTATGCACATGTTTTCAGAGAGGAGGATAGGTTGGTTCCAGACCCTCCGCGCGATCCGACTCTGGAGGATCTGCTCTTTTTTTGGCAGAGGTTAAAAGCTCCCTCGCTTGGATTCTTGTGCAGACAATCACCCTCCCCTCTGCGCAGAAAACAGAGACATGTATCTGCACAACGTGAACGCACAACACGTTGCACAAACATGTTATAATTCAGACGCACGCAGAAACTCATGCGCAGGCCTCCTGCTGCTCCACATAAAGATGATGAATGCAGTGTCTCTCTCGAAATATTTAAAGTCTGCTTTGCCAAGCAATGCTGGTGCGGGAGGTCTGCTTCGCTTTATGAATACCATCAATCCTGCATCCCTGCTGCCACACACACACACACACACATTACACGTGCACTCTCATATGTGTGCACACACACCTGAGATGCACACATACGGGGTTCTTCCTGTGAAGAATGCGGGGCAGCAGGGTTTTTTTTTCAGGGGGGTTAAAAGGTGTAACTGGAGGAATTTGTGAGAAGGCAGGAGGAGGAGGAGGAAGGTGGGATGGGTGGATGTGAGAGAGGCAAAGGGGGGAGGAAGGGAGGGAGGGGGGTGACTGTAAAAACAGCACCTGATTGATTTAGCAAATGGAGCGCCACACGGTCTCTTTTCAAGCTTTTTCCTCTCAACACACACACACACACACTCGCTCACTCTCACACACTCCACTTAGCTTGACATGTTCTGGCTGGGATTCTCATCTTTCAGAAAAAGAGCTGAAACGGAGTCGTCCTGTAGTTGTGTGTGTGTGTAGACTCTGATTTCTACCACTGGAGCCCCTCCCTTAGTCATAGACGGACACAGACCCAACATGCTCGCTAAATGAATCAGTTCCCTGCTGTGGAGGCGTTTGTTCAGCGCTTTGATTCAGTCACTCTGAAGTCGTTATCAGTCGATTCAGGCCTTAACACAAACGTTCCTGAATCAGAGCTGTATGCTAAGTGTCATCAGCTGACTGTGTGTACCAGCAGCTTCTTTCCAGAGACTGAGCAGTCTAGCCAAGAAAAACTCACCAGTCATAGCACCTCTGGAAAGAATGAAGAGACGCCATGTTTGTTTAGAATAAATCAACAGAAGTTGGTCGACTTTAAATCATGTCCCTGTTGAAGTTTTATTTGTCTTTCATTTCAATCCTTGACTCCTTCATGACGAATTTCTCTAGTTGTTGCTTTCTTTTCCCCTTCTTGTGCTGTTTTTCCCTTTTCCTCCGTCTCCTTTTCCCCCGTGCTTCAAATCTATAAAACGACAACATCCCCCCTGCTGAGATTTTCTGTGGGTTTTTCTTTTTTCTCCCTCTTAAGAGCACAGTTTTGGCTGTTTCCTCCCAAACCCAAACTGCATATCTTTCTTTGAAACTCTATAGGACGGACACCTCTCACCTTTGACCCCATGGCCAGGCCTCCTGGCCGCTCAGGCAGGGGGGGGAGTTTAAGGGGTCGGAGGTCACATGAGTGTCTGCTCTGTGCAGACTGTGTGTCTGCGGGACACAGTCGCAGCACATGGCCCCAGTAATCCCACTCCGCTGTTTCCCACACAATCTAAAGCGGCTCCAGTCGCAGTATAATGTTTGACAGGATTAATGACACCTTCTCGAGTGTTACAGACTCCACTTTCAGGCTTATCTGGAGTGACACAAAATGAGGAAAACAGAATAACAACCCTCTACAATCCTCCTTAGAAACATCGGAAAGAAATTACTCAATGGAAGAAGAAAAAGGTCTGTCTTTCAAAGAGAAGGCGCACTAGACTTGTTGTGGGAGTGTGTTTTCATACAATGAGGACAAGCTGATGTGAGAGAAATTCAATATGGAAGCAGCCGTTTATTATTGCTCAGAATCTGTGGTTTTGTTCTTCAAAAGCTGAGGACTGACTGTATACATGTGCCGTTAGAAGTGATTTACAAAGCACATTAACATGATGAAAGAAAGCCTGAGTGTGTCGCAGCAAACTGACTTTTCTCTCGCCTGTGTGTTTTCCAGAGCTGCGGGACTTTGAGCCCGACGACCAGCAGGAGATCGAGGTCGATGAAGGCAACACGGCGGTTATCGAATGTCACGTCCCAGAAAGCCAGCCCAAGGCTCAGGTCCGCTACAGCGTCAAACAGGAATGGCTGGAGACATCCAAAGGTACAGAGCTGCTCCACTTCATTAACGTTTCCCATAAATCTCTGCCTGCCAGCCTCCCTCTTGATTCCCACACTATCTTCATAATTTACTGGAATGCTATAATCCTGCTATCTAGCCCATCATAAAGCCGGTGATAAGGGTTTTATCTGGAGAATGTTGAGACATGGGAATGCAGTTGTTTATTTTTGAAACTATTTACTTCTAAGTTGCCTGGAAGAGAAGAAGAAAAGCTCCAGTGGTTTGTGGCTGGTATGCTGATGATGCCTGGGAGCTGTAGGTACTGATATCTGCAGCTTATCTCGGAGGAAATGAGTGCAACATTGAAAAGCGTTCACTCGCTGCTCTCCGTCACATTTTTGGCGCCACCTTGTGGTTCCTGCTGATAATGCAAACGTGCAGAGATGAACGAGGTTAATGCTCTAGCTCAGTGGTTCTCAAGTCCAGTCCTCGAGGCCCACTGTCGTGCATGTTTTGGATGTGTCCCTGCTCCAACACACCTGATTCAAATGATCAGCTCGTTATCAAGCTCTGTAATGGCTTAATAACGAGCTAATCATTTGAATCAGGTGTGTTGGAGCAGGGAAACATCCAGAACATGCAGGACAGTGGGCCTCGAGGACTGGACTTGAGAACCACTGGTCTTGCAGAAAGTACTTAGAAGTCATGGCAATAAAAACATTTTATTCAAAGTGTTTTCTTTTGTACTTCTTTTGTTATTCATTATAAATCATGTGCTAGAGAATATATATTCTTTGTCTACATATCTGCACTTAGACTTGTGCACATTATGTTTATACTGCAGAAACTGAGATATGCCACGTGATGTTATTGTTTTACACTTCACTCTATCTCTGATAAAACAAACCATACTTAACTTTATTTTTAGATTTGGATGATCAATACCAATAAGTAGTGAACAGGTCCACTCTCACCTGATCATCTTTAGACATTAAACAATAAAGAAGTATAATTCCATCATTTCATTTGCATTACAGTTTCATATACATGTTTTTTTTAATTTCACAATGACATAACAACCATAGAAAATGTCCGCTTTTTTTTTTTTAACCACATAATTCCCTACCCTCCTCATTGTTCCCTAGGGATACAGAACAGAAAGGGGAAAACATATATATATATATATATATAAAAGTAAATAAATAAATAAACAGTACAGAATCAGACAAGTACATTAAGGAGGAACAAAACAAGAGACATAAGTAAGTCAATAAATAAAAAAAAATTATAAAAAAATTAAAATGACAACATCAGTGATATCAATAAACTCTAGCCAAATGTGTATACATGTAGGCTGTATATATGAACATACTCATACACATGCATACATACAAATGTGTACCTACTCAATTACAAATAATGGTATACATGTTTTTGAGTAACCATTAGTTAACCCCCAAAAAATGAAAACCTATTTTGAGTAATGCTTTAGATTTCAGGACACTGCAATAATTAACTGCATTGATGTGTGTATCATAACAGATCTTATATTAAACACCAGACAGTTACAGACATAGATGTTTATATGAAGTTGTTTGGTTTCTGTCCTGCAGGGAACTACCTCATCATGCCATCAGGGAACCTGCAGATAGCCAACGCCACACAAGAGGATGAGGGGCCGTACAAGTGTGCCGCCTACAACCCAGTAACTCAGGAGGTCAAAACGTCCACCTCTGCAGACCGTCTGCGCATTCGCCGTGAGTCATCGTCCTTCACAGCATCATGTTTTTAATGGGAGAGCGATTTTGCACACACATCTTTACGAAAGTATTAACTCTCTGTCTGTATCTGCTCGCCAAGGCTCCACCTCCGAAGCTGCCCGCATCATCTACCCTCCAGCCCCCCGGTCCATCATGGTGACCAAAGGCCAGCGCTTGGTGTTGGAGTGCGTCGCCAGCGGCATCCCCACTCCGCAGGTCAGATGGTTGAAAGATGGGCAGGATCTGGGCTCCCATAACAACACGCGCTTCCTGCTCAGCAACCTCCTGATCGATGCAGTGGGAGAGAGAGACTCAGGCACTTATGTTTGCAGAGCAGACAACGGCATCGGCTCGGCGAGCTCTGCTACGGTGCTCTATGATGTGCAAGTGTTCGGTGAGTAGTCTGGAGAGAATCAAACTCCTTGTGTTGTGTTTTTCTAGTGCAGGATCCCTGATAGTTTGTTTTCTCTGTGATTTTATTAGCAGAGTTTTTGTGTATCATAGATTTAATAACCACACTGACTGCTGTTTGGCAGACAGAGAAGACAGGCTTTTTTTTGTATGTGTGTGTGCGCAGTCATGTGTGCAAGAAGCCTGTAAGCCTGGGCGGTGATTTTTTTTATTTTTCCAAGAAAGACTTTGTGGAGACAGAGCTCTCTTTGCTGTAGCAGGGCTTGATTGAATGTGTCTAGGTTATGGATGGCTGTTTTTACAGTGATTTTCTGTGTGTGTGCATGCGTATGGCAGTGTGTGTGTGTGTGCGTGTATGTGCACTGAAGGCTTGTCTCTCTGCAGCTGGCTCTAATTAAAGCCAGAGAGCTGCTGTGGCTGTAATGAGCTCTCTTTCCCTGATTCACAAGCAGCCAACCATCAACTAGCTGGCCTGGCCCAGCCTGCATCACTCTGTACAACCCACTGCCACACAGCCCGAAGACACACACAAATAATTGTGATATTACTCACACACACGCAGCTTTGTTGAAACTTTGACTATTTTAATAACGGATTAAGCAATTAAGTCATTTATCAAACAAGAGACGTCAAACATTCATCGGTCGCAGCTGCTGCTCTCTTTTGTTTTCCTTATTTGTAAATGCAATATTTTCAATTATTAACTGCTGGCAGAATAACTTCATTTGAGGACGTCCCCTAAACACCCAGAGGGGGTTTAAAAATTGTGTTTTGGACCAACAGTTGGAAAAACATGAGCAAGGGGATTAGGTTTATGAAATCAAATAAACAGAAAATGCGCTCAGTTTAGAAGCTGGGACAGGAAAGTGTTTCAGTCTTGTAATTAAAAGTGACTCAAATGAGAATTAGACTTTAAAATGATTGTGGTAAATTCATATATATTTGTCCATCACACTTTGTCCTCAGCACACCTCTGTCTGCATAAACATTCAATAAGCAAAGGGACCAGCATTCTGAGGTCACTTTCTCTCTCCTGCAGAGCCTCCTCAGGTGACGGTGGAGCTGCAGCAGCAGCAGGAGGTCGTGTACGGAGAGACGGTTCGCTTCATCTGTCAGGCCCGAGGTAAACCCACCCCATCGGTGATGTGGCTCCACAACGCCCGCCCCCTTACTCCGTCTCCTCGCCACCGCCTCACTGCCAAAGGGCTGCGCGTCACTAACGTGGGCCCTCAGGATGACGGACTGTACCAATGCATGGCTGAAAACGGAGTGGGCAGTGCGCAGGCCTCCGCTCGCCTCATCACGGTGTCAACCGGTAAGTCAGTGAGATCAGACTGTGTTTCAGGTTTGATTCTTTCATTTTGCAGCCTTTAGATTTCATGGGGTTTGTTATTATCTTGAAGGGATTTCATCCAGAGGGAGGCTGCCCTCTATTTATCGACCGCTCAGCCCCGACAAGGTGCTGAGGGAGCAGCCGCCTGTGAGGCCCGGGGTTGCTGGGGCCATGCTGCCTCTGGACTGCTCTGAGCTGCCAGGACAGATTCTTCCTGCAGAGGCTCCCATCATCCTCAGCCAGCCACGTACCGGCAAGGCAGACTACTATGAGCTCACCTGGAGGCCACGGCATGAACGAGGAGTGCCTGTACTGGAGTATATGATTAAATACAGAAAGGTACATCGAACAGCTCACGACTATTTCCCATCAAATATTCTCACAGCATCATCTAATCTTAAACATACGTGCTTTCCTCGTGGCTCATCCTTGCACTCTTGTTTGTCCGTCTCTCACAGGTTGGGGACCCTCTAGCAGAGTGGACCTCCAGCAGTATCTCAGGAGCTCTCTACAAGCTGACTTTAGCTAAACTGCAGCCAGACAGTCTGTATGAGGTGGAGATGGCTGCGAAAAACTGTGCAGGTTTGGGACAACCAGCCATGATGACCTTCAGAACTGGTAAAGGTACCACATCCGTCCGCTTGTAGTTTGTTAGAAACAACACTTTAAAAATCATCACTCTTTAATTTTGTAAGTTGTTTCATGAGTTTGTGTTTTGGTGTTTTCAGGTCGCAAAGTGCAGATTGACCCTCCTAAAACTCCTGCTGTTCCTTCACCAAGCCTCTCTCGTATGTATCTGTTCAGTCCTGGACTTTACTCCTCCCTTATTAACTAAACTAACCAAATAATCACTTCTACTAAAGTAGCTCAAAAAAAGAGTTTTTTTTCTTCATAATAACACCCTGAACTTCTAACCGGTCTCCTTTTGACTAACACAGAAATTTCTCTTTTCCCTTTCCCTCTGAAGGATGAGCTCTCAGTAAGTGCTGCATGCAGCAGGTTTTGCCTTCACCGTCATAATTACAGAGTGCTGTCTCTGAGTTTGTATCTACTCTTGTCCTTTATCTGACACCATCCATCTCTCTCTGCAGCTCCCGAAGCCCCTGACAAACCCACAGTCTCCACGGCAACAGAAACATCAGCTTACGTGACTTGGATTCCTCGGGGTAACCGTGGCTTTCCCATCCAGTCATTTCGGGTGGAGTACAAGAAGGTGAAGAAGGCAGGAGAGGACTGGGTGACGGCGGTGGAAAACATCCCTCCATCCCGGCTCTCGGTGGAGATCACAGGCCTGGAGAAAGGTCGGCCATCTTTGACATCCCTTTGAACAGTGTTGTTATTGTTCACAGCAGTTTTATTCTGACTTTGCGGAGTCGGGGGGGAAGAGGGAGGATGTCGCACCGTATAATTACAGTGTTGATGTCCTTCATAATTACATTCCCACGGCCTGTAAATTCATCAGCATAATGAGTGTTGTTACAGTCATTTCAGTAATTACTGCCATCAATCAAACCGTAACTGGGTCTCATTTGCTTTGAAAAGAAAACATAAAGTAAAGTGAAAATAAACATCATTAGTCAGCACAATGAGAGCTTCATTTCAGACAGCTAGTTTCCCCCAGAGACAGATGAGTGACAGTGAACCCTTTCTGCAGGTACATCCTATAAGTTTCGTGTAGTGGCGGTCAATGTAATCGGCTCCAGTCCTCCCAGTGCTCCTTCAAAGGCTTACACTGTGGTCGGTGGGAGGACTCATGAGCGCCCTGTTGACGGACCCTACATCACCTACAATGAAGCCATCAATGAGACAACCATCATTCTGAAATGGACGGTGAGTGGGAACAAAAAGGTTACAGGAAGTTCATCCTTCTTTTTTTTTTTTTTCTTGAGTACATTTTTAAATCATGACATCTCCCTCTCTACAGTACACTCCGGTCAACAACACTCCCATCTACGGTTTCTACATCTACTACCGGCCCACAGACAGCGATAATGACAGCGACTATAAAAAGGATGTGGTGGAGGGAGACAGATACTGGCATTCAATCACCGACCTGCAGCCGGAGACCGCCTATGACATCAAGATGCAGAGCTTCAACGAGAAGGGAGAGAGTGAATTTGGCAACGTGGTGATCCTGGAAACAAAAGGTGAGGTCATCTTTGTTGAGAAGTAGCAGCTGCGTACAGTTTTAGTCGCATAGATTTCAGGATGATTCATCAAGAAGCAGAACAGTTTTCAAAGTCTGACTCTTATTTGAAACCCTTTTTCAAAATTTTGTCCCCCAGCTCGTCCAAATCAGCAGAGACCTACTCCATCAGAGACCCCAGACCATGGGTTAGGACCTGGACACGGTCTGGTGCAGCGGCCAGGTGACCTCCCCTACCTCATAGTTGGCATTGTTCTAGGAGCCTTCGTCTTCATCATCGTTGCCTTTATCCCTTTCTGCCTTTGGAGGGCTTGGGCCAAACAGAGTGAGTGCTCCTCACATATCCTCACATCTTTGCAGAGCTCCAAAGGTTCAACTTTCATCTTTGTAATTCTCTTTTTGTGTTTATTTCAGAGCAAACCTCAGATCTGTGTTTTCCTGCTGTTGCCGCTCCTGTCTCGTCATGTCAGTACACCATGGTCCCTCTTCAGGGACTCGCTCTGGTCGGCCACTGCCCACTGGACGGTCACATGACGGCTCCACATGTTGTTTATCCTGCTAATGGAGAATACACTCCGAATGGCAAGCTTCACCACCCCACACACTGCCTCCCTGGGCTGCAGCAGGTAACGACACAGTCTGAAGGCTAAAACATACAGGATCCGTATCGGCGGTGTTATGTATCACGCAGCAAATAGGTTGCCATTCTAATCAATGCAGCATCGCTTACCGGACGCGCATCGGCATCACATCAGTAGCATATAAAGAGTAGCGCTGAAGATACATGACGAGTCTATTTTTGCTGTGAATGATTGTTGTTCTGACAGTGCTGAGCAAGTAACTGAGGTTTTCTGGTGTTTTATAGGAGGAGGCTGACTGTGATATGGAGTGTGACACGCTGTTACCACAGACAGTGTCAAATGGTCATGTGCCTGTTTACCACTACTCCACCAGGTATGTTTACTTCCTAATCTCAAACAGTCTGTGCCCTTGTGATGCAGTTAAAGCATGTTTTTCATAATCAAGATTGTTTAGGCTGCTGCAGGTCATTGTCACATTGTCAGCCAACGTATAAACTGCTTAAGATGTGCTGGTTCCTTCTGTTTATGAACTTTTTCAATATTAAATGCGTAAAAGCAAACAAGACCATGGGAAACACAACTTTTTGCAGTAATGTAAAATGCCTTAAACAGCTGGGAGGAGGAGCCACCGTAGAAAAAGCTTTTTTTAAAAAATTTTTTTTTTACATTTTCTACATCAAATATTCACAAAATAATAGATTTGACTGTCAAAAGCCAACAGGAGGAGATTTACATTAGAGGACACGACTCAAGCAAGTTTAGGGACAAGATGAGCACATACTGCTGTGTCCACAGGGGGCGCCAAAACTGACACAAACAAAGTCACTTGCAGGAGCTTTTAGCTATTCTCAGAAATAATAGATAAATAAACCAAAAAGTTCAGAACTTTACTGCCAAGCTTGCAGAGCAAAAGCAGCATGTTAGCCTGGTATTTGATGAGCCATGATGCATTATCTAGTGTTGGTTTTATGCAGAGCTGAGTACTGTAGGTGTTTAGTGCAGAACTGCAAAAGTAGACTTGAGGTGTGAGGATATTAAACATTCGTTAAAGCCTTTTTTTGAGAATCCCACGAGCACCAGCTGACAGTCGAACAGCCCCGAGGTCCTCAGTTGTAGCGTGCTCCTGTACTGAGACCTGCTTTTTCAGCTGGTTTTAGAAGCTTTGCCTTCTGCTTTATATTAATACGAGCGGGACAAAGATGCAGGTCTGTTTGGGTTTGCTCCCCACCGGCATGGCTCTGTATTCGTGAGAGTGGGGAGGTAAGGGCACTCAGTGGAAACTAGAATTTGGTGCTTGATTGCTCTTAGCAAATTGTTGAAGACAAGAACAAGAATTTAATTTTACTGCCCAGGGACGCCCCCCCAAAGCTGGCTAGGTTTTTTTTTCCACTGGCTGATTACTCCATTTGTTTGTGGAAAGCCATGGCCCATATACTAACCTTTTTTATTTTTCTTGTTACTCCCTCAGTGGCTCGGACCGTAACGAACAAACTTGCTGTCCTCCAGACGACTCCACTCTGCAGCTCCTCGACGCCACAGATCAGCACCCCAGTTTACCAGAGATGGGAGGTGTTGGCAGCTTCTGTGGTGGAGGGAAAGGAGAGGATTGCATCACTCAAAGTATAAATGGATTTTTATCGCTGCAATGCAAATATGAACGGATAATTACAGGGAATATGTAATACATATAACAGAAAGGTGTAGAAAGAAGGGAAACCTTAATATTTTTGACTGTTTGAAACTTCTGGTGTAGACATGTTTGAGTATCAATCGAACCACAATTGATCTCTTTCTTCTTCCTCTTGCAGAATTATCATCCTTTCCTCTTCTTTCTCTGGAGGATGAAGGGATTTTCACCACATCGTCTTCAGCAGCTACAACACCACAATCCCAAGACACAACAATACAGGAAGTGAACATCCTCCCGAATGAAACATCCCCTGAGAACACGGGGACGGCCAATACGACAGATGCATAAAAGACTGTTACGCAAACAGAAGAAAAACAAGAGAAAATATTTATTTTTGTATCACAGATATTTATATATTTATGCGTTTGTACATAAGTGTCTGATTGTACTGTATATAAGGTATTTTTATAGTGAAAGAGACTCTATTTTCACGCTGTCACAGAGAAAGGGAGCACCGTGTTGCATTTCTGTTCTGCGGAGGAAATTAAGTTTGAGACGTTATTCCTTATGTGAAGATCAGTCAGGGGATTCCTCTTTCTTTTAGCACTTCATGTTTAGACCCTCCTCACATCATTCCTCACAGAAGTCCTCCATCCTCACTGTTTGGACCTTAGGTACTTAGCTTTATGTACAAGAGAAACAAAGGGACCATTCAAACAGTCTGATGCTGTAATTATGAGGTGCTTGGTTGCTGTTTAGATCCGTTGCTATGTCACATTTTCAAAATACAAGTCTGCCTGTCATTTTGTATAGCAATAACAAATGTATTATGCATTGCTCATCATTAACAAACTATTAACATGTGTATGCAACATAAATCATTCTGTCCAGTAGTGTACATGAGATTATATATTGTATAGTTATTTATTTTTGATGTTATTTTTTTAAATCACTGAATGGGAGAGATTCTGGAAATTATCTGAAACTCAGTCATAGATAAGCTGAACTTTAAACTGCAACCACTTCTGTGTTTACTCATTTGCTGGTTACCAAATGACTGCCAGGTGAGGGCGCTGTGACAGGTGTGTCAGTATTATTCCTCCCTCACAGGTTGGTGCATAAGTATTAGTCTTTGCCAGAGACATCTGCAATCGAAATGAAGGAGATCCTGAATCTACACTCTCACTTAGAGGTGTGGCCGTCCTGTGGCTGCACATGCTGGAGCACTATTGCATGTAAATAAAAGCTTATGAAATTGACAAGTGATTTGTTTTTTTTTTGTTTTTTTGTACTTGTGACAGTGAAAAACTGGAAATACGCTCAAAAATTCCTCTGAACTTTTTTAACCCACCACTGGATTCAACAAGCCATGCAAAACTGAAGCGCCATCTAGTGGTACAAGAATCACATGATTCTTCAGTTACAAATTTCTCCTTAAAAACTTTATTAATCAATTTTGTATTTACAAATACATACATAATCTAACAATTCTGATATGAAACATTGGTATTTACAAAATAGCTCTAAGAAAAAAAAAACATTCTGTACAGTTTAACCTGATATAAGTTAGCATAATATAAATTACATTGGTTGGTAACTGCAGAGGGTTTCTGCGAGATGAAAGGATTCATTGAATTTAAGTTTGAGAGATAAACTTGATTCTGACAGTTGCTTAGAAAAAGGGCTTTCAAAGGTTCACATTTTACTATAAACTTAAAATCAAAAGATTTCAAACAACTTTGATATCATAATCGTGCAAGGGGGGGTGAATTTGAGACTGAAACCGCAGGAACATAAATAAAGACGACCACTTTAAGACAGACGTGGTGTTATTAGAAATTAGAAACCGTTCTTATGAGCTTTACCTCTTCCTAGGAACTTATCAGACAATTTAGAGAACACAAGTGATATGAACTTCTCCCCTAAAAAGTTCCAGTTCTTAAAATAGCAGCAGGACTCTCCTTAGACCGCTGAGCTGCCGTCATGGCCCAGTATGTGGCTGATGTTGTGGGCTGGACGGTTGGGCTGTTTGCCTGAGTCGGCGGAGGAAGTGTTGGAGAGAGACAGCAGGGGGGACATGGGCATGGCTGAGCCATCAGTGGGCATGCCGGTGGCGATTTCTGGGAACAGTGATGTGAGGCTGAAGTTGGAAATGTGAGGTGTGATCCCAGATGAGTTGGCGATGGGCATAGGGGGCATATCTGGGAGCAATGGGAAGCTAGCCTGCCCAAAACCCACAGGGCGAGGTGGGGAGAGGATGGAGCCAAAGCGGTTGTTCAGGGGTGGGGCGCTGCCCTTGTCAGCACTCGGGCTTGTAAACATTTGGTTGGGGAAATATTGGAGGGTGACATCACTGGGGAGGCTGGGGTGAGCAGCAGGTGAGTAGGATGGGTAGAAGGAAGGTAAAGTGTTCTGGGGCTCCACAGGCAGGAGCGAAGGAGTACGGGAGGCGTTGGGCTGGCTGACAGGAGGGATGAATGTGGAGTTCGCATTGATGGGAGGAGGGGGATTCATCCCTCCTTCAGGTATAAAGGGGAAACCAAAGTTCTGGGTCAGGTGTTGCTCAGGAACCAAGTTGTTGTCATTTGGAACCTGAGTACTATCTGCCATAAAGCGAACAATAGTGCTTCGCCTTGCCTCTCCTCCAGACTGAGGCCTACTGAGCAGCACACCTCCACCTGAGGGCAGAGGCAGGTGACCCTCAGGTTCGAAGGGGTTACTCTGTCTCAGAGCTCCAGACCGAGGCCGGTCTCCAGGTCTCAGCTTGGTGGGCTGAGTATCCCTGGGGATGTGGCGGGAGTGCTGGCTGACAGCAGGAGGCGGTCTGGAGGGGGCAGAGGAGCGTCCTGGCTCAGAGCTGCTGTGTGGAGTTGGAGGGTGGGGTAGACCTGCTCGCACACCTGGACCCCCGTGCATATTACTGCTGACCTGAGATATGTGGCCCTTGTTACCCTCTCCAAGCCTCATAGCTGGTGCTTTCTGAGTCTGGGGCACACTAGGACTTGAAGTCTTCGCCTGAATGTCTCCTGAAGAGCTTCCAGGCACACAGCTGTAGTCCATACTGACTGGGGGGCAGCACTGCACCGCCCGCTGATGATTGCTCTGCTCAGGCAGGTGGGGGGAGAGGAGGCTTTGCATGAAACTTTGGTGACAGACCTCCTGGTCATTGGCCAGTGCTGGTCCTACCTGAACTCCTTGTGGGCCAGGATGAGCTGCACTGTAGCCGCCACGGCTCCTAGCATCTGCTGGGGGCCCAACACCCATCCTGAAGCCCCCCTGCTGCTGCCCCTGAGGGCCCCTTTGAGAAGGCGGCACGGACTTAGGAGTCATGTCACTCCCACGAGACACCTGTGCTTCAAAACCACCAAGTTGATGAGCACCTCCTCCCATGGTTTTGAACGGAGGACACTCAGAGACCCTCTGGACATCAGCGGACCCTGGGTGTTCAGGAGGGAGTCGATTCTGTTGGTTGTGTGGGATGCTGGTCTTCCCTCGTGATGTGTCCAGGTAGCCTCGCAGGTCCGGCTGCTCTTGAGTGGCACTGCGACCGGGCTGGAGGTGGAGACCCATGCGCTGCTGCTGTTCACCACTGGTGGAGGTCTTACCAATGAGCGCCTCGGCAGAGTAGTTAGAGACACGATGACGTTCCTGCCGTGAGGGAGCACAGGACAGATCAGACGACCGGGACACGGGATTACTGGGAGGCGAGATGAGCTGCTGATCCAAAGTCCTGGAGCTCATCATCCTCTGCATAGCATTATGGTCCTGACCAGACTGGAAAAGGAAAAAAAAACTTTGGGTAACTTTTGTTCTTTGAATATTAAAAGGAAGAAATGTGAAAAATCAAAACTTTTCTGTAGACTACATGTTGATTAGTCAGCTCCACAGGGAAATCAAAAATTCTAGCGTGCAAAAACCAGTGAAACACCAGACAGAGATCATAGTGGAGATTAATATTATGGAGTGTTTGACATTTTCCCTGAGATGTGCCAGTGCTAAGTTTGAGAGGTATTGGGAACCCTGGAAATCTTATACAAATTTAACGAACGGAGAGTGCTCGTCTCATCCTGTCTCTATAAATATGTGTCCCCACAGCCCAGCTTTGGATTTACATTTTGGAAACAAACATTTTTGTGAGTTATTGCATTCTAAGCCTGTAACGACCCTGTCTGTTACCTTCTTTGTTATTTTCCTTTTGTTGCTTGTTTAATGTAAAAAATATAATCATAAAAATAAAGTATTAATAAAAAACAGTGAAACACAAATAAACATTGCAGTATGTTTCCAATCATACTGCAGACTATTTTCTACCATGTGACACCAACCTTCAGGTGCTCCTGCTGGGCCAGGTGGCTGCTGTGGTGTCCTCTGGATCCTGCAGCCTGGGCCTCACAGCTCTTGTCTTGATGCCTGAAGTGCTGCTGCTGCTGCTGCTGGATCTGCTGCTGCAGGTGTTGTTGGTGTCTGGAGTGGGAGCTCTGCTGTTGCTGTAGCTGCTGCTGCTGTTGTTGTTGTTGGTGTTGTTGATGCGTCTGCGTCTGCTGCGGATGTGTCTGCTGTTGGTGCTGCTGAGGATGAGACTGTTGGTGTTGCGCCGGCTGCTGATGCTGTTGTGATTGTTGGTGTGGCTGTTGTTGATGCTGCTGAGTGTGCTGTTGATGCTGTGACTGTTGTTGATGTGCATGCTGCTGCTGAACTCCAGACTTTTCCAGGTGATGCTGCTTCTGTTGCAGACCAGCAGGTGATCCAGTTTGGCCTCCTCTGACAAGTCCCCGTTTCTTCTGCACATGCTGTTGATGCTGCTGCTCTTGCTGCTGCTGCTGTAGCGCCCTCTGGTGTAACGAGTGGCGCTGTGCTGGGTCTGGCTGTGTCAGGTGGTGCTGCAAATGATACAGATGGTGTCTCTGATGGTCTTGCTGCTGCTGTTTCATGTAATGATTTCCTCCCAGGTGCTGGCCAGACTGGGTCGAGGCGTGCTGTGGGTGACCCTGGGGCAGATGCAGCACACCTGGCTGGCTCTGCTCAGGGGGGGCCTGTGGCGCACAGTGGCCATCAGTGGGTCGAACCACTGGGCTCATGAAGGCGTTTGTGGAGAAAAGTGGGCCTCCGCTCTCTGTATTAATCCTCGTCATGATAGCTGAGGACGTTGGCGGCAGCTGTCCCATCATCTGGCTGTGGTCTGCTGCTTTCACATCCATGTGGCTAATAGCGGGAGCCGATGGAGGACATGGTTTGGGCCGCTTTCCCGTGTTCAGCATCACCTCCTCCTGGGCCTGCCGCTTGGAGATGATCTTCACTTGTCGCTCCCCAACACCAACTCCGGCCTGGGCTCTCATTAGTGCTGTTTTTAAGGGGGTGTACTCATTTAGCTGAGCTGCACCTGAGCAGGGTGAGAGGGTGTTGTTTGAGGGCTGGGATATGTGGGCTGATGGCCCAGCAGGAGAGGGGGTCGAGCCTTGCTGGCCGCTCATACTGGGAGAACCTGGGTAAGGCTGTTGACTGGAGCTGGGACGGATCAAGTTGTTTACACTGAGGCTTGCCACAGTGCCACTCTGGGACTGGACCTGAGACAGAGGCTGAGACTGGGAGTACGAGATGTTCTGTGGGTGTCTGTTTCCACTGGGACCGCTCACTGTTACCTGTGCAGCAGGTTTAACACTTGCTGTCTCCATGGGTTTAGGTACTTTTTGCTGCTGTCCAGCTGAGCCTCTCTCTTTACTGCTGGACACTGGTGGGGTTTTTGGGGGCTCCCATGAGGCTGTGGAAGGATTGGCTGAGGTTGTGTTGTCGCCACTCCGCCTGCTTGGACTGTCTTGTTCAAGCATGGCCAAAGCCAGCATCTCTGCCTGCTCAGATGTGAATGTAAATGTCCCGAACGAGCCGGTTGATGCACTGATACTGTGGCCCTGAGGAAGCATCGATGCAACTGAGAACCCTCTTCCTCCCCCTGCTCCCGTTGACATCGGCGAATCCGTTTGTCTGCTCGATGTTATTGGATGCTCTATAGTTTGATTGTCAAGATTTGTGTACACCTGTTGTGATAAGGTTACGTCCTTTCGGGAGGGGGGGTCTGAAGCTGCTGCCACCACATTTTCTTTCTCGACAGCTTGGTTTTGTCTCTCTTCCTGAGCCTCCCTTTCTCTTCGAGGGGGCTGGACTGGCTTGACTTCAGTGGGCTGACAGGTGGGAGGGTTGGGTAAATCAGTCTGCTGGGCAGGGGCTCTACTGGTACTAATCCTTTTCCTAAACTCTGAACTTGTTGTGGGAGCTGTCACAGAGCTGTGGGCAGCAGAAAAGGTTGCTGTGGAAGTCGATGATAGTGCCACAGTTGTGCAAACCAAAGGAGAAACCGTCTTTTGGGGTTCAGGTTTAGTACAGGGCAGAGGAGTTTGGGTATTAGATCCTTGGGGACGGCATACTGACGCAGGCTGGGTGGGCTGATGTGAAGATACACGTGTGGCTGTGGGGACACTGCTGGTGCCAACAGAAGTCAGACGTACAGTAGAAACAGAGGTGGGAGTATTCTGAGTGTCCGCGGCAGAGCTGACCACTGATCTGGTCTGTTTTGAAACAGGAGGCGAGGCAGCTGGCTTCGTTTGTATCGCGCTAGCTGCTGAACTAGTGGCTGGCTGTTTAACCTCTGGCATTGGGAGTTTGGTTACAGTCGAGTTGCTGCTAAAAACTGTAGCTGGTTCACTTTCAGAGACCACAGCTTCTCTTACTGAGGGTTTGACTGATGTGACATCAACAGTTGTGACGGCAGGTGCCACGCCACTCTTACTTGTGTGAACATCAGTCTGAGTTTCACCTACAGAGCTTTTGTCCTGCGGGTTGGGTTGACCTAATGTACTTGTCTCATTAGAGGAACTACACACAATCATTACCTGTGAGTTTTGTGTAGATGTGACATTATCTGTAGTTTCGCTACACACAGTATTGATGGCAGCTGTGGTGCGAGTGGAGGGACTATCTGTAACCTTCACAGTCGAGGATTGCAAAACTTGTGATGCTGTAACCTGAACCATCTGATTTTGTCCTGGTGTAGCCTCTGGCTCGGCTACAACTGCATGCTGGGCCTGACTGAGCTCTTGTTTCTTGGCGGCTTTAGTCCTCTTTGCTGTTGCACTCTTTGCGCTCGCATTTGAGCGAAGCCTTTTTCCTGCAGGCTTAGAGGCTTTAACCACCAACCCTGATTTTACTTGGTTCGAACCAGGGACTTGAAGCTGCCGGACAGGTAGAGCAAGAGTAGTTCCAGGGACAGACGCTGGAGCAGGCTGTTTCTGCTGGACAACTGATGATGGAACAGCTGGAGGTTGACCATTGTTCTGGGTTGTGATGGTAATTGGAAGGCCCTGAGAGATGCTCTGATTGAGACTGCTGAGCGCCCCTAAACTGTTGAGGGCCACATTGGTAGTTGGTTCCTCTGTGGTGGTAGGCTGAACCAGCTGAAGTGTACTCTGGCCACTCTGGGAGGCTGATTTGTCAGACGTCTTCATGGGCTGCAGCGCGAATACCTGACCGTTCACAGTGATAGTCTGTGGGGTTGAGGGTACAGGTGGGGAAGAGGAGGCCTGTGTGACCTGAAGCGGTTGGTTCATTTGGGGCTGAACGGGGCGTGGTAAAATGTGCACCAGCTGCTTTCCTCCAATGCCCTGTAATGAAGACGATGTTGTACTGCTGGTTGTGGGTATTTGAGGAACTGCACTGGGTACCATGCCAACCTGAGGATTATGGGCGGCAGGTGTGACCTGATTGGGTGCCTGAATAATGACAATATGCTGACAGGGTGTCTGATTGGTTAATTCATCTCTTACAACTGACTGGGTCGGGCACGCACTGGCCTGTTGCAGGATGACCACACTCGGGTTGTTAGTGTTTTGTGGCGCTGTTGCACCTGAAGCTGTCCCCCCAGTGGGGTTAACCTGTAGCACCTGCATGGTCTGAAGAAGAGGAAGAACTGTGGCCTGTGGTTGAGGTACCAGTGTTTGCTGGGGGAGGGGCTGAGGCTGAGGGATGAGAGCTGTTGTAGGATGGGGAACCAATGATGCTGGCTGAAGTACAGCAGGCTGGGGTTGTGTCACGACCGCAGGATGGGCCACGACAGCAGGCTGGGGCACTATTGCTGAATGGGGAAGAACGGCACATTGAGGTTGGGGGGCTATGACAGGTTGAGGCTTCGGGTGGTTCAGAATTGCTGGCCGTAGCTGAGGTGGACTTTGAAAGGGCTGTGCTTGGATGTGAGCTGTTATGGGTGCTTGCTGTACAGGCACATGTGATTGCATCTGTATTTGAATGGGCTGAACAGAAGGTTTGGAGCCCAGTGGACACACAGTCACCTGCTGCACAGCCTGGCTGGTGTTGATGACTTCTTGGGTGGGGACACTCTGGCAGACTGGCTGCACTGTGTTCCCCGCCATCTGCAGCGTTGTCCATGTCGTCTGTGTGCTACCTGCCGCCCCTGCTCTTAGAAGAGCTTGGCTGTTCGGGATTGCAGTATAACTTAAAGTCCTGATGGCTGTTTCTTGAGTGGCCCAAGAGCCAGCTTCAGAGGCTGTGGCTTTCAGTGTCGGTATAGTCTGGGTGAGAGTTGCTAGAGTGGTAACAGGCTGAGCAGGGCTTACTCTGGGTAACTGTGAAGCTGAAGTGGCTGCTATACTGATGGTTTGGGCTGGGGCAGCAGGCTGTGTTTCTTGGGGCAGGGCTGTGGAGGCTGCAGGGACTTTGAGGGTGATGTAAGACACAGAGGGTGGCAGAGTGGGTGCAGCAGTCGGGGTCTCGACCACACATTGCTCTATCACGCTCAGGCCTGGTGCAGACTGAATGGGTTTGACAGTAGACCCAGGAACAAGTGCAGGGGTGGAAGATGAAGTATTGACTTGCAGCACAGCTCCGTTAACCCTCAGACTGGAGCTGACCTCTGAAGATGGCTGAAGGATTAATGTCTCAGAGGGCTGTTTCCCTGGACTAGTCTCCTTCCCTGCTGGGCACATCACATTGCCGTTGGAATAGACGATGATCCCCTTTGGAAGTTGGTGCGTTGGGGTAACCTTAGCAACCTTGGTGCAGCGCTGTTTTCCCTTCCAGTGAATGGTGGGGTCCTCCAGGATGTTGATATCGTGGGCTTTGAGAAGCTCAATGTAGTGAGCACTCTCCCTCCTCAGCTCCTCCAACTGACGTCGCAGCCGCCGTATCTCCTCAGCTGCCAAGACCAAAGAAACGCACAATCAGATGAGGGTATGTGGTCATTTGTCAAGGCTTCAAATACATAAACTTTATAATCACACCGTCATTACTTGAATTACTATTAAACTTGAGAATATTTGTGAGAAAATGAAAAGTCACCTTGAACTTTATCACCTCCTTCTAGAAGCATTGTATCATTTTGTTTTTTCAGTTCAGCGATGTAGTGAAAAGCCTGGTCCAAGATCATGTTCTTGCTCTATTGACAATGATATAAAGGACTGATGTTAATATATGTGGCACAGCTATTCTCAACAAACACTAGTTTGACCTCCGTGTTCCTCAAAGCAGTAACAGCAGCTCATCTCTTACCTGCTTCAGTGCCTGGGAACAGGGCAGGAGGTCTCCAATGCGGTTTATCCCAGCATTAATCTTTTCTTTTCTGTGTCTCTCAACTAAACAAAAGCAAAAAGAAATTGAATATTTACTTATACTTGAAGTGACACCTCTGTTCATTAGAGAACAGAGTTTGAACAAAAGGTTTGAAGCAAAATTTAGTTCACCTGCATTGTGAGACTCTTTGTTTTTCTTTTTTCTGTAAAAAAAATAAAACAAAAGTTCACTCATGTTATCCTGCCAAGTGTAAATATTTGGTTGAAACCACAAAACAGCATATAAACAATCCTTACTTGGGTTTACGACCAGGTGTCTGGGTTTCAGTCATTTCTGGCATCCTGTACTAGCAGATGCCCTTTCGAGAAAGTACCAGTCAACACATTTAACAGCTTGGCTTCAGATCCTTTTCATGCCCACTCTGAAAGACAATATATACCATCCAGACAGATTATGAAGGTGTGGAAAACAACGACTGGTCATAACATTATAATTAATCTATTATTAGCATTAGATTATTATTAATCTAATGCAACCCAAAATACAGCAGCTCTTAAAGCTTTATGTTCTTTTTTGTTGAGATGATCAGATAGGTGGTAATATTTATTTATATAGTGCCAATTCACAACAGTCGTCCCAACCTAAGATGGGATTTGATCAATCTCATCTAACATGAGTGACAGTGGCAAGGAAAAACTTCCTTTTAACAGGCAGAAACCTTGAGCAGGACCAGACTCATGCCAGACAGCCACCGAGAGAGAGAAAGAGAGAAGTGGTAAGAGGGCAGGGGGAGAGAAAGAGAACAAGATAGAGGGAAGGAGATTGAGAATGAGTAAGGGAAAGGGAGGGAGAGAGAGTAGAGAACGAGGGTCACGGGACAGCAGCAACATTAAAACAACAGCAGCTCATGTAATGGTGAAACAAAATGAATTCAGTTTGCAGGGTTAAGATATGTGTAATTATGGACTATGTTAAATTAATTTAATGTGATTACAGTCAGCAGGCCTAATAGTAGTTAACTCTAGTTTTATGTTCAGTGAGGCTGACTTTACACTTGTCAGAGAGGTAGTGAGCCTTGGTGGTGTACTAGAGTGTATAATAATGGGAGCTGTTCCTCATATTCTGTCTACTTCATTAATAAACAAGATGGAGGCCAAAATATTAGGAACACCTTTCACTATAAATGCACTACAGTTCACCATTAGTAATCACGACAGCTTCCACGAGTAAATAACGTCCAAAACACGACTAGGTACATATTGTATCAGAAGAGCTGTCGTGTAATAAGTAAAGGAACAGATATCGGAGGTTTAAAAGCCCTTTTAAGCTACACTAAACCCCAAAGAGATGCTAATAAGCTGCTGTAGACAAACATATCATGTACAGTTAACCTGAGCTTAACTACCTGTTTATGCCATTATAATTACAGGACAGGCAGGTATAACTTTATATTTGCGTTAGGACTCGTAGATATTTCAGTTTTTATCTCTTCACTTCACTAAAACCAAACTAAACAACCTAGTCAATTAATTATTCAGCTAGCTCTCTGTTAGCACGCTGGCTAACAGCTAGCCAGGCTTCCCGTCACCGACCCTGTTATCAAGCAAATTAACATGAGACTTCTCCGCGTTTATACTCCTCTGGAAATGCAAACGGGTAGCGGTTTCCACTGACCTCTAGCCTCGGCATTTTGGAGACAGTCTGTCCCTGCGGAAACTTTGAGATAGGAGGCTAACTATATGCTAGCAGAGCACACAACTCAACTCATCTCTCATAACAATCTCGAGCTACCTACCTTCATGGAGAAGTGGGTGGGATCTAAAGGGTGTAACAGCCAATAGTATGGGAGACATGGGAGTTTTAGACCAATCACGATGTCTACAAGGGGCATCGAAGGACGAGGTCAATCTGCTTTGCATTTTCCCATGCAGTACACGTCTCCAACAGTGTTTAATATTTCTGTTCATTTAGCTTAAGAATATTCATGTTAATGACACAGAATGAGACAACAACCATGAAATTTACTGCAAATAGTAATTCCTTTATTTAGACGTTAAAAAGTCTTACAATATAGAGCTCCAGAAAAGATAAAATTCTTCAAAGAAAGGAAAAACATGCTTATACTACAGTGGAGAGGACACAACTCTCCCGCATGCAGAGGGGTCAGAGCTTCCATAGGGTAAAACACTTTTCAAAAGACCAGACCAAAAGTTTCAAACAATCTGCAGGGCTTCAAAAACCTTGATGATGGTGTTGGTAACAACAGAAGTTGACTGAGGCAGGAAGTCTGAGAAAACCATTTTCTGCTTGGTGGCTACATAAGGTGCCAAGGGTGTTGAAGGTAAGATGTCTCAAAATGCTTACATGCATTTAGAGACATATGTCCATACACACACCTTCAATGCCCAAATCTAATCCTAAACAGCCAATCTGTTGTCAGTCAAACATTCCCCAATATCAGTGACCGCCCTTTGCAGAAACACATTCAATAAAATATTTAGTTTCTCATTTCCAATGTTTTTCACTCTTTATAGTAATCCCTTGAAAGCCTCAGAACCATTTGCCATCTTAATGTGAAACTGAAAAACAAAATCCAGAGGGGAATTAAACCAGCAGGCAGTAAAATAAAGTTACTCAGAAACTGAGTGGTGACCAAGTCTTCCCACCACCTCCGAACCGTTCAGCTTTCCTTGTACCTGAACTGTGATGGTACATTTCTTCTTTTCCCCTCTGATAATGAAAACTCAACTGGCTGGTCAGACACATTTCCCATCAATCCCAGGATTCAGGAGGCGAGAGCACGGCAGAACTACTCTTCCACAAACAATTCAACGCATCAACTCCAGGCTGACCAGCTCAAACTTTGTGTCAGAGGCGGTCTTTGAAAACCCTTTGACAGCTTCAGAACTGTCTCCCTCAGCTCAGCTGTATAGATATGTCCTCTTTAGCTTAATAACCGCATAAAAATAACTCGAACACAAAAAGTAAGATTGCAAACACCACACCCTCCCCCCTCCACCGAGTCTAAAACTGTCTGTAGTTGGCAATTCTGTTTACAGGAGCACTTTTTGATACTGAGTTTTTCCTCATTTTCAATTTTCTAAACAAGGGAATGGGAGCTGTAAAATATGCAAAAATCAAAGGGGACCCCTTTGCAAAATAAATGCAGCATTTTTTGTACTTTAAATTCATTTATGTCTTTTTAGCGTCCTTTGAAGAAAGTGTTGAATGTGTCGACCCTGGGGCATTTGTCACAGTTCTGTTTCTGTGGAGGCGGGCACATCTGTGCTCTTCTCAAACGCTGTGCCCCTACTCTGCTTTCTGAAGCTCTCCAGTTGGGGGTGCACACGGGCTGCGCAGACTTTTTTGCAACACGTGGGCATCTGCAGGCTCTATCCTCTTGTAGTAATTCTTTTTTGTTTCAATGATCTCAAAGCCAAACTTTTGGTAAAAGTGAATGGCTGACTCATTGCTGATTTGGACATGACTGTAGAGAGGAAGAGAGGACTTTCATTAGTGGCAGAACAGTCAGAAAAAAAGCCTCCAAAAACAAAAGTAAAGTGATACATGTTTGAAATAATTTAGCAAGAAGTTATGGCAACAGTTACTTCTAAATGGAAACACTCACAGGTAAATGTTGTCAAAAGTGCCATCCTTCTCACAGATGTTAAGCACGTGATTCAACATCTTTGTACCTGGAGGAAAAAAAAAACAGGCAGTGAGGAAAGTCGAACACGAAACCAAGGAGTGCACTGAGAAAGACGCTGGGTTCTTACCAATTCCAAGTCTACGATAGGGTGCTAGACAACCAAGTGTCATAATGTACAGTCTCTTTTGGTTCTGAGAGTGATCCACTCTGCAGCACACAGCGCCCACTGCGATATCATTGAAGTAGGCTGCAAGACAAGGAACAGATACGTTTTCATTACCACCAGAAAAATGGAAATCTTCACTCTCAGCAATTCTTCTTTTTTGCGGTGAGCAGGGAAATATTCAGTTTTCATGACAATGCAATTTCATTTGCTGTGTTAAGGAGTATAATTTCTCACCCGGGTATGTAAACCAAGTGCCATTCATCTAGTTGATTATTACAAAACTGATTATATCCATGCCTATTTATTTGTAAAATTTTCATCATCACCTTTTTACATGATCTTAAATTACTTATCCTAATGCACAAATGTCAAACTCAAGGACCTGGGGCCAAATCTGGCCCTTGGAACAATTATATCTGGCCCACGAGACCATATCATATTTGTATTATCATTGGCCCACCAGTATGAGGTCTGCAGATTTCCTCCAGGATAATAATGTAAACTTTAGCACAATTATTTAAAATATCCTTAATAAACCATGAAATTCTGGGACAGTAAAGAGTAACGAAGACTTAATAAAGAGTAAAAAATGTTGGGAATTTTTTTTTTTGTTTTATCCATATTTCCAATTTTGCATCTCAAGATTAGAAGTCAAACATGATTTGACTTTTTACTTTGTTTTTTGATTTTTTTCCACTCAGTCTTTTGATTTAGGTCATTTTAATCCTTTAGAGTCCAATTTTAAATTGTACGTCATATTTTGACTTAAAACTCGACTTCAAAATGATCTCATATTTTGAGCTTTCAAACTTATGATTTCAACTTTCTCCTCATGTATTTGTTTTTTAAAAGCATTTTTTTATTTTTAATATCGTGTTCTGATCTTTTGAACTAATCTGGGGGTTTTTTGTGTTTGTTTTATTGCTTTTTTTTTTTTTTCCTCAGATTGTCTTGAAATTGATCGTTTTTACCTTTTGAATTCCCAAGTGGTTTATAATCATTGCTGATTTTGTTATATATATTATGAAAAGGAGGCTGACAGTATGGGTTAAATGTTGACCCTGATGGGCCCTCAGGTTAGACTTAAATCCAGATCATGGCCACTGCTGTGGTTGAGTTTGACACCCCTGTCCTAATGTTTGTGACATGAATGGTGCGTCTTACCCAGCTTTGCAAGCTCTCCGACTTCCAGTACGTCTTTGTAAAACTTGTCATTGTAGCTGACGGGGAAGATGACCTGGTTCAGGCGCTTAAGCTGTTTAATGTTGTGGGGTGTAACATCCCCCAGTTCGATCCGGCTACTGGAACAAGAGCAAAACGGTCAAATAACTGAGAAAGGTACAGCTCAGACCTCAGGCGATTTACATATCTCTTGGATATAATGTGATCAATTTTAGTTCTTTCAATATTTTCAAAAACAACAAAAACCTCTATGTTTTGTGAATCAAATAAAACAGTTTTTTAAAATATTACTTATGATGATACATGGCTGCTCTTTGGATATGAATAGTTAGGAGTCAATAAAAATAGCAGTCAGTAATTGTGATGTTCATAACTATTATAGGAAACAAAAATAAATCAAGAAAGAGCGAGAATGATCACATAGATATTTAAGTGAGACAACGCATCCAAAATAACAGCTGTTGCTCATTTGTGTTGCTCATACAGCACCAGCTACAAACAATAAAGTCTGAAAGACATGACCTGATCCATAAGTGCAGTTTAGTCATGATCATCTGGTTGTTACCTGAGAACCAGGACCCCTGCCCAGAGCTAGTTTTACTTTGACATGTCAGGTTACAGTACACACGCTGCTACAAACTCTGATCGAAGTGTAATATTAACACACCAACGAGCTGTGCCACCAACTTGTCGGGTAACCTGATAAAATGTTGGGGCTAACCTACCAAAGTTCAGTTTGGCTAACTTTGACGTGAATTATCCAGGATCCGGTGTCTCTACCTTTTTAGCTTAGCTCAAGTAGGTTTACTGACTCAGCTTCACTCAGCACATAGCAAATTAGCTTCACCCGTTTGCTTCCTAAATAAAGCGACAAGCAGCTTAAATGAAGGACGAAATGTACGGCACGGGTGTTTCAGCGAATTTGACGTCGCTTTTCTGTTTTCCTCAATCGTTAGTATAAGTAGCATAGCCTGCTAGCTAGCCTCCCCGTCTCCTCCCCTTGTAGAAAAAAACTTTACTCGTGCTAAGCTACTTATTCGAGACTCAAAAGCTTAAACTCACCCTTTCATTGTAAACAGATAATATCCCTTATTTTCGATGAGGCTGAACTTTAGAGTTGTTTTGGGTGAAATGGAGATATTTTGACAGAGTTAGGGTCGGGGATGCCTCCCGTTTTACCCTCCACATGTAGCTAGATGCGGTGGTTGCAGTTAGCTTAGCCGCCGCACTCCTTCCACGACTGTGTCGGGACTGTCAACCCTGACCCCACGCATGCGTACAAACGCTGCTGCATTTGTGTCAGAGGTTTTTACACCCTGAGCTAGTCTGTCAGGGTGCCTTAACGGTCCTCAACATCCACTTAGAAAACACAGAAATTTGGTGATACTTATCAAAATTTCAGCACACCCAAATGAAAATAAACAATGGCATATTCATATTCTACAATATTTCACCATTTTCCAAATTCGTGGAAAATATTGAAGACTTTTCTTGATAAAATAATGAAAATGTCTCAACATAACAGAGCAATGGGAAAAGACGGACACAAAACCTGGAAGGCAAGAATTAGGGCCTAATAAGAGTTTTTTGGTAAGTTTATACATAAAAGCAACTGTATTTTGTCTATATTAATTCAAGAAATTTAATCAATGGAGGGGGCTATTAACAATACACTGACTTTGAACAGAAATAAAGAATATCAATCTGTTGTTATGGACATTGCCAGATCATTTTTAGAGGTACCACAAAGGATCAATCGTAAATAATAGCTTTTTAATTTACCTTACCGCCTCAATATTTGAATTTATGTTTGCAGACTAGTAAAATTTAGAGTAAGTAAATAATTAATAACAGAAATTACGCGCCTCCATTTTGGCTCAAAGGTTGTCGTAAAGATGTATATGTTAGAAGAGATCGACCACCACCTCGGTTTAGTCAAACATCTAAATTATGTAAAAAGCCCTACAAATACATTTGTTTATGATGGGCATATTTGTTGTTAAGATTTTCATCTTAATAATCTTGAAACAAAAAAATCATTATTGAAAATATCTAGACTTTCATTGTAACAATGTATAAAAAAAACAACAAGCCTCCGTATAACTGGAGTTGACTGAAGACTAAATCCAGGTCTTGATTTATCTATCACTCGTCTTTTTTTCACTTGAATATCTTTGCGGGGATCTCGGGGCGGATCCAAAATGGCGGCAGTTGCAGCGGCCCAGCAGTAAAAACGGAGCGTAGAGTGAATGAAGTCAGCTGATCTCAGCCTGCTGTCACGCATCGCAGCACCCGTCGTTTCTCCCTCGAGCTAAGACAGAAAACCACCACTTCACAACCAGACGGTAACTATAAATTCTTGTTCGCCTGATTTTGACATTTTTAATAATACATACTGTAATTGGCTGTTTTGTGTGACGATAACATGAAATTAGCTTCCTCGTTGCAGCAAAATCGGTTGAGGCATCAATTTCTAGCCAGGCCGAAGGACCTCTCATTCTTTAATACAGAATATCAAACACCGCTGACTCACGTTGTTTTACTGTTAAAACAAATTGCTGTCTCAAGGAAATTACATATATGTTAGTCTTAATTTTTTCGGCCGACTTTAGCTGTTTATGTTGCAATAGCTTGGTGCTGTTTAGAGGAAGCTATCAAACTGAATCGAGATCAGGTTCAAAGCAATGTCATACAGCCCCGATTATCATTTAAACCGACTACCTGGTTATGTATGGGTATTTTTTCAGTATAATAACACAAAATGGCTGAATTATATACGATGAGCTACCTGCATGTAAGGAATTTGCAATTAACATGAGAGTGTCAGGATCTCACATACATGTAACATTTCTGTCACATCTATCTTCCTTTACATGCCTCTGTCAAGTGGTAACCTTACACTCTCTTTGCAAACTGGGCATTGCCAGACAAAAAAATATTAATAATAAAAAATAAAAACCCCAGTTACAATAATACAGGTCCAGCATATATGTCTCTGTCAGACTAAGAAGCTGTTGAGTCCTTTTGGTGCTTTAAATCTGAGCTCTAGTGTCAGCAGATGACCATTTCCACCTTTATGTATTCATCACAACCTATAGATGCACATCTATAAATCTGTGGTCTGGTTTAACAGTGGGGGGTACAATTATGAGCGGGCTTTAATTAGACTTTCTGTTGAGGATTATACTCGCAAAGGAGATTTTTTTGTTTCCACATACATACACACACAGTTTAATTTGTACTTCCCAGTTTTGCACCATGTTAGTTTTCCACTTCCTGAAAGAGACTCATACAGACCAGGCCAGCCAGTCATGTGCCAGGATCATATGACCAAGTTTCATGTCTGTTGTAGGAGTTATGAGCTGGGAACTTGTCTTGAAGTATTTATTGTAATGTCATAAAAGGTTTTATTTGAAAAGATAAACCACATAGTTGATTTTTTTTAGAATTAGAGTTAATCAAAAGACAGAGTTAATCATTTTTTTTAACTAATCAGCAAAACAATAGAGCTTATCTCCCCACTGTACTGTTCTTTAAAGTTCAGATACACACTGATTCAGCCCTATATCCAAATGTTAGAGATGCACTCAGTAAGATAAAACAAACCTAATCATCGTTGAAAAGCAAGATCATGTTGATAGTTTAGCTCTGTGTTTGAAGTACTTGCGAACAGAGTGAAGCATTTTTAGGTGTATTTCTTGTAATTCCTGCATTGACCTATTGGTGGAGCTGGCATTGTACTGCACAGATGGACTCAAAGCAGCCTAGCATAAACAGGAAGATCTGTATCAGTGGGAAGGACAAGAAAGGACATGGATGTAAGCTCTGTTTGTGTGGTGGGATTGTTAGAGAAAGAATGAGGAATATCTTTGGAGCATGTTGACTCGAAGTAAAGCTGCTTCAGGAACTGTGCAGAGCATCTGCAGTCAGCTCTGTGTGGGGATGGGTTTGTGTCACGACTGATGACAGCTTGAGCTTTTTTTTCCCCTACTGCATGAAGCTTAAAGGCATCAGAGTAGTGTTCAGGGAATATGGGACGTGAAGATGACAAAAAAATGGGAATTAAAAGAGACAAATTTGCATGCAAAGATGCACCTATGGAAAAGCTCTGCACCTCTGTATGAAAAGGAGCTGTTTACATACACATACTGTGCAGTAAGAGTCAAACAGAAACAGAAACATGCTGGTCTGTGGGATTCCCCTCTGATGTTCGCCTGATGCGTCACACTGACAATTCCGACCTGATCCTGAAGATGGCCTGTAGTGTTGAGGAATACTGTGTCGTGAGGAGGGATGTTGCTTTATTTCAAGGCGGTTCCCATAGTAACCGTAGGAGATGCCATGTTCAAGTTACCAGGCATACTGCCAGGCTAATGTGCATCTGTGAACGGATGATTCTTACGTTCATCTTTTAATTTTTGAATAAATCACCCTTGCTTAATTTCTTTATTATTTATTTTAGCTTTTATGATAAGATCATAACCAGCTTAGCTTTCCCCCAATAAATAGATGTCTCTGTTGACATGTTCTGAGACAAGAAATGACTGTAACAAAACTGTTCAAAGCCTTATAAACTACATGTCTGCCAATAACAGCTCTTGCTTATTAAAATGACAGGTCATATTTGTCAAAAATGACTATTACAGCTGAGTAGATCACCTCTCCTCTTGTTATAAGCTTAGTTTTTTCCTTTTTTGTCGTCTATGGCTCTTACGTCTTCCTCACATTAAGCCTGTCTTTCCTGCTCTCCTTCTAAGTGAGACTTGGAAACCTGTGAAGATGGACACGTCCAAGCTGCCAAAGATGAGGGATGAGGAGAGAGAGAGCCAGTTTGGATATGTTCATGGAGTCTCTGGTCCAGGTCCGTAATCGCACACTCATAAAACTGTTTGCACTTACAAGAGGCCTGTAGATGAAATTCAGCTGCAGCTCTGTTTATTTATGTTGATTTGAGCTTGTTCTCTGTGTTTGTTTTTCTAGTGGTGACAGCTACAGCCATGGCGGGGGCGGCCATGTACGAGCTGGTCCGTGTCGGCCACAGTGAGCTGGTGGGAGAGATCATCAGGCTGGAGGGGGACATGGCCACCATCCAGGTCTATGAGGAGACATGTATCCTTCTGATCACAAAGCGATTTGTCAAGAAGCTTCAGTTTTTTTATGGAACAGTTTTCAGCTCTGTTTGATTCAGTCAGGGGTCAGGGGTGAAAAGAAGATGCAGAGTGATAATAACATTTAGGAACAACAATTAAAAAGCAGAATTTTACCATTAAATATAGAGCAAAATGGGATTTTATTATTAAGATATGTGAAAAAAATGTGTAACATGGACTAAATCCTTGTCCTTAAAACAGAAATGTAAAATATTCTAGCTAACCTGCTCGTGTAACAGGAAAAAACTGTTCAGGAAAAAGTCAGAACTGTGCTGATTTACGTACACATAGAAACACAGGATCACAGAGTCTGATCATGTTGGTTTGGAGTGTATGGCTAATGTTGACAGAGCCTACAGTTCTCTGTGCAGCTTAAAGGGATAACGTGGCGTAAAATTAATTTAGGGTCAAACACACCGCAACACCGAGTTAGACACCCCCTTTAGAGATGAATGTTGCCGACCGCTTGCTTCTCTAGTTATACCAACTTTAGTAACCACCACAGGATAGCGATACACAGCGGTCTGAGGAGCCATAAACAAACCTCAACCAAAACACCACTCTATAGCCACAAATAATGCTCAGAACAGCACCTAACTTCATCAACAGTACATACAGGGTCGTAGCCACAGCACTAGCCACCAAACATCTTTTTAGCTTTGCCTAATTTCTTTAGCAAAGAGACTAAACACAACTCACCTACTCTCTTCCAGCAGCAACTTGTTTGTAGTGAGACCTCAGGCTAGTTTATCATCGACTGCAGCGGGGTGACACAGCTCAAGGAAGAACATTTATGATCATGTCGTTCATGGGAATGCAATCAGACCGAGACGCTAAAGCAGAAGAACTACCGTGTCTGCAGTGCAAAATGATTAATATGGTGATCATGACTTCAAGGAAATGACAAAGAAATGATCATAAATGTTCTTCCTTGAGCTGCGTCACCCCGGTGCAGTTGATGGACTGGCCTGAGGTCTTGCTACAAACAAGCAGCTGCTGGAAGAGAGTAGGTGAGTTGTGTTTAGTCTCTTTGCTAAATAAATCAGGCAAAGCTAAAAAGATGTTTGGTGGCTAGTGCTGTGGCATGGACCCTATATGTACTGTTGATGAAGTTAGGTGCTGTTCTGAGCATTATTTGTGGCTATAGAGTGGCGTTTAGGTTGAGGTTTGTGTATGGCTCCTCAGACCGCTGTTTATTGCTATCTTGCGGTCATTACTAAAGTTGGTATAACTAGAGAAGAAAGTGGTCGGCAACATTCATCTCTCGAGGGGGTGTCTAACTCTGTGTTGCGGTGTGTTTGACCCTAAATTAATCTTATGCTGGAATATCCCTTAAACACCCACACACCTGTGCACATGTGTAGACGGCACCGCAGAGCCTCCTGTTTTTATCAATGGAATACTATTCCTCACAGCTCTTAGTGAATCATTACTTCTATCATCCCAGATCTGCTGTCAAAGAGACGGAGTATTAAAAAAAATTCTGAGTTAAAGCTTTGGGAGATCAGTGATGCTGCCAAGCATCAATATATTCGTCTCTCCAGTACAAACATATTCTTTTTCCCTGAGCTTGAGTCCAGCTGGCGTGTCTGTTGGAGATCCAGTCCTGCGGACGGGTAAGCCTCTCTCTGTGGAACTGGGTCCAGGAATCATGGGCTCCATCTTTGACGGTATCCAGCGACCATTGAAGGACATCAATGATATCACACAGAGCATCTACATCCCCAGAGGTGTAAACATTGGAGCCCTCAACCGAGACCTGAAGTGGGAGTTTATCCCCAGCAAGAGCCTGCGGGTGCGCGTTAACTCCAAATCTTAAGCTTTTTGTGTTTCCTTTAGCAGATAAATTAAATGTGAACTGTATTTTTTTAGGTTGGCAGTCACATGACAGGAGGAGACATCTACGGCATGGTGCACGAGAACTCCCTTATCAGGCACAAGATCATGCTGCCGCCCAGGAACCGAGGCACAGTCACCTACCTGGCTCCACCAGGAAACTACGACGTCACCGTGAGTCCATCGCACCTCCAGCTTAAGCCATGAAGTAGCTGTTATTTAGTGCCTTTTCTGATTGTGCCTGATTCTGTCCCAGGATGTGGTGATGGAGCTGGAGTTTGAGGGTGTGAAAGAGAAATTCACCATGGTGCAGGTGTGGCCCGTCAGACAAGTGCGTCCCGTCACAGAGAAGCTGCCCGCCAATCACCCACTGCTGACTGGACAGAGGGTGCTGGACGCCCTTTTCCCGTAAGCCAGTGAAAATGACCTCTGCATGAATGTTTACCTGCGCTGGTTTCTTTTTTAACTCTTCCTGTTTTGCAGATGTGTGCAGGGAGGAACCACAGCCATCCCAGGAGCCTTTGGCTGCGGAAAAACTGTCATCTCTCAGTCCCTCTCCAAGTACTCCAACAGTGACGTCATCATTTACGTAGGCTGCGGGGAGCGTGGTAACGAGATGTCAGAAGTACTGCGAGACTTCCCTGAGGTGGGTATCAAAGCCCAGGCACATTGTACCACAGGTGTTGTGACTTTGATGGGTGTTCTGACCGTGTCGTTTCCCCATCAATAGCTCACCATGGAGGTAGACGGTAAGACAGAAAGCATCATGAAGAGAACAGCACTGGTGGCTAACACCTCCAACATGCCTGTAGCTGCCAGAGAAGCCTCCATCTACACAGGTACCTGTCAACCACACTCTGAAAATCTACTATTTCTCTAACTGTATGTGAAGACTGTGCTGACTCGGTTTGTTTGTGCAGGAATCACGCTGTCCGAGTACTTTAGAGACATGGGATACAATGTGAGCATGATGGCTGACTCGACCTCCCGTTGGGCCGAGGCTCTCAGGGAGATTTCAGGACGTCTGGCTGAGATGCCTGCAGGTGAGTGAGCGATCTCCTGGAGGGTGGATAAAGAACCTGAGTCTGCTTCGGAGTCTGAACCTTTAACAAAGTATTAAACACCAGCATTGTTGGAGGGCTTATCATAGATGTAGGTCACCAGTCTGACTCAGGGTTTACAGGAAATGAAAGTATAATTGTTTGTTATTTGGGTCTTTCATAGTCATTAGAATTGCGTTAAATTAAAGGATGACGAATAATCTTTTGCTTTCACAAGTAAAATCAATTGAGGGTTCTTGAGCTTTATTAAGAAGAATGTGCTCATTAAAGAAAAGCCTACCATTGCGCCCTCTGCTGATTAATTTTGTGGTCTACCACACGGCACCTCAAGTCCCCATGACCAGACATAGATCAAATCTTGGCAAAATCATAAACTTTACATTTTTGCCTTTTTTACCTTTTCAGACGGGGATCTTTTAATTTTCAGTGTTGGAAATGGGCTTCCATACATTTTGGACGTTTAGGGCAACAACTTCATTTGTCTTAAGATGTTAAAAAGTATATTTTTTATCGATTTGTTTTCTTATTACAAGTCCCTTTTTAAACCAGGCTGTCGCTTAAAGTCTGTATTTAAAGGCACACTGCTCATCATCTCAGGTTCAGCCTTCTTGATTTAATGCAAGGATCATTGATTATTGAGTATTTACTCATAATTCCTGCAGTAGTAGTACTTCTTTGACAGAGAGCCAGCACATTTGTACAATGGTCTTTTCTCTCTTTAATGTAATCATGTTGACCTACTTGGAAGCATAAAGTTTCTCCTCTGTGTCTGAATTAGAGTTTTCTGTGTCTGCCCACAGACAGCGGTTATCCTGCCTACCTGGGAGCTCGTCTCGCCTCCTTCTATGAGAGAGCTGGAAGAGTGAAGTGTCTGGGCAACCCTGAGAGGGAGGGCAGTGTCAGTATTGTTGGAGCGTGAGTACAGCTTCACACCACTAGAGGGAGACAGTACTTTGCACATGTACGGATGGACTAACAGTTGAGCGTCAGAGCCTGATGAATTTTATTTTTCTTTCCCAGTGTGTCGCCTCCTGGTGGTGACTTCTCTGACCCTGTCACCTCAGCCACGCTCGGTATCGTACAGGTACGTGGTTAAAAACAGATCTCACTGTTGTTTATTTAGTAAATAATTGTACTTTAATATCATTTTGCTCCCGATACTTTCTCTCTCAGGTGTTCTGGGGTCTGGATAAGAAGCTGGCTCAGAGGAAGCACTTCCCCTCCGTCAACTGGCTGATCAGCTACAGCAAATACACTCGTGCTCTGGATGAGTATTACGACAAACACTTCCCAGAGTTTGTGCCCCTGCGTACCAAGGCCAAGGAGATCCTGCAGGAGGAGGAGGACCTGGCTGAGATTGTGCAGCTTGTTGGAAAGGTAATATTTAGATAAACTTTTGATTTCCTTGAAGTGAGGATGATTGAAAAAGTTTGGGAATGTAACTTTTTAAAACTTCTTTTAACAGGCATCGCTGGCAGAAACAGATAAAATCACCCTGGAGGTGGCCAAACTGATCAAAGACGACTTCCTGCAGCAGAATGGTTACACTCCTTATGATAGGTAACATCAAACCCAACACAGCATGTCGTTATTCTCACTCTTAGTCACTATTCAAAGCTGGACAAAAGCAGTAAAGCTTGAACTCAAAGTTGAACATTTTCAGTGCATATGGATTTAAATGGCTTTAAAAGTAAATAACTCATCTGACTTTTCTTATCAGGTTTTGTCCTTTCTATAAGACGGTGGGAATCCTCTCAAACATGATTTCTTTCTACGACATGGCCCGGCACGCGGTGGAGACCACGGCTCAGAGCGACAACAAGATCACCTGGGCCATGATCAGGGAGCACATGGGAGAAATTCTCTACAGGATCAGCTCGATGAAATTCAAGGTCTGTGTGTGGGTGTGGTTGTGGGTGTCTGAGTGTGTGCTTGCTAAAGCTTCTGTTAATGTCCTCTTTGTTATACTAAATGTCAGAGTCCTCTTGAAAACTGCCTTAGTGTATCAAAATGATAACAGCCACTGCTCAAGCTCCAAAGACGCAGCACAAAGCCTGTTCCCTGCGTTTGTTAAAACTGTTTCCTTTGTGTGCACAGGACCCAGTGAAGGACGGCGAGGCCAAGATCAAGGCTGAGTACGCTCAGCTGGTGGAGGACATGCAGAACGCTTTCCGCACATTGGAAGAATAGGCTCACACACCTCGTAAAGCCTTTTTGGGTTTTTTCGTCTCTGACCCCTCCACTGCGGAACCACATTCCACCTCCTCGTATCCCCCTGAAACCTGTGTGCTCCCCTGTGCTCCTCTTTTTGCGAGTGATTGTATGAATGTGTGTGTGTGTGTGTGCACATTTTAACGTGGAGGGCAAAGAGAAAGATGTACTGTATTCATTATTATTTGTTGCCTCATATCGGCGTACTCTGGATCCTCTGATTGTGCATGTGTGTGTGTGTCTGTGGGTAAAATGTGTGTGTGTGTGAACGAAGGATCTCTTCCCACTCTTTCTTCCTTTCTCTGTTTACATGATTTCTGTGTGTGTAGCCGTGCTGCTCATCCTGAAGGCGATCGTTCGGGGTTGATGTATTGTAATTCATAAACCATCTGTACAGAAGAGTATTGAATATAAATTTAATAAGATCACTCTATTTATTGCCAGCATTTTGATGTGAAGGCTTCGTTCTATCTTTTTGTTTTTATGGTTGTGTTTTCATGCTGTGTAGTGTTGTGTAACTTTGCTGTGTGAATGCTGTCCAATACTTTCATCATGTTACTCCTGAAGAATTAAAAACATGGGAAAAAAGAAAAAGGCGTCTCTGTGTGTTGTCTGCGGAGTCTGCCATGATGCTGCCGGTGCTGTTCAACTGGTTGCCCTGCATACCGCTCTTAATCTCCAGCACCCTACCCTTGGGATCTTTTATAGGAGTTATTTTAGACACTAACATTGTTATTTTAATGAAGGTCTGAGCTTTATCGAGCAGTTCAGATGAATAAAAGTAGTGTTATTTTTAACTGCTGAAGAAGAAAAAGTTAAACACAAAGAAAGAAAACACGCTTCATACAATTGTTGCCCAGCTCGTCCTCAGGAGAACTCATGAATTACTGAAGGGAGAGGTCATTTAAGAGTCCTTAGCTGCTGATGTGAACACCAATGAGCGTCACCAATGAGATGGCAACTCCCTGAAGGTATGTTTCCTTGGCCGGATGAGATTCACCTGCAACAAAAGACACAGCAGCACATTATTTAAGTCTTCAGAAGAGCTTCAGAGCTGCGCCCCACAAACTGCAGTGTGATTTCTCAGCATTGTGGGACACAAAAGCAGAGATCCTGGGTCCACTACGAGTCAGGTAAGTCACCTGATGACATTAAAGCCTTCTGGTTTTTGATCACACACACATGTTGAGACATGTAAGAGGATCAGGCGCCGGGAGAAAAGGCATTTAGGCGCATGTTTGACGGATTTATGAATGTGATAATAACCGTTTATCATCTTCATGTCGTGAGATAAGACCTGACATGCATGTTGACTGATAGCTACTATTATCAGCTAACCCAATCTAAGCTCACAGGAGTTTAGGGGGGTGTATGCTGGTGTTTCCTGCTTTCATGTAAAGCCAAAATGTGTGCAAATGTTTTGAATTTTTTGACACATAAACAAAACCAACAAAAAAAAAAAAAGAGTTTCGAGTGTGTAGAAGTCTGTGTTTATCGACATGTCTATATTTCCTCCTTCAGTCAAACCAGTTCAGTCACAACGATATGAGCTTCACCTGCGGAGCTGCCTCGAGCGACTTTCATCGAGTTCCCCGCCTAAATTTAGGCCGTGCTCCCACAGTCACTCTGAATTACAAAAACACATCTATTCATGTCGATTTGTAGGACATTTGGACATCTTTGTGACACGGTTGGAGAAGTGTGTTAAATGACAGTGTGTCCTGAGGTTCTCACAGATGTACGTCTTTGTTTGAGAGCAGCGCAGCAGATCAGATGGACCAGGTGTCGTACCGGTCAGTGGCGGCCAGTGATGATATCACAGACGAGTCAGTGTCGCTGGTGGAGGACAGGTGGAGCTCCGATGAAGAAGAGGTAAAAAAGTAAAAACAATAGCTATACTACAGGGGAGAGGGGGTAAGTTGAGCCAAAGGGTAAGGTGAGCCACCCCCTGTTGCTTGCAAATGGTGGAAGAAATTGATCATGTGACCAACTATTTAGGAGATGTGCATCAATTCATGGAGTCTGTGAAGGTGAGAAGCACCTGGGTGAAGGGGTTAGACATTTATTTCCAAAAAAACATTTTTCACTCTTGAAATTGAATTTGTGTTCAGACCAAAAAAGAGGTAGTAGGGATACGACTCAACTTACCCCACACATGGGGTAAGTTGACCATAGGAGACCACTTTTTTGTCATGCTATATTACCAAGACAGTTATGTTTACACTCATTCTGTTGGTTTACAGGGATGTATAACATCTTGAAATATGCAGATACACTAGTTAGAGACAAAACTATGATCGCCTTGATGTAGTGATCCGAAATATGAAAAATGGCTCATCTTACCCCACTCTCCCCTACACTCTTCTGCTTTATAAAGCGTTCACATGTCTGTATAGATGCTTCCTGTTCCCTCTCTGATGAAAACCCCCAACAAAGTTACAAATCTAGCTGTTTATCACAGCCCAGCATCTCTGAAAAGATTGATCACTAATCTCTGTGTTTTATCCTGTTAGTCATGTACTTGTAGTAGTTAGCAAACACTGGAACCATATGTCTTAATTCAATGTTTATTTCTCTTCCATCAGACCTCAGACCCTCAGGGACAGTGTCTTGCAGCACCTCAGACTCCTCTCCCGACCTACAAACAGAGGTTTGAAGAGTTCAAGAAGCTGTTTAAAGAGTTGCCAGAGACAGAGAGACTAATAGTGGGTGAGTTAAAAAAAAAAGCTAGTTCCCATGTTTGAGTCAAATATTTGAGTGGATAATATACTTTATCGAGCTCCAATTTTTATCTGTCTATTATGTAAAATTTCTTCAACCTACTGTACGTCATATTCTTCTTTTTATATCATTGTGTAAATTCCCCTACTTGAACTTTGATGCCTCCCAAAATCCTAAACTAAATTTGTTCCACGTCAGTGGAGCGCACCTTTGTTGGTTTTTTAATTATTGAAAACTAATTTACTGTCTATCTCATAAGACGGATGAGGAGAAATCAGGTCACCAAAAGTTGCTTGTCAACTCCTGCCAGTGCCTAATATCTGAAATCTTGCCAATAAATGTAGGCTACTTCCTGCAGGATCTTGCTTCCAATCTCTTGTAGTAATTGTGACTTTAGATCAAAAAGTTTTTGAATACTCAAAGAAGTAACTGCAGAGCTGTCAAATGTTGACAATCTGGTGCATTACTGGTGATACACAGTTGTTGGCAATCAAAGTAGATATGGTGGGTGGACACAGTAAGGATAACTATTAATTTGTATGTGTGTGCATACACACATCATATATGATGGTCTCAGGTTAAACAACAACAAAAATACATCAAGGTTATGTTTTCTTTTTCTGGTGAGCTCTTTAATAAGTGTGAAAAATACATCCCAGTGTCATTTCTATAGATGTGTTTCTTCTCTCCATTTTCCCTCAGACTACCCATGTGCCCTCCAGCGGGACATCCTCCTTCAGGGACGCCTTTACCTCTCTGAGAACTGGCTCTGTTTCTACAGCAACGTATTCCGGGGGACTAAGGTGATAAAAAGTGACAGAGAGAAACACCAAATAAACATTCATGTACCTGCAAAAATATAGTTTACACTGTTAACTTTTAATTTTATGAAGATAACCTTTTGGATTACCACTCTTTAGTTCTTAGAAGATAAAAGTTTAGATAATGACAACTGCAATGTAATGAGGGACATTAAGGCTTGTACTAATAGAGTAAAATCTAGCAAGTTCAGAATTTGAAAAAAGTACAAAAACTAAATAAAAGAATAAAGTAAAAACTTCAGGTAATAAAAAACAAATCAGCTTCTTACAAACAAAGAGCATGAAATTCTATTTTGAAATCATGTGCAACAATTTCACAGGGACACAGACATGATATGTGGATTCACTAATTGCTATATCAGTGCAGCCTCAGTAGACTGAATAGTACCACAACAGTGTCCTATTACTGCTCTGCTGTGAACATCTGATGATGCAATTTTGTCACAATCTTTGATAATAAACATGTGTGCACTACTGAAACCTCGAACCTTCCTTATAGATTGTCCTGACACTTAAAGACATCCAAACTATGACCAGAGAGAAGACAGCTCGGCTCATTCCCAACGCCATCCAGGTCTGCACCAGTACTGACAAGGTAGGTTTTTAAAAAGAGAGCACTAATCACTTCACTTTTGATGAGATTATTGTTGATAAGAAGACACTTTTCATCATTCTATCTTTTAGCTCTTCTTCACTTCCTTCTCGGCAAGAGAGAAAAGCTATTTGGGGGTTTTCCGCATGTGGCAGAACGTGCTGTTGAACAAGGTAAGGGCCTTTTTATATCACCTTAACAAAGTCTTTCAACCACAGACTTTAATCAGTTCAGTCTTAATCTCAGCTCATGCTTCATGTTTCTCAATAGTTTCATACCTCAGTGTCATGTGTCAAGAAACATGTCCACGAGTCATACATTTCCCATGGATCACAATGACAGTTATTAACAGATTGCTGTCGTCACATAATTTCACTGCTGAGAAGCAGCAGCTGTGTGACTTTACCCCACTCTGCTGCAGCACTTATCTAATCAGTCCAGAGTACATATCATACAGCCCCAACCACAGACCGTCTTCCTCTGGGGTTATCAGAGGGTTTCTGCTGTTGCATGTGGGGGAAAGATCTGTACAGAGTAGCTGAGCCGGTTTTGTGAAGAAGTCCAACCGTACAGTCCTGTGTTTATTTTTCTACATACTGAGGTAGGAGGCTGTGTTTGAAATGATTAATATGTATGAATGTCAGAATTAGCAATTAAGTAGACCCCAGTTTAGCCATTAAAAAAATAAATATATAAAGTGTCATTTTAAAGAAAACTTCCGACACATTTCAAGTTTGTTTGTGCAGAAAATTTTAAAGCACCTGTGAGAAACGTTCGATCGACAATTGTTATGCCTCTTGTGGACAAAGCCGAGCTTTACATGTTTTTGCTAAACTCAACTCAACTCAACTTTATTTGTTAAGCACATTAAAACAACCACAGCTGTACGAAGTGCTGTACATAACTAGCCAAAACAACAAGATAAAAAACAATCAAAAAACAATTAAAACAATGGATAAAATAAAAGCAGAATTAAAAGTATTGTTTTAATGCTTTTAAAAACTAATTTAAAGCACCTGTGAGAAACCTTCGATCGACAATTGTTATGCCTCTTGTGGACAAAGCCGAGCTTTACATGTTTTTGCTGATCTTGTCCAGTACATGTGGAAGTGTTTTGTCTGATATGAAATCTAGTCCTCATTTCTTTTAACCTTTCACATATCTCTGTGTGTGAATCTTGAAAACCAAAGCTGTTCCGGCAGTGTGCAGACAGTCACCTCACCTGACACTAACCCGGCAGCAGCAGCAGCAGTAAATGACTTACCAGTGGTGATACATTTAACTGACCATATAGAAGCATCAGTACTAACTTCAGTCCCTTTCATTACTCATGTAAATCTCTTGACAGAAGTTTCAAGTGCAGACTCTTGTGCTTAAAATGTAATAACTGTACTTGTGTAATGTGTATTTTATTACATTTATTAGTAGTTGTTGATGTGCAGTCCTTTTAAATCTTAAACAGCACAGTTGCAGTATTATAGTATGCCATCATAAGCGCTCATGATTCCACCTTGGGAAAGCTGGACTGTCGATTATGTAACTCTCATACAATTGCTTTAAATTCTCACAGAGGAAAGACTGTAGGCGCGCATTTAACACGTGGAGTTATTTAGTTTTGGTTAGATAGTAAAACGTCTGCTTTAAATTGGATCGACTCTTAGTAAACAGGCACTATGGCCGCCAACCCGTGGGGGAGTGAGTCTGCGGGGATCCTGAGCGCAAACACCTGTATAAAAACATCACCATCTAAAGTTCATTGACCCCTGCAGGTGTGGCCATGGTGGCTCATTTGCATGTTGTCTCCAACCACACAGAGCGCACTTGACGCACCGCTCGATCTGGGGCACAAACTACTAACAGAAACACGACAGATGAGATGAGTGTCTCTCTGCTCGGATTGTCGATTAACCGGACTTTCCTCGGGCAGAGCGGGCTTTTATTTACCTTTATCACGGTGGAAATCGGGGCGGCGCGTGTGATCGTAACTGCTGATCTCAGATCCAGGACTTCCTGAATGTGGGTGCGCGGTGCGTCCAGGTTACAGATCATTGTTGGACAGTCAGTCAAAGCTCACAGCTGCGGGGAGAGCCGCTGACGAGTAAGTAGGCTAAAGTCTGTGTCAGAGTCACTTGGACTTTCTTTTTGTTTCAGATGCAAAACTAAACAGAAACGCTCGTGTTTCCATATGGCATGAGAAATCTGAATTTTCTTGATAGTTCTCAGGCCTGGCATTTTCTCAGGTTTTCTATTTTGACATTTTGTCTGTTGAAATGAAATATCTTGGTTCTGTTATTAAGTTTTAAATCAAAATTGACTGTCCTGAATATTTCCTCTGAGCACATGCTTAACATTTGTGATACTTATTTTTTTCCTTCAGAAATATTTTGTCCTGGTGAAACTAAAAGCTGAAAAGTCTCTGTCTATCAAGGGTTAACAGATAAATCTGAGATAGATATCTCAGCAGTCTGGAGAGACAATGTTAGTGGGTTGTTCGTCACCATTGGAGATAAGACTAAATTACACCGGAGACTTTATGTCTCCAGGTTACCTGCAGCTCATAAGCTGTTGACATTGTTGTTTCTTTTGACCTGTTGCAGAGTTGTTATTAGAAAAGTTGTTGAAGTTGTTGATTCTATTTTTTCCCGTCATCTTAAACCCTTTTTTTCTGTTCTTTTTTTTTTTTTTTTTTTTTTTTAATTTTAGCCTCTGACCAGTTTAGAGTTGTGGCAGATGGTCAAACAGCATTATGGGTATGATCTGGGCCTGAGCCATGAAGAAATGGAGAATTTACAGATAGCAGCAGAATCAAGCATGCAGACCAGGTGAGCAGACCCCCTCACATGCTTTTATTTATCTATCTATTGACACAATTTGGAAATGCAAATTACCCAGAACAACTCCTGCCTGTTACAAACACGCTGTGGTAACTGATGTTTTGCATAAAAAGATTTTAGCTCTTGCTCGTGTCTAACTCCTGTCCCTGCATAAGCCTCTGGTTGAGTAAAAAGAGTAAAGAGTCAGACAAAGATTACATAAGATGTCATGCATAAAAAAAAGGGTGGAAAGACCCAACAATAAATACTATCACTGTGCTGTACTGTCCAACAACCTGTTCTGTTCATCTGCAGCCTGACCGCGAGGCCGAGTGGTGATGACGCTTTAGGGAAGTTGGAGCGGACTCCCTCTATTCGTCTCCCTGGGGTGGATCATGGGCCTTTGGAGACTTCAACACCTCAAGGGGAGGATTTGCCTTCCTTACATGGGTCACAGTCCAACATGGTACTAAAAACAAGATTGATTTCCTCTATGAAATGGGCTATACATGTCTTCTTATAACTCAAACTCCATCTTTTTTGTGTTGCGCTTCCCATCAGGACGACTCCCGCAGTACCTCATCTCAGCGGCGCAGTCCAGCCCCGTCTCTGGACCGCCTTGCCCCAGAGCGGGCTTCCAAACACTCCTCTCTTGACCTCAACGCCAACGAGAATGGTGTGTCAGAGCAGAGTGGTTCAGAGAGCATTGAAGATGGTTCGTAGATACTCATGCTCATTTTTTTATTATTTTTTTTGTATAATCATCATATCAACAACTTCCTTTGTTTGCTTCATCAGTGGACGAGGGGGTGGGTTTGCCTCAGGTGCAAGGTCGACTTTATCTCAACAAGGTCTTCCACATCAGCGCTAACAAGATGTTTGAGCTGCTCTTCACGGAGTCTGGCTTCATGCGCAGGTTTATGAACGTCAGAAAGATAACCAGTAAGAGTTCACCCTTTTCAATCCGAATGGTCGTGTTTGAATCAATAACTTTCTCCCTATTAAAAATAATTCAATGTTTCCTGTACTTTTTTAGATGGTAGTTTTACTGCTTGGCAAAAAGACACTACAGGTCACATGAAAAGAAGTCTTAACTACACAATAACCATCAGCAACCCTCTGATTGGCAAGTTCTCCACCGCTACAGAGAACCAGGTGTGTTTACATCCGTGTGGATGCTGTGTGCTTCAGTGACTGGATAAACACATTTCTACGTGATCTATGGCTCCCTGCTTATTTGTTCTCCAATTACCCATCAGACACTGTACAAAGAATCCAGGGATGGTCATTACTACCTCGTGGACTCGGAGGTTTACACTCACGACGTTCCCTATCATGATTACTTCTACACTCAGAATCGATACTACATCATACGAACCTCGAAGCGGAAGTGTCGACTCAGGTAAACATTATATCTATGTAAATTAGATCATCTTTTTTGTGTTTCTCTGAGTGAGGGCCATCTTTGATTTCTCTTGTGCTGCCAGGGTCTACACTGACGTGAAATATAAGAAGCAGCCATGGGGTCTAGTCAAATCCTTTATCACCAAAAACTCCTGGAGTGGCATCGAGGATTATTTCAGACAGCTGGGTGAGCAGAAAGCCTCTTTCACACACTGCGAAGGCAGAAAAGGGCACTTGTCTGTCTTCAGTCCTCAGCCTGTGGTTTATTTTTATCCTCATTTGATATGAATGTTTTCCTCCAACACGCATTCACAGGATCAGCAGTAGTGAATCATGTTACAGCTGCATTTGTAAGGAAGGACAGGAGGAATAATGAAGACCTGATCTGCCACTTTAGCACGACTATCATCTACGTTTTAGTTGCTTGTAAAGCAGAGTTTGCATTGTAACCGTATTCTTATTCAGTCCTGTGACAGTATTTGTCTGTTTGTGTCCCTGTGTTAACCCCGTACAGAAGCAGAACTCATGGAAGAGGAAGCAGAGATGAATCAAGGAGGCGGAGACTCTGGGAAGGGTGGGCTTCGGAGGAGGAGGCGGACTTATAGTCGGACTCTGCCAGAGCACATGAAGCCCAATAAGCCCTACGGTCAGGACACTGAACAGCTAAGAGATGGCAACATGGGTACATGGCATTTCATACTTTTTATTACAGCTTTTAAAGGAACAGTGAGTCAGTGGTTCCCACAGATTGTTCCAGTATTTCAGGCAGTCGAGGAGGTAATGGAGGTTGAAGAAAAACATTGAGTAAATTATCCCATTTCTGTCAACTACTATAAGTTTAGTTGTTAAACGAAAAATAATGTATCTCCAATGTACTTATACAGTTCATAAGAACACTTTAATTTGTTCACCTCATTTTTCTGGCATTTTTTTTTTACCTTCATAGCTCACCAGCAGCTTTCCTTCTGTGATACACACTCGGCTACACCTTAATCTGTGTTTGATATTTTGATCACATTCATCAGCACTTTTTTATACAGACATCAAAATGACACAACTTGCAGTTTGTAATCTTTTACTTGATATTCATTTATCACGACAGATAACCTGCATGTGATCAACGCTTTTTGATGACACAGCATTTAGAAATAATCAATTACTGATAGTGCAAAATGGCATCAGCAGCAAGCAGTTGCACAAATTCAACATGTTGTTCCTCAATCAGTGCATTGACACATGCATCTTGCTGAAAGACCTCTCGCTCTCTCTCTTGTGTCAGGCACTTAAGGTTATCAGACGAGAGAGAGAGTCACTATCATTGATAACTGACAGTGAGCAGAGTAGCCTGAAAACAAAGAGGAACAGCTAGCCTAGCAACCAGCACCTCTGAAGGTGCGGAACTTATCAACATTTGGTTACTAGGTGACCAGCAGACTCCAGATATTCACTTGGCTGGGACAAGAAACTGTACAGCTCATAGTGTTTTAAAGCTAAAGCATGCTTCTTTTTTTGTCATCTTATTGTTTAAACTATATAGATTGAAAAATAGAAATATGAAGTCTTCTGCAGATTTTATGTCCTAAGCTAGGCTTACTTGGCTAACTTCAGCTTAATGCTTGAAGCTCCTGTGAGGAGTTTTTGGTTGGTTATGAAACAGACAGAAACAAACAACTACACTTTCATTATGATCCAAAACACAAATGAGACCATAACAGGACTAGCAATTTTTATACTGTAAATTTCTAAAGCCTAAACCCCAGCAAGGTAGTAGGAGCCAGACCAGATGACCGACAGCTTTTGTTTTTTTTTTTTTTCTGCAGCAAAAACTTGCAGTGAGTCATACTATTAAAAGATTTATAGATTAAACTATCAGCCATGAGTCTCTTCTGCATGTCTTCCCTAGCTCTCTATTTCAGCAAACATTTCCCTTTTGAAGCTTTTGAATATTTTCTTTAAGTAGCTTAAGTCTTTCAAACAGAATAAAATGTTCTAAAGGAGAATGCTGTGTATTGAACATCCAGTTCATTTGCTAATGTGTCAGCAAGCAGTTCTCAGAGTATCATCCACATCCTGAATCAAATGTTTATCCTGCAAACTGCACACCATACCACAGGCACTGAGAAAGAGCAGAGTTATGTATCCATCACTATTTGTTGCAGCTGACACACCAAAACACACGTACAATGAATGTTTGAGAGTTGTCAAAATAATGTTTGCCTTGGGAAGATAGTTTCTAACCGGTAGAACAATGCAAAACTTTTAAAGCTGCAATCCTGCTCTGTTTTTCTGTTCTGTATCTGCAACCCATGCTGTGTCCTGCTGTCTTACAGGCCCCATAGAAATAGGAGAGACATACAGATGGAACACCACAACGATAGTGGCTGTGATGAGTGTGATGTAAGTACCTGTGAACACTTGGTTTGACATGTGCACAAAGACTTGTAATTCTTTATGTGACTTGCCTTTATTGTGAAGAAAGAGTGAGATACGTGAGATGAGAGATGATGTAAACTCTGTGGTCAGATTTTAACTCCGTGTTCTGTCTCTTTCAGTTTGCTGGTTCTGATGATGATGAATCTTGGTCTGTTCTTTAAGTTGTGGGCAATGGAGGATGTAGCCCACCACATGTTTCTAACCACAAAACATCGTCTGAGAGAGAGGAGTGAGGCCAGGTGACATGACTCTCTTTTCTCTCTCTTTTATGTCTGTTATATTGTCTGTTTTAGACTCTCTCTGCTGCTGCTGCCATGACCGTTTAAATGGCTGAAGTCTTGCTGTGGGTGGGCAGAGAGAGGGGGTTAGCCTTCCATTATTTTTTTCGTGTCTGGTGTTCAAGCAGCCCACGTAGGAGAGTGCTCAGAAAAGTCTTGTTCAGATGACTCAGTGTTGAAACTGCCTGTTTGTCAGTCTCTGAAAATGGGGTTATGTAAGTGACATAGTCTTACATCAGTGCTTCTCCACTTCTCCAATCTTTCTCTCAATTCACATCCGTCTATGTATAACACACATAAATGTTGTTGTTTCACAGCTTGGCTCCTGAATATGGCCCCAGACAGGGTCCAGGGTATAGGACTGTAGAAGACATGCAGCTTCTGAAAACTGTTCTGCAGGACTCCATCAACCTTTTGGAACAGGTAGGATTGGTTGTATGCCCTACAGAAAAGACTGTTGGACTTCTCAGAGCGCAGATGAACTGTAGCAGATATGCTAAACGTGTCGCTGGTTGGAAAATAGAATTTAACATCTGATTTTATTAAACAAACAACAGTGTAGAGAAATGAGGATACAGTTTTCACAGTCATGTTATATAGTTGTAAAGAAGTCATGTAGCTGTGTTTTTATCCAGGACTCTCTGGTATTGTTTATAACAATAACTTTACTGTTTATTTTGGTTATAATTTGTTCATACTGTGAATTAATTGAGGTAAAAAGGAGCTGAAGTACTCACTGTTGGAAGCAAAGCTCATCCTTGCTGTTATTTTTCTCTGTCATCACGGCTCATCGCATGAATTTATCAATATCCTCTAACACCTTTTTATACCTAAGCCAGGTGTTGTGTGTGCTGAGTCAGTTCCTCTTCTCTCATAGCTCCGCAGTTCTCTGATGGTGCTGCAGCAGAACTTCGCTTTGGCTAATCGGACTGCAGCGCCACAGTGACGCTCCACACCTAGCAACCGCAAAGTTCCCGTCCCCCCAGCCCTGCAGCAGTGAAAGCCTCTGAGGAAATCTCTGGTTTCCAGTGACGTTGCCGTGTAGACATCCCAGGACACCTGACATGCCAGGAGTTACCAGGGGTTACCTGTCCTAAAGCCTGTGATCTAGCATCAGGTGCCAGGATGTTTGTAAAGCTGTGGACTAACTGATTGACTGACTGCTGCCATTACAGAGTTGCATCTAAATCAGACACACAGCAGGTCTAAATTCTTGTAAGGTGCTGGTTGGTTTCTTTACGTTTATCAATAGTTGAATTAGTTTTCAGAAAATGTTTTCCTGATGAGCTTTACTACATTCATATGAGCCTCTTTTGACAGCAGATGAGCTACTGTAAATACTTTTATGTAGTTTTATTCAAGGGGAGTGAATCACTGTTATTTAAAATGACTTTTTTTCTGTACCCACACTTTTGCACATTTTAATTTTTGCACGTGCCTCATAGATAACTGTGATTTTAAATATCTTTTTAGATTTTATTTCTAATAAATAATATAGAATCTGTGACTCATTCTATTTATCTTATATACACTTTTTCAATAGCCTGATGAATTCACCCCAGGCTGATATAAAGGAATATTTTTTTATGTTAAATAGTGAAAGAAGCAATCCTGATCACCTGTACATCTGTTTTGATTCTGTTTTTCCCAGACTTTCTTTTTTTTCCACCCTTATTCTTCACTGTTACTTCAATAAAGATATGAGGTTGGTGCATCAGTTCTGTCAGGTAAATGTAGTGTTGTTTTCTCACACTGCTAAATTTAGTTACAGGGCGCAGGATTAGCTTCATTTATCCACACTTCCTCGCTAATCTTGAAAAATACCCAGAAATTTCATTTGTGCATAAGTCAGTCTGTAAAGATTTGCCTCACAGGACATTGTGATAATGCTGGTGGAAACTCTTCGAGCAGAAGACTGAATAGGAGTGAGGTGATTTGGTTCCTTTGTAAAGTGAAATACAAGACTGTCTTTAATTATTTACTGCTGGCCTGTCCCTGTTAATGCCTTGAGGAAACAGAACATTTCTTTCAAAATTTCTATATCATAGCTAGGCCTACAGTACAGGCCAAAAGTTTGGACACACCCTTTCATGAAATGTCTTTTCTTTATCTTTATATGACTATTTACATTGTAGATTATCACTGAAGGCATCAAAACTGCGAATGAACACGTGGTATTTTGTACTTATAAAAATAGTGTGAAATAACTGAAAACATGTTTTATATTCTACTTTCTTTAAAATAGCCACCCTTTGCCCTTGATGACAGAAGTACTTAGTCACGAAGTAACCCTGACAAGGCACACCTGTGAAGTAAAAACCATTTCAGGTGACTACAGAGAACAGCAAAAGTTTGCAGCACTATCAAAAAAGCAAAGGGTGGCTACTTTGAGGAATCTAAAATATAAAACATGTTTTCAGTTATTTCACACTTTTTTTCTTAAGCACACGATTCCACGTGTTCATTCATAGTTTTGATGGCTTCACTTAGAATCTACAATTTAAATAGTAATGAGAATAAAGAAAATGCATTGAATTAGAAGGTGTGTCAAAACTTTGAGCCTGTACTGTACATGACCACAAAACAGTTAATCGGATAAGCTCAGTTTATATGGTTAGAAAATCACTGTGGATATCTAAAATTCTTATTTTGACTAAGGATTGTATAATTACAAGTGGGCTATCTGAGATATATTTGTATCTGGCAATCAAACATTGAAAGGGTTATGCATTTTAATGGAGTATAGATATTTTAAAGGTAATTTTGAGTAGGACAAAGTAACTTCTGGATATTTTCCTTTTAATTTTCTTGCAAAGATGTTATAATGGAAAGGTTTCACAATTTGTAGTTTGAGAAATGTTTGTACGCATAGTTTTGCAGTTGACCTCGAGATGTAGGACCATATAGACCACATCTACAACAGCTGTGGTTGTGGGAGGATGAACGTGTCCTGGGCGGGGAGACTCTACCTCTTTTGACGTCAGGAAGGACACTGTTCAGTTTGGGGGCAGAGCCACACAACGAGTCTTCAGACTGCAAATCCGTACCCCGACAAAATCCGAAGAAGATCTCCTACAGACCCAGACAGCTGAACCGAAACTAGTTGACCACCAAGAGGTCTAACTGTGGTGACTCCCACAGCGCGGAGGAGCCTCTGGAAACACCGGATACAGCAGCAGCAAATACCGCCAAAGACTTCCGTTTAGAAGCCCGGCGGAGAGAAACCGTCTCTATCGATATTTACCCGAAAGCATCGGCATGTAGTCGCTCTGTGTTCAGGTATGTGGCAGATGTGTCGGAGACTCTCTTGAAGCTCTCTGTCTTTACATTTTTAGCCTCGTCTTAAGCTTTGTTTCCGGTATTTAGCGAAGGTGGCAACGAGGTCTGTCGACAGGTACAAGTGAAAATCTGGGTTAACTGAGTCCAGCCGGTGATCAAACTGTCTCTTATATGACAACCAAACTTCAGAGTCTAAAAAGTGTTTTTAGTCACTGTTGAAAATTGAAATGAATGACACACAGATTGTATACAGGCTATATTGTTATGAAACAAGTCACTGCGTGGATAAAGTATCTGCTCCAAAACAAATGCTTCAAGTTGAATTCAATGTTCAAATGTACCTTTAAAAAGTAAGGTTTTAAGTTAAGGTGAGGGATTATGAATCAAGAGTAATAAAGTGATAAAACTCAATTTATCGTCTATTTAGCTGAAATATTTACATATCCATTCATTTGTGCAGGGGTGTAGTAAGAACTTAAGGAGGGGTTCCCAGACCCCAACCCACCCCTGCAGAAAATATCCATATTTTTTGCTCTTTTGGGGATGTACTCTCCATAATTGATCTTTAGAAATGTCAAGAATCAATTATTGGGTAGTTGGTAGAAAAACATTTTTCCTATGGCAAAAACAATTCCAGATATGTTTATAAAATTGTAGGCTTAATTGTCCACAGCAGTACACTGCATTTGGCACAGTATTGCATAGTTGCAGAAAATATAATACATAAATTACTTAATGAGCTAAATGTCAGTGTGTGGAACAGTGGTGGCTGGTGAGAAAAACAGAAGGTGAGGCTGAAGGTTTGGAAACCAGAGTCCTGTAGGGGGGTATCCTCCCCCGGGAGATTTCTTTTGATTTTCACATGTAAATGAAGCATCCGGCGTAAAATTAAGTTAGGGTCAAACACACAGTAACACAGAGTTCGACACCCCATCGAGAGATGAATGTTGCCCTGTATTGCTATCTTCGGTCCTTACTAAAGTTGGTATTCTAGAGAAGCAAGCGGTCGGCAACATTCATCTCTCTACGGGGGTGTCTAACTCAGTGTTACTGTGTGTTTGACCCTAACTTAATTTTAAACCAGAATGTCCCTTTAAGGAAACATATGATTTTGACCTACAAAGACAAATGGGGTTGGGAAAACTGTATTTCAACTAATTTACAGGGCATTATAGCCGACACACAGACTACCTACATTCAGTGTAATCCTATGATAAATAAACTGACAGTAGCATACTCGTGTACATTTGCGTGCATCTCAACTGGTTAGGCTACAGCAAAGGAGCCCGCAGAGACAACAGCAGAAAAATAGTAAAGAGCAGACCCACATAACAAATCAGGCTGCATATCAGTATGATCAGCCAAAGGAATACAACACAAACATTTGCTTTAAATACATAACAATTTTAGTGCATCTGTCACTTGGACAAAAAGAAAACAAAACAAAAAAAAAAAACAGGCTATTGTACAAGAAATTAAAATCTCGATTGTGGTCTCAGCCATGACAACTCGTGCAAAGCCGTGAAACAACTGTGCTGCGCGTTTAAGTCTTTTTTTCTCAAAGAGAAGCTGCCATTTCAATATGTCCAAGCATCCCGACTCATAGCCACGTTATTAAGGTATGTAATAAACAAAACCATTTGTAAATCTGCCAAGATTTAAGCGAGTTAAGAGTATTTTTGATCATGCAAATTACTCGTCGTCAGCTACCATAGAGCATACCAGAATGGTATACTGGAGTAAGATGAATTGGTGAAATTTAAAGTCTAGTGTCTCAAAAGGAGACTGAAAAAGGAAATGATCGTAACAGTCCTGTGTGTCCATGTGGCTCAGTGGAGAAGAAGACTAACTGGGACTTCTGAGGTTCGTGGATCAAGCCTTATCCAGGGCAAGGTGAATTTTAAAGTCTTTTAAAGAAAAAAATGAAAATGCTCATGTGTGTCCACGTGGTTTAGAGGATAAAGAGACTGACTGGATTTCCTGAGGTTGGAAGTTCAAGCCTTATCCAGGGCAAGGTAAATTTTAAACTTTAGTGTCTACAGAGAACACTGAAATAGGAGAAAACCGCAACTCTCCTGTGTGTCCACATGGCTCAGAGGATAACGACAAAGGACTATAGTCTTCTTTATAAAGGTCATCATCTTTTTATAGTTATCTGTATTATAGATCTAGTCACTTGCTTCAAAACTTCACCCCCATTCTGACTTCTTGCCTCATAACCCCCTCGATTTACCTCTCCGGAAACACCGGGGGGAAACCCCACCCCCCGGGCCTGGTTCCCCAGGATTTGCTTCAGGATCTCCTGCGTGCCGTGTGGGTATCAAACTAGGGCTGCCCGCCTGACCAGCATTGGGTATTTGGGTGTCAGTTGCATACCCCCTGCGCCACCGGATACCGTCCGCACTTGGGGATGAGCTTCGTGCCCTTTTATCTTGGAACTTTGGCTGGTGGACTTAAAAACGCGTCCTGTACAAGATTTGAACTCACGACCTCAGGAGTGACTGTCCGTCTCCTTATCCACTGAGCCACACTGGAGACACTGAACAATTCCAGTTTTGTCCTATTTGACTGTCCTTTGTAAGGCACTAGGCTTAAAAATTCACCTCAACCTGAGTAAGGTCAGGCTTGAACCCACAACCTCAGGAGTGCCAGTCAGTCTCCTTATCCTCTGAGCCATGTGGACACACAGTTAAATTCCATTTTTTTCATATTTGACTGTCCTTTGTAGACAGGAGAATTCAAAATTCAGCTTGACCTGGGTAAGGTGAGGCTTGAACCCACGACATCAGGAGTGCCAGTCAGTCTCCTTATCCCCTGAGCCATGTGGACACATAGAAGACTACCGGTTTTCTTTTATTTGACTGTCATTTCTAGACAGTAGACTTTAAAAAGCCACCTTGTCCCAGAGAAGGTTCCAACGAACAACCCCAGGAGTTGCGACCATCCTCTTATCCTCTGAGCCAAGTAGACACACAGGAGACACCTGTTTTTTTCCTGTTTGACTGTCCTTTGTAGACACAGGACTTTAAAATTCATCTAGACCTGGGTAAAGCAAGGCTTGAACCCACAACCTCAGGAGTGCCAGTCAGTCTCCTTATCCTCTGAGCCATGAGGACGCAACAGAGAACTCATTCTTTTTCCTATTTGACTGTCCTTTGTAGACACTAGACTTCAAAATTTAACTTGATTCTTTTCACAGTTTAATTTTATCATACTATACCTGACAGGGACTTGAACCCAGGACCTTCTTACTGTGTGGCAGCAGCGCTCACTATTACATCACTGTGTCAGCTATGTCACAATTGTCTGGATATACAGCCCAGTCCTCCCTGGACCTAGTCCTGTGGACTATTTCAGTGTCCTTTGTAGACACTAGACTTTAAAATTCACCTTGCCCTGGATAAGGCTTGAACTTCCAACCTCAGGAGTTCAAGTCAGTGCTTTTTTTTTCCACTGAGCCACAATTTTGACCTGTTCAGGAACACCTTTCACCCTTTTTTTATTTAAACACTTGCCTAGAATAATTCACCAAGTACTGGATAAGGATCAAACCCACACCTTCTGATCTGTTTAAAGTGCACTGACAAAATACAGAATATTAACTTCTACTCTGATAAAGACCAAAAGGGCCAGTCTCTATGATTTATGAGTTTGGGGAATATGTACTACAAACCTGTGCTTAATTTTGCCCACTGAAGATTAAGAGCTGCTGCCACTCTGTATTATATTACACAAAAACACAATGTAATTTTTATCTGCTTACCTTTTCAATTTCCTGCTGCACCTGCAAATCTAAAACCCTGTGTGGCACAGAAAATATCCATCTAACAACAGGACCTAAAACTGCTGAGCACCACAGCCAGGCTTTGAATCCTTGCTGTGCTTTATTTTTGTCAGGGAGCAGATGTGCTTCCATAAACTCACTCAGCCATTTATTCGCACATACAGCCTAATCTGGTTTCTCTTTAGGCCCATACAGACTCTGAGGCCACCCTGAAAGACTCACCAGTTACATCAGGGGTGGGCAATTATGTGCCATGGAGGGCTGAGAGGCTGCAGGTTTTCTTCCTAACTCAAAACTCCACCAGGTGATTTCACTGATTAGTCCCTGCTCTCTGCTTGGAGGTAAGGTAATCAGTGAAATCACCTGGTGGAGTTTTAGGTGAGAAAGAAAACCTGCAGCCTCTCGGCCCACTATGGCACATGATTGTCCACCCCTGAGTTACATGCTCTTCTGACTCTGGTGTCATGTTTTCACCAATATCAAGATTAGCAGCTACAGATTATATTACTGCTTCATGTCATGATCTGATTTATTCTTACCAGATGCTGATTTGGGCCCCCATCAGACCTAGAGTAGATTTTTAGATTTCGATTCACCTGTGAATAAGCACCAACCCTTCCATGTGTGCCTCACAGTTACCTTCAGTTTAGCTTTCGCTGATGGATGAAACGGTAAGTTGATGCTGGTAGAGAGCTCACCTCAGCCTAAATCCATCTATGCCCTTTAACCGAACAACAGGCCAGGACAGCTCAGTTGCTCTGAGTTCGTAACATGTGACAGATGTATGACAGATGTGGGGGCGGGAGGTGGACTTGATGAGGTCAAATGAGCAGGGCCTACTTTGCAGTTTTGTGATGTGGAAATCTGTTTGGAACAACTCCACCATCTAAAACACATGCAGAGAGCTGTTAAGCTGCTGTGTGAAAAGGTCATTTCAGCAAATGGGCTTTTAGCAGTTTTTTTTATCTGCTGCTCTTTTCGACTCTGAGCTCGGTTTTATCTATCACACTAACACTCACAGAAGTTCAGTTAATGATGGCACTTATAAACCCTTTTTTTTCACATTCGAATAGGCTGTCTGCCATGAAGAAGCGGGCCAAAAAGGTGCTGGAGGAGGAGGAGACATTGTGCTGCTGTGAGTATGTGAACAGACACGGAGATCGCAGCCATGTAGGAGCCTGCTGCTGTGACTGCGAGGACTTGGATGATGCCTGTGACAGGTCAGACACATTTACTTGATCATTACATCTAATGGTTATTTTCATTGAGCACTGCTGCTTCGGTTTTAGTGAGAATAGTGAGAATATTCAGACTGGATTAAGTATCTGAAAGATCATCTGAAAGTGCGACTTACTTGGTGATTTTCAAGACGTCTCCTTCTACCAGTTCAAGTTATCACCTGTTCCACTCCCCATCATGGTAAATCTAATCCAGTGTCCTCAGACTGTCCACATTTTAACTTGCCACATCTTAACTCTGATCCTGTAGCCTCAAAACTAAAGGCTTTTAATCATGTGACCCTCTTAGTCCCTCAGATCTTTTGCAGAAACTTTAATCATTAACATGTAAAATAAGTCAAACCTTTGCACTTCCAAAGAGTCAGCATTTTGGCATCATCATTAAAACTCCTATGAGGACCTTCTTTACGTCAACGAAGTAGATTGGAATTCATGTTGATGGCTGTACACGTTATCCAAGTGCAAAGAAGACCATCAGCAATAAAACGGATGATGTTGATATTTTTAATTCCTAAACACTGGTGTGAGTGGGTAGTTGTCATCAGAGCAGCTGCAAAAAAACAGCCCTGTTTATATAACTTTTTTCCTTCTTTTGATCCTTTAGGTTTCTGAAGAGGGAGCCTCAGAAACCCGAGTCCCTTTCACAGGTGGCTGCTGTCTTCTCAGACCGCTTTCGTGTGCCCTGGCTGTGGGGTGGAGCCAGAAAAGTGGACCTGACCATCATCCCCCCTCTTATACTTCTTCCTGTCCTGCTGCGTCTCGCTGCTCTACACTTTTTGCTTGGCATGGTGGTTCTGACGGCTTTGCCCGGCCTGGTGCTGTGGTACTACTACTTCACCCATCGCAAGAAGGGACAGACACTCTTCTTCCTCAGCTTGGCCCTCTTCTCCCTGTCGTACATGTATTACCTCTTCATCACAGAGGTGTTCCCCACTGGAGATGTTGGCACGGTACAGCTGACACTGATAAGTGTGGGAGTCGTACTCACCCTGGTAGCCCTGGTTCACACTAAGAGAGAACCTGGTATTGTACGCCTAAACCATGAAGCGGTCCACAGCACGGTGACATATTACAGCCCTCTGCCAGACAGAGACCCTACTGTTAACGGAGGGAGGCAGGATGTGATGACCAACCGGACAGGATCATCAGAGCAGACAGGGGACGAGCTGAAGGAGAGTAACAGAAGGAACTGGTGTCCTGCATGCAAGGTGGTGCGGCCCCCGAGGGCAGGACATTGTCGGATCTGTGGTGTCTGCGTGCTGCGTCTTGACCACCATTGTGTCTGGTGGGTTCCGCTGAAACTCCTCTCTCAGTCTGTCTGCACTGTTTCTTCCACTTTGTGTCACATCTTAAACGCTGCATTTTTCTTGTCTGTTTGAATTTACTTTTTCTCTCTCAAAGTTTTTAATAAATCTCAAGGAGAGCACACATTCTTTACATTTTATAACACAGCTCCAAAGTGACTGTCTTTGTCCAGTATACATGTTTATCTTCTGCACTCTTGATGGGTTTTTATTCACCATATTTGAGTGTTTTGTCGAGTCAACAGCAACGGTGAAAATGTCCTCGCTATCATCTGCTCCCACATTTAAATGTCTATGGTCCTGCATGTGTGTGCAGTAATGTAACCTTGTGGTCTCAGTACAATGTTTTGTCTACCTGTGTGTGTACCTGTGTTTGTGCGTCCCCTCCCGTCAATGCTTGGGTAGGATAAACAGCTGTGTGGGGCAGGCCAATCACCGCAGCTTCCTGCTTACGCTCATCCTCTTCCTGTTGACGTCCCTGTACGGGATCAGCCTGGTGCTGCAGAGCGTGTGTCCGCAACAACACCTCTTCACCGCACTGCTCTACTGCCCGGGGGTCTACAACCAGTACAGGTACTGACAACAAACATGCATACACTTACTGCTCTCAGGTAATACCATAGACTGCAGATACATCAGCACCTCGATAAGGTACAAGGTTGAAAACAAAATTCAGATGTTTTCTAATCCTCTATATAAATGTAAAGATGATAAGGTTCATCAAATTAGTACAATACAACATCTGAGTATAAGTTCGCAGAGTCTGACTGGCAAGTAAGTCCTATTGGTGTAAGTAAATGTAATCTTATCAAAGAACTAGTGGTGTGATTGTCACTCTACAGGGCTGAAACACAATCTAAAGTGAAAATATGAGTCTCACAATTATTAGATTAGGATGTATCTATATTAATTAACAACTATTGGTTAATATAGAAGTTTCTACTCTAAAATAGCTTTTTGCTTCCCTTGAGACCGTTGTTTTTTTTGTTTTTAACTTGATAAGTAGACATGACAGCAAAAAGATTTAGTTCAAAACTTACTTTAAATTACTAGTTAATCTAAGCAGCTGCTGGAGCTAGCTTCATGTTTACTGTTCAGATATGAGAGAGGCATTGACTCTTCTCAGTTGACTTTTAGCAAACAAATGTATTCCCTAGAGAATTAACCACTCCTGTACTTATCCCACTGACATCAATCTATTTTTAGAACATTAAAAATCACTTACAAGCTGTTTAATCAAGTTTAATCCCTCTATTTAAATAACAAACTGCCTAAAAATCTAACAGCCTTTTGTAGGTTGCTTGTTGTAATAAACTGTAAAGAATTTAAAACACTTCTTTTATTTGTTTGAAGCCCTAGCATGTCTTTAAAATCTGTTTGGCTGTTAAAAGAAAAACCCTTGTGTCTAAAATGTAAAACTCCACTGTTAAGATGTAGCCAGTGAAGATATGAAATGGTACATTTGCTGTTTTCTTGTTATTCTGATGCAGTTGAACTCCTTTTTTAATCGTCTGTGTTCCAGCACCGCACTTTGCTTCACCTGTGCCTGGTACAGCAGCATCGTGACCGGCGGGCTTCTCCACCTGCTGGTTGTGCAGGTCATCAACATCAGCTACAATGTCACGGAGCGCGAGGCACGCGTCGCCCTGCGAGACAAAACGGCTCGCAGTGCCTACTGGGGACTCATCGTGGACACTGGCACCTACTCTCGAGGGTTCCGTGACAACTGGGCAGAGTTTATGACCATGGGGGAAAAACTGAGCGCTCCCTCTCCTGTCCCAACAGACTTCGTGTAAAAGACTGAGCTTAACCCTGATCTTCAAGAACAAGTTTGGAGGTTACAGCTGTTGTTCTGTTTATGTCCACTTGATGGCAGCATGGTGCTGTTTGCTGTGACTTAACTCTCCTGGCGAGGAGCTGCCAGGATTGACATGATTGAGTTACTGCAGCCCTCACTCTGTCACATAGCAGTAACTCCTAACCTCAGTAAGATACATCCACTGCCGTTAATGTCACTGAAAGCTTGTGTCTCCTCTATGCAGCTGTATCCGCTTACACTGACCTTTGATCGCCTTCCACTGCTGCCTCATTTCACCTCTCATGCCAGACAAATATCACTGTTCCCTTCGCACTGACAGTCTTTCCCTGAACACTATCCTCACGTCTCCTAGTGCCTATTCTAGTGCCTTTCTCGGAGACCGCATTTGAAAAATTTAAGCAATCTGTTAAAGCTCACAGGGATAATTTTCTCTGAGCACCGTGTCAGCGACAAGATGACGCCTCTGGAGGCGGTTATTTCTGCACAAAACAGGAGTTCAGTGCAATGATGCTCTTTTCCCTGCACACACATTCAGTCCTCAGTCTCTTAGCTACAGTCTAAAATAAGTTATGCACCTTATTTGAAGCTGAACGTGTTGAGATTATTTATCACAGAAATATCAAACATAACAGTACAAGCCTCATAATCAGGCTCATTAAATGTAACAGTGTGTCAGTATAATGAACCTGATTCATGATTAGATAGTTATAAACAGATTAGCAGTCATTTTCGCTCTCCTAAATTGGTTCTGACTAATTAAACTGCTCTGAAAATATGAGAAAAGTAAGTAAATCAATACACGTTTATGTCAACTTGAGAAGTTTTAAGTGCTTTTCATTATCCCTGCTTTTATTAGTGTTCAAAGACATTGGAGACTTTTATTAGGATCCTAAAAATTGTACTGTCCATCTGTTTGAAGGTTGTATTACCTATTTATATTGAATAAACGTGAAGAATGTGCATGTGAGTTTCTTGTGTGTCCTCTCCTGAGATTCTGAGATGTATCGTACGGTGACAGTTTCTAAATTCTTCTATCATTGCGTTGGATGGGAGCAGAAATCAGACAGGACCTCTGCCACTTTCCGTCCCAGCCTCTCCCGTCGCGCTTCCTTCTCCCTTTCTTTGCCCAGTAGACATGGAAGCTGTCTCCAGATCAGGAAGCAGCGCCGCAGCACCTGTCTGAGGTGCAGGCAGATGGAGGGACAGACGGGAACAAGCAAGTGAGCAATAAAAAATGAATTATGGAGACCTCTGAGTTGACAAAGCTTAATGAGTTTTCACATGGTGTCACTGGGGTTTTACTGACAATGGCAGCTTGGCAAGCAGTGGGAATTCACCTACAGGCTGTGGTCATTTAGTTAACCTGACATGAGAGGCTGAACTTTATTAACATTCACATTCTTTAAGCATGACTACCACACAATTAACATTGAAGAAACATCCATTTAGGCTATTATGGGAAATATGAATAATAATGCTTTTATTGAGCTAGCAAAACCAAATTGTGTTTCCTGACTTGAAAATGTCTAGTTTAAGGAAACAAACAGTTTAGATCCAAATTGGAAAAGTTCTCAAAGAGTTACTTCACTGATGTTTTTTTTTAATTTACTTGGCCGGTTTGCACCTTGGAATAGCAATTTCAGCCCATCTGCTTAATCTTGTCTGCAATATTTAATAACTACTGGTTATTTGCAATGCATATAGACATGAGCAGTATTCACAACAGCAGCATTGGTGAATTTTGGCAGAGTGGCATGCTGGACAACAGAAGTACTGATCATACCAGATAAATATTGTGTTTACATCGACTTGATGAGGAATCTGATGCTGCTTCAACAAAACTGAAATTGGGAATTAATGGTTGTTGAATCTTGTTGATGGCAGTAAACCTGAAAGTTTAATTGCTGGCTCGAACATGCACGTCCAGGTGTCAGACCTTTATTATGAAACTTATAATCATAGAGAGTAAATTTTAACAGCCTTCCTAGAGCAGACCTCTGGGTGTTTGTTTCACTAAAAATTCATGTCGTTTTATTTACAGGAATTAGAGGCCTGTGTGTGTGTTTATGTCAAACTGTAGCCAAACAGCCCTGGTATGATACCAGCACATAATTAAACTTGGACCAACTGTGAGGCCAAATCTTAATCTGACACCTTGTTAGTGGGTTATGTTTCCAGTGAGAGTGTGGGAACACACAGCATTGACCGCATAGTGAACACATGGGAACGTCGCGGGGAACACACCTGTTATTGTGCTGCCGAGACAGCTCTTGACGGTCCCACTCCAGCAGCCTCTCCTGGGTCACATGGCCCAGTAGCGCCAGTAAAAACCTCCTTAATGTGCGTGTGCGGTAGAAACGCTTGGCTCTCTCCTCTTGAATCAAACGCCAGTCTATGAGCTGAAGAAAAAAAGTAACAAAGAAATTATTTATGTAATTGTTAAGGGTATAATTGACCTGAAGTAACCCAATCTTCCAAAGCTGGGAAAATAAGTTTTATTATTATTTGACTCATACATATAAATTATTTATACATAGAAAAGTGTATGAGTAATTTGTATCTTTAAAATGTTCCGGCAATCCAACTTTGTTTTTAATGTAAAACTGAGCACCTAAAACATAACTGAGGGCAGCAGAAAAGGAGATTATGAGAAGGTGTATCTCTAAGTGCAGGGTGGAAAACAGGGAGGCAGCATCCTGTCTGAGAGACTGTGTGTATGTGTCTGTGTGTGTGTGTGTGTATGCGTGGTAAATACATACTCTCTTCCAGCGGCTTAAGCTCCTCCGAAGCAAAAAGTGCTGGTACAGTTGGTCAGCAGAAGCCTCCTTCTCAAACATGGACTCTCTTGCTGATTGGAGCCAGCCCCGTGTGCAGCGCCTCAGGAGGAAGAGATTGTGGTGACCGTCTGCCAGCTGGCGGGGATTGAAAAGAAAGGAGCCGATGCTCGCCGATGAATGCGACCAAACTCAACTTCAGTATGTGCCAGGTTGAAACAATAGAGCGGTGTTAAATGATGAGCAGCTTGTCTTTGACTGTATCGCACATTTAACAAAGAGGGTTTATATTTATCGGTGTAACATGTATGCCCAGAGGATTTTGTGCGACAGGAACATTTTGAAGATTTAATGATGATACAAAAAGGGAAATTGGCTTAAAAGTTACAAATACCACTAAATATTCTCCCTCTGTCCTGTTTGAGCGTGTCAAAAGTAATACTTTGGTTCATGATGTTGAATTCAGAACTAAACTAGTGTTTTAATTAAGCCACTTAGTCCATTACTGCAATTATAAACCTTTTAGCTGTTTTAGGTTGGCATGCCCGTGGATAAACAGTATGTGGTAAGAGGTCTCTTAACATAATGATCAATTAAACATGGCACTGTTAGGTTATGATGGCAGGTTATAATTTTTTCCTAAGTGCTTCACAGCAAGGTAAAAGCCCAGATAGTAAAATTGAACTAAGTCCACAAAATTTACAGAAACAGAGTAAATAAATGAACGCCGAGAAACAGCAGAGGTTTCAAATGACTGTCAGTTTTAAAAGGTTTTTAACATACATCCTGTTCGGAAGATTTTCCACAACCTAAATATGTCTCATCTTGACACAGCTGCAACACAATATTCAAGACAACAAGAGTGTTTAATCTTGTTTGAATCTCCAAAATCTCAAACAGATTAGTCTCTGTAATCTTCCTCTGACAGATTCCTAACAAGCCTCTCAGCATGAGAACACTGGGAGGTATTATGTCCCTGCCCAGTCCTCGAATTATGAAAAACATTCAGCTATTTCTGAAGATTTGAATAATTAATAGCCTGTAACACGCACACACACAAAGTCAATGTTAAGTGCCTCCAAGCTGGTTAGAGGACACACTGTAATATTATTGGGTTTATTTTTCATGTAAAAGCGTCACTATAGCCCTCCTGGATTTACTTCTTATCATTCAAATCCATGGCTCATGTTAGGACTTGAACATTCAAGTTAGAAATCTTCTCTTTCCCTCGATGTCACTCCTTGCGGGGGAGTGTGATGATGGAAAACCTGAAGTGCCACTTGCGCAGTTTCCTGTTCAAACAGGATCTCTAGGTGCTCTCTGAAGCGAAAGCCGAAATCAAGCCCACCTGCTGGGTTTATAATGGGCTGAGCTGGAAGGTTTAGGGCAGCCTAAAAATATACTCTGACAGGTGAATTACCTGTATGTTGGCTTGTCCAAGCTGAATGAGGCGCCTCCATGGTGCCAGGCCTTGACGCAGAAGCAGGTTTCTGTGGTAGTGCTGACGGGCCAACTTCATCAGCTCCTGCTGCCTTTTCAGTTGTCGCTGTTTTTCTTCTTCTCTCTGCACATGCAAGGAAGGTGAGATGGTTGAAAAGATACTAAAAATAGGAACGCAGAGAATAATCATATTTTTTTAAGAGTAATTTTGAAACAAGACTTATTAAGTGTTTTGACAAACAAGCGAATCAAAAATCTCAGCAGGCAACAAAAGAACCCAAACAACATGGGCAGACGTAGTGAGGCAGAACAAAAACATGGTGGGGGGGTATAAATATGTAACAGCTCAGCAGAGAAGAAACAGAGAAAAAAACATAAGACATAAAGCGCATTAAAAGGAAAAGGAAAAAAGAGAAGCACAAAAAAGAGGGTGTTGTGTCTGGGCTGTCCTCGATGTGTAGATGCAGAAGGAGGCTTCGTGACACTGGCTTGCTTGTATAAGAGGAGTTTATTATAAAGAGAACACCAGTATCAGAGCAGCACCGTGGATGCTGGGAGAGGACTGCCAATGATGTCCAGCTCTCCCAACCAGAGTTTGTGACCCTGTTATATATGGTTAGGGATGTAGGTCCCCCTACATCCATTCTTCATCTCTAATCTAAATTCTTCATCTCTAATCTAATTTTCGTCAACGTCTGGATTTTAGTAACCCAATATTGTGGCCTGTGACCTGTGAACTGGGAATATGCCCTGTCCAGGATATCCTGTCCCTGGAACCATTAAGGAGAATAATGATAAGCACAAGCCCATATTCCAGAATTGGTCGCCTCCGGCCATCCTTGAAAAATTACCTCAAGGCAATGCATGTTGGTGTAGTACTCCAGATACCACAAGGGAAAATACAGTTAAAGTAGTAAAAAAGGTATAAAAACAAGAACATGAAATTAAAAGAAACAAAAGTGCTAAAAAATTCATCATTAAATGAGGAAATAAAAAGAAAAAATAAATAAAAAATAAAGACGATCAAAGGACACTTACAGTGTCAGATATCACACATACCCACTGAGCATTTTTTGGTCTGAAAGAGGTCTAATAGACGTCTAAATGTAGCCTAGTCGACTGGTCTAAAACCAGGCTACCACAGGTCTAAAAAAGTTTTTCAGACGTCTAAATTTAGACCAAGTTTAGACCAAGTCTAAATCTGGGCTATATTTATACTACACTGTATGTTGCTCAACAGCTATTATAATTATTTTGGTTAAGTACTTGTAGATCAGTTATGCCACTCACAGTTGCTTTTTGAAATAAATACTTATCGAATAATGGGTTAAAGTGCAACGTCTAAATTCTGTCTAATAATATACAGAATCCAGACTGTTGAAATTAGGTCTAAAAAAAAACTAGACGTCTAATAGTCGTCATTGCTCAGTGGGTAAGTAAGTTTAGAAGAAGTGATCTTTTCAAGAATCGTTTGAAAGACGTAAATGTTTTGTTGTGTGTCTGGAGTGTTGTGTTTCTCATTTCCTATAATTCTGAAGTTCTTGATGTGAAAAATGAACAGTATCTCACAGCTTTTTCTTGTCTTTTCTCCTCTTTCTTCCTCTCTGCCACTCTGCGCTTCTCCTCTTCTTCCTCCCTCTGTCTCTGCTCCTCGGCAGCTTTCATCTCAGCCTGTAAAATGTGAGTTTTTAAGCTTTTTCTCCCCATATTATGTTATTTTCATGTCATGTTAAGTGTGACATTTATTCCACTAAACACTTTATACCAGTTTTTCCTCTTCCTTCTTCCTTTTGAGCTCCTCAATTTCCTTCCTCCGCTTTGCACGTTGTAGTGCACGCTCCTCCATGGCTTCGGGGAGAAGAACAGAGGTGAGTGGAAAACAATATTGAGTGAATTTCAGAATGTAATTGTATGGTTCTGCTCTTCATACTCTGCACGTAACTGAAGTCAAGGTGCACATCACATGAGTGCTGCTTTTGAATGACTATAGACCCAAAGGCTTTTATATACATGCAAATTATGCCGGCCTATGTGTGACTCAGGGCTGTGAAATTTTCTAGGTACAAGACATAAAAGCCACAGCATCATGTTGCCACTTGCTTGTGACATATAGAAACAACACGTGCGTTTTTGAGAGGACGTATACTTCCACAGTGTGTTTCTGAGAGGAGGAACTTGCAGACTGACCTGTAATGATTGGATGTTGGCATTTCTGCCGCGTGACAGCTTTCCTCTGAGATGCACCAAGACCTGGTTCTGTAAGGGCTCTCGGCACACTGCAAGAGTAACAATCAAAGTCAGGAGCACACATACAGAGTCCATTCATAACCTTTTCAGCGCTCTCATATGTTCCTGACCACTGACTGGAACATATCAATTCAGAAAGGCATCGACTTCATGGAAACCCTGCCGACACGTGTCAGACTGGCCTAAATCTATAAAAGGATTCCAATGAAGAGCAAAAACTTTTTACTTCTTCCTTATAAAAATCGCTACACAGCCTCTTCGAGGTGGTTTAGACTCCTTTCAAAGTCTATTTCATTTGAAATCTTATAAATACATGATTACATGTACAAAGACTGAACACAAAAAAAGAACATTTTGCACCACCTCCTGACTTCAGCTCTCTCCTTGCTTCAAAAATCCGTCTGTAGCTCTTTCTTTGTATCTTCTCGTCTGTGAGATGTGATTCAATTGGGAGAGCTATTAACAGATAATGACTTTTACTCTGACTCACCTGGGTGTTGCTTCCAAAAGCAGGGAGGGCCTGTACTATTCTACACACATACCTTATAGGACTAAAAATCCTTTCAACCTTCTATCACTCATTATCAAGATTTTCTCAGACAGTGACGTGCCAACACATTTTCCATGAGTGCTGTGAAAGTGGAGGGAGCTAGTCTCAGTCGGGTCATCATCTTAAAGGAAAATGAGGAGAAAGCAATGCACTTTGGTCGTCTGGACACTGTTTTACTCAGAGAAATGTGCAAATTCAGTCCAAATAGGTTCAGGAAGAGAGTGAAAAAGGGCACGCTGCACAGTTTCTATAATTATTGGCCTTTTCAGAAATTGCTGTACTAATGAGAGATCTTTGAGACTGATAATTGCAGCAATATGACTCCCCTCATACACACACACCCACAGTTTTCCCCTTTACACACAGAGCCAAGTTCCCCCCTCCTCAGTCACTCCTTTTACTCTTCTTCATGAGTCAACAAATTTTATCCTCAGCACAATCTATAAAAATTGAAAACCTCTCACTCGGTATTACATTATCACCACAGGTGAGCGGTGGGTGGTCCAGGCTTTTAGTCTTTCACAAGGATCCAAACTGTGTCAGAATGGCATTAGCAGCAACCAGCTGCTCATAATTTCGAATACAGCAGTATGAAAAGGTTCATAATTAACACCTCAATCAATGCATTAACAGAGGGGATGTACTGAACTGATGCCGCCCTCCCCCTCTCTCTGATCATCTGCAGCAGATTATGTGTCAGGCACAGCAGATTATCAGATGCAAAGAGTGACATGATCGTCGATCTCACTTATCATCATGGCTGATTATCTTAAATGGACAGAACAAGAATAATATCACAATGCACAAAGTTTGGGTGGTTGAAAGACACCATTGTAACCTACTGAGTAATTGTCCACGTATATCAAACACTGCTAACATATCTGTAATAGGTCTGAATCCCAAAACAACTGTGGACATGAGTAATGGTCAGGCTTTACTTACAGTACAGGTAACCTTTCTATTCTGAAACTGCTTTCTTATTATTAGCTTTCACCTTTATTTCTTCAAAGTATCTCATCCAAATATGAGTTTCATCAATTATCTGGAACAGTTTAATAGAAACAATGCTGTATCACAAATGGTGTTACTTACCAGGAGGACATTAGATTGTGAAGGATTAGTCAAGTGTCTTGCTCATGGACACTTCGGCATGTGTACAGCCCTGAAGTTAAACTCCTGACCACAGCTGCCTCTGAATTATACACTACAGTATCAAGCTGCACACACTGAGGATGACAACACTAGAATACAAAAGATATCCTGTGTGTTTTCAGTGTTTTGTGACAAGGGATGCATTTGCTAGTCATGACAGCAAAGTCGTGCAGCCTGACTTCTCTGTGTCTAATTACACAAACGCACACACACATTGCAAATATGCTAAAGGTGAGAAAAAGTCTCACTCTGAAAAGAATGATCTCACATACTGACTTACTCTTATTCTTGTCTTGTTAACCATTTAAAAAAACTCCACACTTACAATTCTAAAGTTGGTCCAGATTGTTTTTAAAAGCTTACTTTTGTTTGATGACCGACTTTGAGGAAGGGGATTAAACTACTACATTAGATCCAGTTGGTATGGGTCCTACACTACATGGTTATGTCAGCCAAAGTTGCACCAGCGTTTTCCTTTTTAGAGAATACCACTGAATTGCAATGTGAATGATGCTGCTTTAAATCTTAACAGAAAATGAGATTCATGTTGGGTTGAATAAGCTCAGCAAGAGTGTACTTCACCTGAGTGCTGCTGTTTGTTTCCTTTCCAAATCATCGTCTTCTTTTTATTTTGTCATGACTAACTTTTGAATTAAGCAAAAATGGCTAAGACTAAGAATATTTGAAGGCATATCCATGTCAACACCCATATATCTAGCATGAAATGGCAAAAATGCACACAAAGTTTAAAATCTGTTCAAAAATGTGTTTTTGCCTAAATGGTCTATTATCCTTTTTTTCTTGGAATATGGAAATTAGAAAGTTGTGCTTTTCAGTAACTTGCCAAACTGTTTAGAAATAAACATAAAAAAGAGTGGTGATAAAACATGATTTTGCCATAAAAACTCATGGTATGATACTCTTGGTGTATCTGCTATCTCTATCACTCGCCAGCCTATCAGAGCCAAATCAACGTACCAGAAAATCTGATCTCATTTCAATATGTCACCCTCAATTCAAAAGCAATATAATGAAGTAACGCCTTTAAGGTTAATTAAAATCTGACCTTCTCAGGAGAAGAAAAAAAGTAATTTATACACTTCCATTAACATTAAAAATGGAAACAGGTTATTTAACAAACTCTTAGTGAACCATTAATTAATGTTTATCAGTGTAAAAGACTCACAAACCTAATTTCACTGATAAATGATAATCACACCTTCTCAATGATTCATGAAAATGTGTGTGATGTACCTTTATACTGCAAAATCTTGACCCTGACTACATGACTTTGAGTGATGTGTAGGAAGCCTACCTCTGCTCTGTGGGGCCAGTCTTGTGACTCTTTGCTCTCTGGCCCTGCAGCGCTGAAAGCTGAGTGAGCTGTGCAGCTTTCTCCATTTGCAGCTCCAGGTTCACCATACTCTGCTCCTCCTTCAGCCGAGCTATCTGCTCCTGCTGCTCCTTCAGCAGCCTCCTCTGCTGTGTGATGATCTGCTGCTGGACAGTATTTCGTTTCTCGAACCTGCTGTCTGGTGTCGTTGTGACTTCTAAAGCTGTGTTGCTATCGCGCTCCCATCTCTGCTGTGCCTTGTGGCGCTCGGCTGCAGTCAGAGCTGCATGTTTTCGGGTCACCTGCCATGGCTGAGTGGGCTTTGTCACAGCGCCCACAGAGATTGTCTTTCGCTGCACTGCAGAGGTGTTAGGGGCTGAAGTGCCTGACCTGTGGTGATCTTCCTGCGGAGGAAGAAACAGAAAAAATAAAGATGCTCATATGAACATGTAAAAACACAAAACTCTATGAAAAGCTTCAGGGGGGTGACACAGATACAGAGGGAGGCTTTCTTTATCTCAGCTGAGGCCCTGGAGTCCTGATATATAAGCAGCAGGGCTCACATTGACCCCTTCACTATGAACTCCTGCAGGTTTAACTCTATCTCCTGCCCTAATCCTTCAGTCCCCCTGGCTCTGCTCTACAATCCTACCACATATACTCCCTGGTATTCTTTCCATCTGCTCTATACCTTCCCGTCCCCTATAGTTTTCAGCTCATTCTTGCCTGAGTTGTGAATATTTAAGCAGGAAAAGGATGTTTTGTTCCAGTGGACATGCTGAGAAAAGTTCAGGTCAACCCGAGCCCATATGAGATTCAGAAAACAACACTTATGTTCAGTTTAGACCCAAACTTTCAGTCTAATAAGGCTTTCCGGGTGCATCTCTTACCTTGTTTGTCCTCTCTGGTTCGACAGACACAGACACAGCCTCAGGTGGGGCCATTATCTGCTGATATTTGGGGGCTTCTGCAGCCCCGAGTCTGCCTGTTGATGCAGCGTTTATTAAGGCAGCCATCTTGTGCCGGATCTCCTGCTGCTGGGCCAAAAGCTCTCGTTGTTCCTTCTCTGTCCGACACCAACACTGCCACTCACTCAGGCATCGCCTCAAGAGTTGCCTCTGGTAACTCTCTGCGGCAAGCTGGCTCTGTCTTCAGTGAATAGGGTGTGATTGCATTTTTATTTAGTTTACTTGGTCACTAGATATATCAATAAGTTTCTTGTCAGAATACAGCGATAATTAAGATTCTGTTTTTTGAACATTCACATTGTGTTCATTGTTACATGCAAATTTGTACAGATCAACAGGATTGTTTACTGTCAATTCGTATTAGTCCTTGCCTGTTTTCAGTTCGTAGCTCCTCCTCTGTTCTGGTGATTTCTCGCTGCCTTTGCCGAGTCCACACCACTGTCCGCCATGCTCTCCATGCTTTCAGCTGCCTCTTCCAGTTACAGAGAGCCGTGGCCTTACCCAAACGTAGCCGTTGATCCAGAACAACAGTATACCATCCAGAGAAATGCCTCTGCAGACACTTTGAAACAAGCCCCAAAATTCAAACATGCATGCTAAAAATCTGGGTATTTGCATTTACATTTGCTGTGAAAACCTGCAAATTCACAATCCCACACAGCACTGCCCACAGGTCCCTACCTTGAGGTCATGCATTTGAACCTTGGCTTGTATTTTTTCTTGTCTATAGAGCTGCTCTGTGTCCCGCAGCTGCTGTTTAGTAGGAAGTGGAGGAGCTGACTGGAGCCTTCTGGCTGCCCCCTGCCCTTCTGCTCTCTGTCTCTCCCTGTGGATTAAATAATAATGCACTATTGAATGTACCAGAGAAATATGGAGGATAACAGTCAATGCTCGAGGTTTCGATTTGTAAAACCGTTGACCTTATTGGATAGTTCTCATGACCTCCACTATAATAGTTATTGTATTCATAACTTCCTTTTTAAATCCATCAATAAGATTAGCATACCGCTAAAATGAATGCCCTGAAAAATGAAAACTTTGTGAAACTTCCTGCAGTTGGATCCTGCTAATTAATGCGACTGAACTGTCTCATTTTTCCTCCAGTGCCACCATGAAATTGACTTTTATGCTCTTGAGAAAAAAATCTCAACTTCGATTTACACAAGTTTTTTTAAAAGCATCATAACCAGGCAAAAATGACTGAATACCCAGTTGCTACTTAAACCCTACACTGCTAATGACTCTCCAAATAGCTTCAGGGGTTTGGTGCTAATTAGATGCTTCCTTGTTTAAATGTCAAATGAGATGGCGAAAATGCTAAACACTGCACCTGCTAAATATCAGCATCTTGAAATGCTGACTATGGAGTAAAAATCTTAATCTCATGACAGGTCTGCTGGGCACTTTTTGAAGGTCTCTGTCTCCTTGTAGAATCAAAGCATGTATGGTTTTCCCCCTCCCCTCTGAGGAAGGTTTAAAATTGCTCTTTCTGTGATACTCCTGAAACTCTTTGCGAACATTACCTTTATTTCTCCTGTTTTATGAAACTGTATCGCTATGTGGGTGGGATTTTGACCCCTGCCACAAAAGTCAACTGAAGAAATAGTGTCAGCTACCATCATTTATGAAGATGTTTACACAGAAATGTGTTTTCTGGCATTCAAATAGCACCATGCTAGTTCTGGACAGGTTTCCAGAAAAAAGGCAGGTCTAGACCATTCCCTTAGTATATTTTACTTACAAAACCTCAATATCAAAAATGGATAAGATTCAAACTCATCTTATGTTAAGATTTAGTCTTATCCTATCTAAATCCACCATAAGCAGCCTTTGGCAAAGTTACAGTAGCACAGAAAAACTATCTCTAAAGAGACAGAAACCTCGAGCAGAACCAGACTGATGCTGAACAGCTATACTCTTCATCTTGATCTCAAGAGATTATGAGGACTCTCTAAAATTTTAAGTCTCAGTTTTACCATGCTCTCACTCTGGTCTTAGCTAGGGCCCAAGTGCCAGGTCCATAATTTTAAAGTGCTTTAGCATTAAAGTTCTAGTCTTTATTACTTATTTATTATATACAGCAAATAGTTTGCTTAAGCTTGAGGCCTTTGTAACAAAGTGGCTTTCAAGTCCGCTGCTGGTTTATTTTATAGAATTGATAATGCAATGGGGGACTCTGTGGAGGAACCAGGTGAAAGAAACGAGCTTAGATATGCAGACAGGGTAACAGACTGCATGGCAGGGATGGAAAATTAGAAATAACTGTTGAACCTGCTCCTGAGGCTTGGTAAAACACCAGTGAAAGCAGGTACATATTTTTTTCCTGAATGTTTTTCCTTTCAATAAAGCAGAAGTACATTTTGTTCATTTTAAGTTAATTTCCTTGATTTTTTCTTACAGCGCAGTGAATCTCTATCATTGCCGAATCTAAGGAGGTCATCTAAGGACAAGTTTTCATTGTTCTGTTATATAGAAAGCCTGTTCACTCTGACTGAGTTTACCATGGCTCTCTTTGTTCAGGTCCCTCTACAGGGACTCTCCCACAATCAGAGTTTGGGTCAGGGAGTCAGCACATCACAGACTTACTTTTACAGAGATTACTGTCAACCACTGAAGCAGGCCAGATCACAAACAGGACAATGCAATTGGAACAGCTCGTTTCAGATGTGGGCAATTTTCAAAATCACCTCAGCAGAAGGAAGAGAATGGTTGCTGTGGCTACCATACCTCTGTCTGACCATCTGCTCCAGGCCTCTCCTCTCTTCCATCTGACGCCGCAGCCTCACCATCTCCTGTTGCACCATCTCCTCCTGCCTCCTCTCCTCCTGTTTCCTTCTCATTTCCTTCTCTCGCTCCTTCCTCTTTGCCTCCTCTCTGGCCCCACGCTGGACCACCTTCTCTCTCTGTTGCCGCTGCCACTCAGCCTCTCGTCGGGCTCTGTTTTCTCGTACCTTTAGTAGCAATCAGAGGAAGTAGATGGAATGAAGAACAACTTTGTTTCAGAAAGGTGGTCTGCTCCAGAGCGCTTTCAGACCCATATCTCTTATACACCTTGAAGGACTTGGGTCTCACATACCTGCAAGTGTCGGGCATTCATGGTGACAACAGGGTCTCTGAACTTCTTCCTTGTTTGCCCAACATCCAGAGCCAGCTCCTCCATCATCCCAGAGTCCAGCACCTCCTGCTCTATCAGGTCCTGAAGGAAGCTGCTAACAGCCCTCTGCTCCTCTTCCTCTGCCAGACAGTTGTACAACTCTGTATCCAAATGTCAGAGAAGTGTTATAATACATCACATCCAGAGGTTTTATTAAAGCTCCTCATGTTTGTGTCCAATCTGGTGCTTCTTGTGTGTAAAGCAGTACTTCTTATTTCTTAACTGATTCCTGTCTGTACATGTAGTGTTATATAATAATAAGATTTTATGGAATTAATTTCTTTAGTGTTTTATTAATAGATAAATTCAGCATTAAATATAGTTGTTATTTGTTTCTCTCAATTTCTTTTTGGGCTTTTGACATCATATATGAACTTTTTTTTCCCATAATGGCCCAAAATGTCAAACTCGAACTGTCTTTGATCAATTAAGCAATAAGTCTCAGCTAAGTTGGATTGAAAGATCTATGGTCTTGCTTTGTACCATCAAATTTGTCGTATTTTAGGAAAGCAGGTTGGGCACTAGCCAAAGCAATAGGGCTTATCCTCCCTGCAGAACCCATGGAGTCATCCTCTTCATCCATCTCCAGCTCAAGACGCAACTTACTGCTCAGCCAATCCCCAAGAAGAGCCTGAGCTGCATAAAATACATAAAACAGAAAAAAAAGAATAAATATATTTCTAATTGCTGCTGCCTAGGCTGAGCTCTGTATTTTAAGAAGGAAGGAAGTACTTCATAAGAGACACTTCAGTATTTTTTCCATGGGCTGACCCACCTTCACTGTAAGCCTCATCATGGTCTCTTAACTGGTCAGAGCTGTTCAATGGCATGGAGAGGCTGTGGGTGCTTGAATGAGGTTTCTTTTGGAAGAAGACTTCAGATACGGCAAACTCAGAAGCCTTCTCCACACGCTGCAGAAAATGAGAAGACAAACTAAGGATTGTTTTTCTTGACAACAGTCTAAGTGGTGGTTGTTTGAGTAACCATTTAGTCTGAAAAGGAAAGACGAAGTTACAAATATCGTCAATATCAATTTAAATGCTTTTAATTGTTTGTTTTAATTGTTTGTTTTATCTACTGACGCTCCAAACCCAACTGAATTCAGGCTACAATAATACTATAACATGCACCAATATTCACAGCTGCACAATCTCAAGTTTTTCTCACCTTCCTCCACTGGTCGATATCACCATTCTTCTCGTGAATCTGTCCGTAAAAGAAAAACCAATTCAGTAGTAGGTTTTCAATGACACCCCAAATCCCATGAAAATGCTGCTTTCATGGTCAGCTTTGCCAGTTTGAAGATATACAGACACCACGAGCTGTGAACCCAGTGTGCAAATTAAGGTCTGAGCCAGAGCCTGATGTCTGCGGATTATTTCACAGGAAAGCTTAGCCGTTGCCTCAAATCAGCAGATTACCTCAAAATCATCCCCCAGACGTCCAGAAGTTGGTGCTTTACTCAGAGTGATTCAGTTATCTATTTCTCTGGCTGCAGGCTTATGAGTATCTGAGAAAGGCCATCTGAATGTCATTTGTTCCCTCACATAAGCCATATCATATACATAGTCTTAACATGGATGTGCTTCTCCTGAATCCATAAATCCAGGATGGCCTTTTTTTTATAATCCTTGGAGAAATGTCTGGAAAGTTTAAGTAGTGTAAAGATGCTTTCAGGTTTTTTTTTTTTCTAAATAGGAGGTGAAACATTTTGTTATATTTTTGGAAAAGCCAGCCAAAGTTTAATCCCCTCTCCCCCTGGACAGTTACTGTATAAACTTTATAACTGGATTTTGCACAAATCAGGAGGTTTAATTTACCTTGTCAGCAGGTGTTTTACTCTCGCTGAGGCTCCTCCAACCAAACAGGTGTGGATTGTGACCTGGAAACGTCATCTGTTTTGAGATAGACTGCTACTTTAGAGAAACTTTTTTGAGATATTACTTCTTTTTAATCCCGTTATCATTATAGTTTAACCTCAGACCTATCACAAGTCCATTTTCGAAAAAGACTCCTAAACGTAAGAAATGTTGGGAGGTCACTCCGAGGGGCTACAGAAAAGCACAGAACCCTAAAACACAACTGCCTCTAATTGCGGTCGGGTGGAATCCTGGGTAGCGTAGTGTAATAAGCCCCGTTTGAATATGAGTTTTTCCTTCGACGGACTACGAGCCCCAACATTCTTTTGTTGACGTGTCAGCGCTTCTCCAGTAACCATAGCAACTGCAGCCACTTCTCTAAATGAGACAAAACTGTGTTAATATATGCAAAACCCGTATATTACAACGAAAACTGCAAATAATATGTGTATATTTGGCTCGTTAAAGACTTTGGTTCAACCCAATGTAGCAAATTTGTGTTTGTAGGGAAGTGTAACGGTTATATCTTGCGCCGCACATTGATGACGCCATATTCCTGCGACTTGTAGTTCCTGTCAGGCAGTTGTGTACTTTGGTTTATTGAATGATATTTTCTTGTATTAAGACACCTAAAGAATTACAAACGGTATTGTTTTATCTTCGCAGTTTTTGTTTATCATGTGTCGTTAGCAGTTAATGTCGTGGTCCGGCAAAAGCTTGACTTAGAGCATAATAACAAACACGTGTGTAGGCTAGCTAGCAATGAAGCTAATCTCATGTTAGCAGTCATTTTTAAGTAAAGTGTTGCGAAGAAAGGAAGTAAAGTGACAGTTTATCAAACCACATCGACTGCGGGTGCTTCTATGGCTGGCAGCAGGATGAGGCTGGAATTGAACCGTGTGATCCAGGGGGGAGGTCGGCTGGGGGTCCTGAAGGGGCTCGGCAGGACGGGACAGCACTCTCTGGAGATACCAGGGTGTCTGTTGTACACACATTTTGGAACAGTACCCCACCTTACCCAGGACACCCTGCAAACCCTGAGCGACCTCCCCTCTGTCACACAGGTCACTCTGTCCAATATGTAAGCTCAACTCATGCTCACTCACACACTAAACTATCTCTGCAGTTTAACACCAATCTGCATCACTTTTTCTCTCTAGAGCAGAGCACCAGGAGGTGTTGGAGGAATTTAAAGACGGGTTCTGGAAGTTTGCAGGTATTAGTGATTATTCACATGTTCTGTCCTCCTTCTGTACCAAGTGTCTTACAGATTAATGTGTATGAAGACTTGTAAAGAGGGTAAAGTGTGATGTGCCAGCAGACTAAACAGCATAACTCAAATTACCAAGGAGTCATGTCTATGTATGTGTTAGCCTTTCATCTTTTTTTCTTGCTTTGTTGAAGGTTGTTAGGGCTGTCAGTCCCATATAAGTAGGGCTGGGCAATATGGGAAAAAGTTTATCACGATCATTTTTTTCATATCAGTCGATATCAGTATATATCACAATATAAAAATTGAAATTTAACAGTGCTTATTGGTAGCATGTCTTTTGCAATACAATAAGCTACTGCATCTGTGAAGTCTTTGTGTCTCTTAGGCTATGTTCACACTACAGGTCAATTCCGATTTTTTTAACCATATGTGACACATGAGATTTTTTCATGTACGTGTGAACAGTGCAATTCTGATTTTTTCAAATCCGACCCAGGCCTCTTTTGTATGTGGATATAAATTGGATATGCATCCAATATGACTGCAGTGTGGACGCTCAGGCGCGTTCATCCGACCTATACGTCATCAATATGCGACAAACGTCACCATTGTTCGGCAACACAAACAGGCGTGGAAAGCAATTTGTGCTTTGTGTGCATGTGGGTCACTTTACAGTTTTAGGGAGTTGAATCCACACCTGTGCCAGTTTGTGTGGAGTTTGCATGGTCTTACCATGCATGTGGGGTGTCTCTCTTGGTACGTCAGCTTCCTCCTACAGTCCAAAAACATGCTCATCAGGGTAATTGATCACTCTCAATTGCCTTTTGTGGTTTGTCCCCCATATGGCAGCCCTGTTATGGACTGGTGCCCTGTTCAGGGTGTATCCCACACTTCTCACCCAATAACAGCAGGGACTGGCTTTTCCTTGTTCCTTGACAGCAGTGGGGAAAAAGCCAAATAAAATGCTTGGATAAAGAAACCTCACCCTGATGGTCACATCATATTTTCCATCTTCTTTTCAAACCCTGAATCATCAACACAACATGAATTTGAAAGAGTTGAGAGCCTCAAAATAGCCCAAAGTTACCTCTGTGGATTTTTATAAATCTGAAAATCATTCAATGTTAGTAAGAGAAAATGTTTCACAAGGATGTGTTTCAGTAGATACTTTTATCGGGAAATCCCTGCAGCAGTATGTTCTCTTTTGACTCTCATTTCAAATCCAGATTTTAAAGTCTTGCATTTGTGAGCACGTACAGATCTTCAGAGAGTTTGTTTGTAATTTTCAAAGCTGAATTTTTTTTTCTCTCCCTTCTAGCCTTTGAGCAGTGCAAAAAAGTTTGTCTTTTTACTGAAGTGGCTCTAGCTTTGTTTGATAAAAACTAAAATTAAAATCTGAGCAGAATTTGTCATACCCAGGTTTCAGGCTGCGGTAAAGGAGAGGGACTAGTTTGAACAAACCTCTCTGCCGTTGTGCTGTATTTGTTATTCATCCTGGAGTAGAAGTTGTTTTTGAGAAAAGAGGAAACATCAGAGGACACTCCAACCTCAGGGCTTGTAGCCCTGTATATGTATAGATGTAAATGTCATGCATGCACAATGTTCACAGTTACTCTGAAGTGCTTTATGAATAAAATCACACCAGTGTAGTCTGCTGGGGCAAATTGAAATATGTTGCTTTCAATATTGGCAAGTTGACTGGTTCCATGACCCTGGCAACAAAGTGGTGCTGTTCTCGGTAATATTTATTGAAATGCCCCTGAGGAGTGACCCCATTTGGCTTTGCTCTATAACAGTAAGCTCTCCTCTGCCTCAAGCAAAGAAATGCAAAATTAGAATTGTAATCACTTTGGTGCCGCTTGTTATAATCTACCGCGGGATTAATGCAGTCCTGCCTCTTAAATCCCAAAGAGGCAGGGCAGTGATTGATTAATTAGAATTAATAAACACATATCTGCTATGAAGCCGATTGTTAGCTGCACTTTTTGATGATCTGCTGTCTCTGGGTTTGCTGATAAGACCACACCTCATTCTTCTCTATATTAACATGTAGTGATGAAGTGTTCCAGCCTGCCACCTTGCTTTGCCCTCCTCCCGTGTTAGCTGTAACCTTTGATTCGCTTTAATTCTCTTTGAGTGACATGCAGTGATTTTTGTTTTGTGCTCTGTGCAGGTCTTCATGACACTGTCTTGTACTGCTCGCTGCATGACCCTGCAGCCCCCAGCCCCACAGGTTACACTACAAACAAGGTGAGATTTGGCATCATCTTAAAGGGATAGTCCCACATTAAAAGTTTTTCTCTATGTTTTATATGATGGTACCACTCTCAGGTTTATGTGCTAAGCTTGATTGTTTTGAAAGCAATGTCAATGAACTTTTTGTATATTTGTAAAGGCCAGCAGGGGGTGATTCAATGGTGTATTAGATGAATTCCTGTTTTATGCAACAACTTGAGGAGATGAACAACTTCTCACATGGTGAAATGGATTATTAGATACTCCCCTCATAAAGACATGCCTTTAATTCCCAGTTTCCAGTCAAACATTAGTCCCTTATGATGTTAATTTTTAATACTTGGAGCTCTTGTAAAGCCGGAGCAGTTAAAGCTCCTCATATACTGAGGCTTGAGTCCTTGTTGGATGATTGCCAGTTTGACTCCTGGCTGTGACCTTTTGCCACATGTCTTTCCCCACTCTCTTCCCCTCCTTGTCTCCTGTGTCTCCTCACAGCTGTCCTTTTTAATATTAAAGGGATTAAGGCACAAGAAATAGCTTGACATAAAATGTTAATAATAGATGTCAGTGGAGTGTTGTCCACTTCTTAAGTACACTCTGTTTTCCAAAGAGAGATAAAACCGCCTATGACTGGCCTCAAAGTGAAAAAAAATCATAATGTTGGGGTTTAAGCACACAGTCTGAGGTCTAGCTACCAAGTCCTTTTTGTGTTTTTAATGCCATACAAAGCTAACCCGCTACTTTGATTGTGGTATCAATGCTCTCATCCACCTGGAGAAAAACATGAGTAAGGCTTCCTGAGAGTGAAAAAACAAAAATCAAATTATTATTAGCACAATGTTGTTATCAGGAGATGAAACCTTAAATAGTAAGTTTTGGTATTGGCAGATGTGAACACTACTGTTGATATTTAGAGTAGACTAGGCAGTGTACGTATTCCTTTGTGCATGTAGTGCACGTACCAAAAACAAGCTAAAAAGAGTTCAAACTAGAACAGGAGAGACTTGGTGTTCTCCACAATGGAAAAAAATGAGTATCTGTGTATATCAACATGTGCCAAACGAAGTTTGAAATGTTCTACTTGTTCTGAATATCTGCAAAAAAATAATATATAATTATAAAAACCACCAGAGGGACTTTTTCCTCTAATACCTGAAAAAACACTTTCTATCTGTTGTGAACAGACGGTGTCGGTGTGGGGCAGCGGCGGGCGCATAGAGCTGACAGTGGATAAATTCATGGCTCTCCAGAAGACAGTCAAGCCTGACTGGTACCAGAGCATGGCAGACGGAGAGACGTGGCAGAATAACACCTCCCGCAAAAGGGTTCGAAAGTCTGTGGATCGAACCCTCGCACATTTGGACGAGTGTCTGCTGGTACACCAGAAATCAAAGGTGCGGACGAACTCAACCTGCATCCTAAACACACACACACACACACACACACACAAAACACTTTGCTCTTACGTTGGTGGATCAGTCATGCACAGCACAAGCCCACAGGACAGGAATTGATGTGTGGTGTTGCTGTGTTGCTGTTGTTGTGTAGCTGTGCCACGGCTGGAAACACAGTGAGATTAAGAGGAATACATAATCAGCAGGTACATACGGTATCAGCAGGTGTTTTCAGGCGTCTGCTTCAAGCATGACAAATGGAGTCAGCTGTGTTTTTTTGAAAAGCACTGGGCTGATACTTCATTTCATGATAGAGAGAGCAGCGCTGATCATGTATAAAAAGGTGCAGGAGGATTGTCATGAGTTTGACACATAACACTTAAAAAAATAGATTTACATTTCAGTAAAGCCATGCATTTTGAAACACGTGCTCTTGTTCTGGGAGGCAGAATCTGACAGAATTTTGTGTATTTATTCATTAAGCCTTTTACTGCGTGTTTGACTTAACTTCATACTACATTGATGGACTCGTCTGTGGGTTTTATGGCGCCGTCTGGTTATCAGATTTCCTTTAGTTCAGCTGAATAGATGAGCAAACAGCCTCTCTGGGTTTCTTACTTTCAGCCATCTAATCAGTGAGTTGTCTCTTGTTTGCAGGAGTTAGAAGGAGTCGAGGTGTTTGGTGTACTCGAGGGAGGAGATATCCTGGAAGAAAGGCTGCGCTCAGCCAGGGAGACCGCCAAGAGGCCTGTGGCAGGATTCTGCCTGGATGGACTTCAAACAGGCGCAATCGACCAGGACCTGAGGACCCAGCTCATTACTGCTTTGACCAAGGAGCTGCCTGAAGACAAACCTAGGTCAGACCTGCTCATGAATGTGTGAGAAATGTGGTCATTGATTCCCTATAGAAACAGAGATAATCACTTTGACTGAAAGGTAGTCCAGGACTACATTAAATCAAGGAGACCTGTAGGGATGGTATCCAAACACAAACCTCAGTACAGCTACCGTCTTTACTGTCTTGGCCTTAGGGAGGAACATGTAACACAGGCAGGCTTTGCCTCATTCAGTAGTCCAACATCAGCCTGGAGCTGTTTTTTTTTCCCCCTGTGGATCCATGTAGAAATCAAACGAACATGCCTGCTGGGATAAAACTAATGATTTCCAGATCAATAGATGCTTTCAAAGTGATGTATTTAAACAGGTTTCATGGTCAATTAGGGTGACAACTAGAGAAACCATCAGAGTTTAAGTCCGCTGATTAATTTCCCACACAGTCATCAAATAGTTGTTTATATATACAACATTTCAAAAGGGCCAGTGTGTGTTTTTTTTAACTATTTCATTTTGGTTTTGGCAATATATACAACATACAACAGATCAATATACCAACAGTATAAGACATTACATAAGGTAAGGCATAAAGCATAAATTCCCTTACCCTATCAAAAAACAATGAAAAGCACCCGCCCACCCCAAAAAGCGGTCAGTGTACAAAGTCAATACAAACAACTATATTAGGTGCTTGGTGTCAGAGATGTCGGAGATGAGGGCTAAATACGGCCGCCAGATTAAAAAGATATATATTACATTGGGGGATGCAACTACTCATCTCGTAAGACCACCTGTCTATAAAAAGGGGAGAATCAGATTCCCATGACATAGAGCAACTTTAAAAAATCTGAGTTGTGCATTGTTTAGAGAATACATGTAAAGTTCCCCGGTAAACACAGTTTAGGGTAGTTTAGTGGAACACCAACTCCTGTGATCCTGGTTAAAAAGGGCCAGTGTAAAAGTCTTTCATAGTTACATTGAAATAAACTCAACAATAAATAAATAAATTGAACATTTTAACTCTGATTTAATGAATCTTGACTGAGGCATTATCCTCATCCTGTCTGTGAACCTGAAACATACAGTAAGTATGCTGTGTGTGTTTTGCTCAGTGGTTAAATCCACGCACAGTGGCTGAGATTTCCAAAAGTGGCCAAAGTACCCAAAGGGTATGCTCAGTCAGTGTTTCACTATAACTATGAATAACACATGATCACCAGTTAGGTAAATGATTTTATAACTAGCACACAAATTAGTACACTTTGCATTTACTATAATTTGTTTGGCTTTTTAAGTAAATTATGAAAGCAGAGAAGAGTTGTAGTTTAAAATACACTCACTGATCCGTCTGTGTGAAAATACGGTGTGATTCAGAGATCAATTGGACCCCGTTTGCAGGCCCTGACCAATCAGTAAATTATCCAGCCTGATTGATTGCGTGAAGCAGATAAGTGAAGCAGCTCATCTGCCATGCTCCAGCTCTCTCTCTCTCACACACACACACACACACACACACACACACACACACACACACTGATTGCAGTCGTTGGATCGGCTTCTCTTTCAGGATGGAACCAAAGTCAACAATTAGACCTGTTCAGAGAAAATAAAATTAAAGTCAAAGACGGTTAATGTGGGTAAATTAAATGAGATTTTGTGAACAGAAAACATTAAGAGGTTTTTTTTTTTTGGGGGGGGGGGGGGGGGGGGTGCCCATAAAGAGAACAAGTACAGTTATATTTTATGGTTTCAACATGAATTTCTCCTCGTGGTTTTCCTAGATTAAGCACAGGAGCGAGTCTGATACTGTCTCTGCGAGCGCCTTTTCTCCCATTTGACATGAATGAATGACAGCAGAGCTGGAGGGATTAGTGGATTAATGAATCTACTAAAATTAATTGGCTGCTTTTTTTCTCAATAATCAGTATAATTGAGTGTCATTTTAATTTTTTAGCTGCAGTGTCTTGGTTGTAAAGCTGTTCTGCTTCTCTCCGTCTTATCAGGTATGAAAGGAAAGTCTTTTCTTTGGACTGTCACACTGACAACATAAATGAAGACTGGGAGCTGATGAAAAACTCTTCTCTCATACAAAAAAGGATCTTATCGGTTATTTTGAAGACCAGACAGATAAATGTTTATGAAAATGACTGAATGTGGCGGCTCAGAATTTCATCTCACATTATAATCAAAACACTTGGACTATGGACATTAAGATTAGATAGACACTCTGGAAGGAAAAATAAAATGAATAAGAAGAAAAATAGAAGAAAAGTTTTCCCCTTCATCATCTTTAAAGGGTTTGAAAGCTCCTCCAGGGACTTTCTCTCAACTTCCATGAACTCTGGAGGAGATCGAAGTTTGAGAGAAAAGCTTCCTGTAAGACGCTGTAGTTCGCATCCTGGAGCTTCCTGTAAGCTTCACTACAATCGCCTTGAACATGCTCATTTCAAATGGCGTCCCTGCTGGAGAAGATTGTGGCCGTCTGTTGATGCTGCTCCTTTCTAAAAAGAGAAGAGGAGTCATTTTCTGGATTGAGCCTGACCTTGATGGACGCCTGCAGTCAGAGAGTCAGACACAAACACTCTGATGCAAACCATGTCCAGAGGAACCCTGCTGTTGTCTTCTTTTTTCAGCGGCTGTGTCAAAGTGTTAAGTGTGTTATATTCATGTTCATGTTTTCACTTTTCTGCGCCGTGCTTTCTTTTTATGTGACTGCCAGGCTTCTGCAGGGTGTCGGACGGCCTGATGAGGTTTTGGCGTGCGTGGAGGCCGGTGTGGACCTGTTTGAGAGTTTCTTCCCCTTCCAGGTGACAGAGCGAGGCTGTGCCCTTGTCTTCAGCTTCGACATCTCCCCGGACCCAGAGCGCGCAGGTAGAGCGCCCCCTAAAGGTGTGGTGAATAACTATACTGAAGTACAGCTTTGTTTCAACTTTCTACTTGTAAGTTCTTCAGAAGGAGAATCAATATCTTAGGCAGCTGAAACAACGTGATAAGATAAAGTTTAGCTCAAGTTCATCACATATTGACTTTTTGAACGCATTTTATTAACCTTAAGGTGCTCTAAAGACGAAGAAGAAGAAGAACTTTATTGATCCTTGAAGAGAAATTCAAATTAAAATTCCTCCTCTTTATGCTGTGGAGTTTTTCCTCTTTTAAAATACTCTGCTCATTTCTTTCTCACTGAACAGCAAATGTGTTGTTCCTAAAGCTGTCACTGTTTAATTATAAGTTCATCCACACTAAGGTCTTCCAAACTTTTTCAGTTTAGGACCCAAAATAATCCATTTGATATTTCCCTCGGATCCAAATGAGTTTTTGCTTAAACAGCTCACATACAGCCGAAGAAGATGCTGTAATATAAATTCATTGCGTGGCTTTACAACAGACTTGGGTCAGTTTCAGACATCAACATCAGGGCTGGCTGTTTGGTTCAGGTCAGACTCGGGTCAGTGTTTGTAACTTTGTTCAGACGTTATTTGTTGGCTTCCTAGAATTGAGGGTAAATTACCCCCACAGGTAATTCTCAGTCTCTGCTTTGCTTGCACAGGTTTGCAGTCGAAGAGAATGGGGTGAGCGACAGCCACTCACACAGACTCTACATCAATAAATTTACTTTATTTTTAGGTATTTTCCCGTATATCTGAGCTGAACATTCGGAAAGCAGTAATGAACAGGATTCTATTCTAACAAGGATGATTCTGAAAACTGGTGACCTGTCGACCTGAATAAAACCTGTCTGACGTGATTGATGTACACATTCGACTGTGTCAAGAGCTGAAGTGTACACAACCTTTACTTTGCACTGCATGTATCACAGGCAGACACTCCAAGAGGGAATATTGAATGGCTCAGATTATCAGATTTATGGTACGTAAACAAAAGACACGGCAGAGCTCGCTGAATTTATATTAACTCTGGGTCTCAGTGGCCAGGTGAGGAACAGATTCCCGAGTCAGCTAAAGCAAGTGCTGACCTGTGGACAGAGCATAGTGTCAGTCCTGCCTCACTCTGTTTTTACAAGGTTTCCCTCTGTTCAAATGTGGATAATTGCAGATTTAGTCTATTAACTTTTTGCCATTATTGTACGTGCTGCTGTATTGATTGTCACATCCCTCTGCCTCTACACAGTCATCTGCACTACATTGATTTTTTTAGCACAGCCAATCAGATTTAGAGAACACGGTAAAAAGTACAAATATCTCTAACAAATAAGAACCAAATCAACAATCACTTCAGCATTTTGAGCAATGCACAAGGTTTAATTATTGGTGAAGGGGAACAAATAAAGGTTCGTGGTTCAGTTGAACTTCTTATAGTTTTTCTGCACTTCTATAATATATCTGCTCCTGTCAAACCAAATGGTCTCTAAGGCCTAAAGCCATAAAAGAACTTTAAACTAAAATGATAAAGGAAATCACCTCAGAGAGATGGAAAACACCAGTTTTTCTTTCAGAGATTGCAATATAGAAAAGCCTGGAGCGAGCCGACATGCCACAGTATAATTTTGAAGTTTGAGTCGCGGGTCCCTCTTGCCAGATGCATTCAGATGACAATGAAATGTTAATTTAATACAGTGTTATATGATTTTTTTTTTTTACTGTAACAGTGCATGACATTGATTTTGTGCTATAAAAATAGGAAACCATGAGAACCGCTTTGATGTAATTACTGCTGCATACTCACTGATATACAAATTACTAATAATTGAAGCTCAATAATCAGCCCAGCAGGCTTGTGTTAATTCCTATAGGAGGAGCCTGTTATGTTGAGTTGAGAGTGCTAACAGATGTTTCTGGTGCTTATACAAATGTAAATAGCAGAGTCTAATTAAAGCATGTTGAGCCGGACTCAAAGGGTTGGTGCAGAAAGCCTGCAGGGTGAGCGCAGCAGATGAACAGTCCGTAATATTTGTGGAGTAAAAAGGCTGTCTTGGTCTGTGAAAGGGGATCTCAGTGGATTTAAGTACTCCGCATTGATACTTGGTGTCTTCGCCTGCATACAGTTGCTGCTGTTGCTTGTATTTTGTTGCCCCAGGACAATTGAAATAATTGGGTGAAAAGAATATCAGCCGCTGAAATGAAATCAATGGAAAACTTCACAGCAGCTCTGGTTCACAATTAGGTTCAGACTCGTTCTCACTGTAGTCCCAAGTGAAAAGCCAAGGAGTGTAAGGACAAGAGCTGAGGGACTCGGCCCGCTGAGGACTTTGTGCTTCATTAAAAAGTTGCTTTAAGTTGTTGGTCAGACTGAGTGAAGTTCAGCAGCAAGCAGCATGGTTGTGTCAGGCAGTACTAATCGATTCTGCCCAGGAAGCACAATGGGGTTCAGCAGAGGTGAGAGCAGAGATGGTGTCAGACCTTAAATTTCTGATTTAGCCAACTTCAAGGACTTGTGGGGGATGTCAACACCCTCACTTCCGAGCTAAGACCCCTTTTGACACTGTAGCTCTCTTGCTTATTCATCACCCCTCCTCAGCCTACTAAAGTTTGAACCAACTTGTTTTTTTCACTCTTTGTTTTTACTCTGCTGCTCAACTCTAGAAGACAATGAGCACATCTTTGGTCAATGCTTACAAAGATCAGAACCTGATTCACCAAATTAAAAATGAAACACGGAAATAGAACAAGAATAAAATACCATAGAGGAGTGAATTTTTAGGAATAACTATATTTAATAGACCTAGAAAGCAGAATTTTGCCAGTCAATGCTACCATGTTGCATACTGTAGATTTAGCTGAAGTTAATGTCCAACTGTTTCCTGTTCTCTGCATTAAGAGGCTTTATTTTGACCCTGCAACCTTCTTCTAGTTTAACTTATTAAAAATGGTCATTGTGAATTTCCCAAAGGAATCAAAAGCAAATGCAAAAAATTAGTCGTGTAAAGCTGACTATCAGAAGTCGCTTCTCAGAGAATCAGCATCTACTGACTCTGGGGTAATAAGGTGAGCAGGTGACGGCCAAGGCTTCAAGTCCTTTTTCCAATATTTATTTCCTGTGTTAAAAATTTTAATTTAGACTAAAAAGCAAAACTGAATATTTCATTTTTTTTCACTTTTAAATCACTCACCCCTTTGATGATAATTCGCTGTAGATGAGTGGATATTAATTTAGCTGTAAAAACTGCTTTATTTCAACACTCAAATCCATTAACCCTGAATCTTAATGTTTTTGGCAGCACATGCTTATTCACGCTTATTCAGACCCTAAAAATAACTACACCGAAATAGCCAGGATGTACGCTGTTGGTCCTTTTTTTGCTTTTTGTGCGTCATGAATATTTATAAATATTGTAATAAATATTCATGTCTACCAGTTTTATAATCAGCTAAAGGTGTAAATGTTTTTGTTAATTTCTTACTTCATGTAGTTCTGAATGTCTGTGACATGAAATCAGTCTTAAAAGCAAAACTTCAGGGTTTGAACTGTTTATTTATTTATTTTTTACTTCAGTGCTTTCTGCATTTGAAAGCCGAAGCTATAGTCCTGTACATTATGTCTCCTTCCTTTACATCTCTTTAGCTCACTTTGTCCCTTTTATACCCATGCCTATCAGCCTCTCCTTAAGCCACGTATACACATGTCCATTAATACTCGCTTTTGATGCTTTGTTCCGACACTTTGTTGCCCTCTGCTTCAACTGCTCCTGTTGGCTCTTTAATCCTTCGGTCTCTGTTGCTGCTTTTTAATCCACATCTTTAATTATGCAGCACTAAGGTCCACTTTTTCCTTTTTTTTCCTTCTCTCCTTTGCATATATTTTCATATTTCCTAAATCCTGCTTCTCTTATGAAACCGTGGTCTTCATCATCTCTTGTTACTTCTCTCCCTTCTTAAGCCCCCCTGTAGGTAACATGCATATGTTTGAGACAGGCTCTAGTGGTCAGAACATAGCCAGTAAGCAATCGTTTTATAATGACATGAAAAATATAGGTCACAGCAGAGTTATAAAGAGGTCAGACTATTGTTTTATTTTTGCCGCCGCTCTAATTGAACTCTAATTGATCTAATTGAAGAGTGAATAGTTTGTCATGTGCTGGGATTAATGAGATGTATGTATGTTTTTGCAGTGCTGGAGCTGGACAAAGAGAGGGACACTGCAGGGGAGAGGCAACAGAATGGAGACCTGAACCTTGATGATCAAACACAGATGACGTCCTTTGAGATCAGTCTCAAAGATAAGAGGTAATCAAACCCTCTCCAGCAGGAACGGTCCTTTCATATGTTTATTAAATGAAGGATGTACATCGCAGCTACCTGATTGTACATTTTGTTTGAACTTTCTTTTGAACGCTTCTCCAGGTACCATGACGATTTTAGACCCCTGGTGGAGGGGTGTGGCTGCTACTGCTGCAAGAACCACCAGAGGGCGTACCTGCACCACCTGCTGGTGACCAATGAGCTGCTGGCCGGAGTCCTGCTCATGATCCACAACACAGCCCACTATCATGGCTTTTTTGGCGCCCTGAGAGACGCTCTGGCCACCGATAAGCTGGACCTCCTCAAGAGGCGGGTACTTAGAGGGAGAGAGGACTTTGAGGGATAATTTAAAGAGATAGGAGCGTGATTGATCTGGCCGTTTCTCTGAAGATCACTATACTCGCACAGAGGCAATCAAAGCTCTATCTCACACTCCCCTGTTCATTCAGGATAAACTGCGATACTGCAGAGACCTTGAGAATGAGTCACTCCGTATGTCGCTCAAGTCGTGCCTCTAATAAAAGAGGGCAGAGAAGATAAAGACAATAGTTAGATGTTTGTCTCTCCTGTTTCACATCAGGAGGGCTTGTGTTTTGACTTGGGCTGATAGCGAGGACTAGGAGTCTGGGTTTGGTGGCCCGAGAGAGAAAGGAGCAGGACAAGAGGTCAAGAGAAATCAGCATAAAGAAAGCCATGTGATGGATGATGTACTATCGACTCTGACTGAATCCTTGTTTGCCCCCCGTTGTGATCTGATTGCAGGTCAGTGGCTGACTAATATCCTCTGAGCTCATTAGCATAGCAGCACTGACCACAGGGAGCACAGACTTAAGCGACCAGTTATGGGAGGATTGGAAATTGAACATAGATCCTTCTCGTCTCCTCTTACATATCAAAATAAGAAAAATAAAAAAGTAAAATATGATCCTCTTCAAGCTTTTTTCTGTTATTTCATGCAATATTTATCCATCTCCATAAATATTTTTAATGTCCCGGTTGAATTCCTCAATACAGAGAGCTTCTCACACGGATACACATCGACTTCAGCGTGATGATGAGATTGTGTTTGCATCAAACACTCAGCCGCTGCGGTTGTTGTCTCTCCTGGGCTTCAGGAGGTTACCTATAGGTTCGTGCTGACAGCTCCACTGTTCCAGCTGCAGTGGAGGGATAAAGATCAAATAAAGATATGGGTCTCTACTGCCTCCCAAGCAGGCTTTTTGAAGGTGAAGAGATATAATTGACTGCCAGGCCGAGCAGGTGTCTATGGGGGACAGGGGATGGGTAGAGAGAGGAGAGTGTGACAGGTTTAATGATCAGCAATGAGGACTTAGGGGGTACTCCTGGGTTACCTTCAGCACACTTAGCAGTATAAAGAAGACCAGTGTGGAGGGTTGCTGTCTGTTGTGTGGGTGCCAGTATTGGAAATTGGATTTAAATGGGTTTGGTGGATGGAAAGATTTAACACTTTAATCCCTGTGGGAAAAAGAGAAAATATTCCACAGTCTTTTTATGCAAGACTGTTTATTTCAGCATTTAATGTGAAGTAAGAAGATCAAACACTTATACTGGCAAGTCAAAACAGTAGATTGTTAATGGTTAACAGTCTCATTCACGTCAAGACCTGCTATTGATATTTTTACACTCAAACTACTGTTAGTATTCAGAAAAATAAACAACAAAAAACCTCTAATGTCGTTTAAAACTAAAATCAAGGTCTTATTAAGGTTGTTGAAGGACTCAATTGAAGCTTCTGCCAGCAGCTGTTGAGTGAAGTAGCTCCCAGCAAGTCTATTACACCCCACTTAAACCAGTTATTCATGTTGACATATATTTATCCAGCTTGTGACCTTCAGCTGTAAGATGAAGAGGATACCAAGTGATTGTATTGATTAAGAAAAAAAAAACTTGTAGTGAATTTGAATATAAATAAGCACAACAAGCAGAGGGAGGGGACGTGGTTGTTTAAAATCACCTCACTTGACAGCTGATTGCTTTAGAGTGTGTGAAATAGGAAAATAAAGGAGAGAGAAATTGAGTTTAAAAGGTTATTGTTGACAACACAAGGTCTGAACTTTAATATGGAAAGCTTGGCTTCAACTCCTCTCAGTGTGTTGACTGGTCATGCTGGTGGAGAAAAGCCTGCTAACCAAATCACACATGACAAAATGTCAAAAACCCAACAGGTCAGTGAAGTCTACAACACTCTGAAACAGACTTGTATAGATACAAAATATAGATATAGATACCTCAGATTTGCTGCTTCTTTATTTTGATAATCCAGTAATGCTGGAACATCCATATCAGTCAAGTTTGCAAAAGGTCAATGAAGAGCCTCGGTATGAATAATAAGGTCTGTCCCCTGATCAATCCCTCTGCTCATTTGTCTTTGTATTATAGCTTCTTATTTCCATACATGAACTATTGTAATATTGTATGGTGTGCAACGTATCCAACTTACCTCAAGAAAATATTAATAATCCAGAAAAGGTTCTTAAGAATAATATCACGATCCAGCAAACACGAACCGTCTGCACCTCTCTTTTCTAAATACTCCATCTTACCGATTGACAAACTCAATGTCTGTCACTCTTGTTTGTTTGTCCACAAGTTCATCAATAACAAACAAGACCTTCGTGAAACTTACTGAAACTTTTTTACCTTTTTATCCGACCTTTACCTGTACTCAACAAGACAAAGTGGCCATCTTCAGTTACCTTCCTGTCGAACTTCTAGTCATCAGTCTAATATCACTTTTAGAGGACCAAAACTATGGAATAATCTGGATGCATCTCTAAAATCAATATCATCCCTCAACTCCTTTAAAATATCATTAAAATCTCATCTGATCATGTCTTAAACACATCATTATTTGTTATGATCATGTTTCTTTCCTTCTTATGTATACTTATATTGTCTGTATCACTGTTTAAAGATTAGTCTGTGTTCTGTTTATGGCAATTTGTATCTGTTTGACCTTTCCCTACTCATTGTATATTTATAACCTGTCTATGTCCTAGTTACTTAGTCGTTTGCACCCTATGCCTTCACTGCCCTGACGGGAGTGGAACTTTCTATAAGCCTATCGGCTTTGTTCCCTCCTTGCACTGTTTTTAATCTGTGCTAAATGAATAAATACAAATACAAATGCTTGGTAGGAGCTCACAGTAAGCTGTCAGTCATCTTTTGACATCATGGCCGCGGTGACCTGTACTACTTCCAGCCAACAGGGGGAGCTCTAAAAATGTTGGTGTTAAGTTGTTTTAAACAGACAATAAGTTTGAATCTTCACTGAACAAATACACACATGCCATTCATCAACTATTTATGGTGCTCCTGCTGGAACCTGAAATATCATGTGTAAAGTTTTCTGACAATACAGAATTCAAGTTCATGCTTTGACACTATAACATGTAAATTTAATGAGGGATTGTGTAACAGAGGACACATTCCTTCACCTCAGACAACACAAATGTAGAGAGTAGAGGTGCGATTTGATGTAATTCTCTACTGGGAGCATTACTTGACACAGGATATCGGTTCACGCCCTAAAGCCAAATGTTATTTTATAAGCCATTTTTCCACAGTAATGTTTACATCATAGACTGTATATACAGTCTATGGTTTACATCAACTCCTATTCTGTATACATGGCCACATCTTGCAGTGTGTTACATACGTAATAGACATATTACATATCTCATACAAAGCCCTCATCGTACTACAACACCCTGACAGATGTGAGGAGTTTAATCCCCTATCAAATCAAATCAAACAGCAGAGCAATAAAGAAAACCACTTCCATTTGTGTGTAGTTAATATTCCTATCATCCATATGGAGTTGTGTTTGTCCTCCAGCAAATATCAGTCCAGCTTTTACTCTCTCTCAACTCTGAATATGATGCCACCCTTTAACTCTAAGTGTGTCAGTTTTAAATCCTTTTGATGAGGCTCAAATTTCATGAAGTCATTGTCCTTTTTTTTATACTGAGAGCAAAGTTTTTCGAATAAAGTAAATGGAGGATATCACTTTAGATGGAAATGATCTCTACATAAATCAAATTAAAGCTAATGGGCCATTTTAAGAGTTGAGTAATCCTGAGGAGTAGACTGAAGTTGATGTTTTTCTCTGTGTGTGTCTGTCTCGGCTGCACTGAGTGACACTGGCACCATTTCTATGTAAAAGAGCTCTGGATGACAAAGTCAGCAGGTGGCCATCATTGCTCATTGCAACCAATTATAAAGATGGAGAGCTTCTATTCAGACTTGATCACTACAAGTTGCTTTTCTGTCCTTCCACTATTCTGGACAAGTTAGCAGTGTGAGCAGAGCCACACATTTATCTCACACTTCACATGGCAGCAGGATTGTTATCTGCTGTCACTGCTGCATGACAGCAAGAAGAACAAACTCAGCTGCTGTCCTAAACCAACACCAAGTCTCACAAAGGCGGCAGTGTGAGACGCAGCAGGTGTTATTGTTGAGGAAATGATGGCTAGTGAAGGGTGTTTATCGGTGAGGGATTGTGTTGACAGAGCAGAGCATGCATGGTTCTTATAGGAGCGAGAGAGTGCCGGCATTTTTCACTCCAAGAGGCAAGTATCAGTGATGTGTGGAGGCTTAAATTACTTATTTGACAAAGTGTCACTGGAGCAACAGCCATTGACTGATTACTCAATACTCCACCAGGAATAATAAGCATGACCCCTCTGGTGGTTTGTGATTGTTATCGTTTCTTGTTAGAAATTTATTCAAATTAGTGATGAAAAAGTAATATATCCAAGGCATAATGGCTGAAAAAAAGACACAAACACAAACCAAATCAAAAACAACCACATCAAGATAAAAAGCAAAAAACAGAACTGTTACAGAGAAAGAGCCAATATGTGATTGATTACAAAGACTCAAAACAATATACAACATGACAACAAACCACAAAAAAAGACCAACAAAGACTCGAAACAACCACAAAGAAAAGACTGAGATAACACAAGATACTTAAATGTAAAGTGAAACAAAGGGCTGGAAGATAAATACTAAACACAAAGAAGCCGCATGACTACAAATAAACAGAAAAACTACTGTCAGAGCCATTTGTTGTATTTTCTTTTGGGTTCGTGTTTTGTAACCTATTTCAGTTTTAATTGTCCTGTTGCCACACCAGGTGGCATGAAGTCCTGAGTTTGGTTTGCTATAAATAGAAGAAGATGGGATTAGTGGCAGGTGTGTTGGTAGCTCGAGGAGCAAACAGTTTTTTGATCTTCATCTCTACATCATCGCCATTTGTTGGAATTTGCCTTTGTCTTTATTTTGCATTTGGTTTCTTTTATAAAAAAAAATAATAAACAAGGAAAATGTGACTTGAACTAACTGTTTCATTTACACGTGAGAAACAAGTAGGCATGAAAGATGTGTCAACTGTATACCTGGCTATCGTACACCTCAGTGGCTCTTGGGATAGTTTCGGCAGGCGAAATCAAGTCACTACAACTACAAACAAAAGAGACTAACCACCTACAAGTACACAAAACAATCACAAACAGACTTAAAATGAAGAGAAGCGGTCAACAATAAAACAAGCTCATAAGGACACTTGACTGTGAAGGGTGCCAAAGGTAAGTGAAACAAAACAAAGACACAAACATGAAGAATTTAAAAAAATATGCTACAACTACCAAGACAGGCCAAAATACAACAAACTACTGTGATTTTATAACTATAGACACAAAGAGATACAAATGACTTGCAAAAGACTCTATCCATCCAGGTAAAGAGCGGCGGGATTGAATCTCCTTCAGTGTTGCTGGTATACAGGTTGGTTAAGAGGCTTCTGTTGTTGTCTCACTTTCAGATGAAACAATCTCCCAATCTAACAATCTCCTAATACCATCCCCATACCTTAGAGATTGTTCTGCATCATTTCACCTAATCACAACACAATCAGACCACTATAAACCACCATAGTGATGACTCTCTCAGCTGCCTGTGGCCCTCTCCTCTGTCCCCATGGTAACTATAGGCCACCAGCGAGAAACAGCCGTGATTCTCGCCACTCTATAAATAATTCTAACCAGGGGGCCAAATGCCGAATTATCGCTCTGTTGAATTAATGACACGTTTTAACACATAAATTGTCAGCTGATAGTGTTTTGATTCAGCAGGGGGGACAGGCTCCCTCTGCTGAAGACCCTGAGTGAATACTGCAGTATATCAGGACTATGACTCTGCATATCATAATGTAAAAGTGGAGGTTCAAGTACGCTAATGAACTGCAGAGAAGAGGTCATGATTCATTAATGCAGCAGGCGTATGACACACCTCATGACCTTTTGCCCTGGTGTCATATATAGATTCAACAGGATGTGATTTAAAAACAGTGAAGGCAGAATTGTCAGAGATTAAAGATTTTCTGCACCCATGCACATCCAAAACAGGGTCATGTCCTGCTAATAATGGCACATACTGTACCAGGGACCCCCTTGAAAATGAGATGCTACATCTCAGGGGGCTATCCTTCATAAATTCTAATAATTCTTGGACTGTAATGTAACCCGTTTCAAGTATGTTCTTCCAATCATATCTCATTATAACATTCTTATGATTTATATTTACATAATGAACCTCAAGTCATATACAAGTGCCTTCTTCGGCTCAAAAAGATGTGCTATCTTGTTAAATCCTTTCCCACCTTTATTCTATTAAATACACGACAGACAAGATAGTTAACGTTCAATCTGATAAACTTGATTTTTTTTTTTTTTTTGGCAAATATTCCCTCATTTTGATTTTGACATCTGGAACAGGTTCCAAAAGAGTTTAAATCATTGTATTCTGTTTTGATTCATGCCTTTAACAATGTCCCATCTTCATTGGAAATGGGGTTTGTATTTGTTGGATTCAGAGGGTAATGGCTCCACTGTGAATCCCATTTTTGAGGCACAACCTGATCTTTGAAATTGTAAAACCCTCTTTTATTCTCTGGTTCAGGAATAACTTCTGTTATTTTTCTAGCACCAGTGCGCTCACTGCAGCTGCAGCACCAGCTGTATTTCTATTATTAGTATTACCGTTGTTCACACACTGGATGATGCTCAGGGGTGGTGGGGGTGGAGGGACAAAATAAAAATTCGAATATGTCTGAATTTATCTTGTACCAAATATAAATATGTGAAATGAAATCAGCATTCCCAGTTAAGCAGAAGTAACTTTTGTTGTTTTCACCCTGAACAAGTGTAACCAGTGTTTCATGACAAAAATCTTTCTGCTCTCATTTAACAGACAGCTGCTCAGTCTGTTTCACAACTATCTAATACTTGTGTGTAGGAGCTTTGATCCAATATTGCTGTACTTCATAGTTAATATTGCCTAAAAATGTTACTTTATATGTATAAACTTACTTTAAAACAAAAGCATTACAATAATTACACATTGGATTGATTGGATAAAGAAAAAGTTTGATTCAAGGACTTAACTGGACTGAAACAAGACTGGCTTGCCCCGACTGAAATATACTGACATGATATTTAGATTTCAAGTATTATAAGGTCGCCAAAACAGTACAGATACAGATAAAACTTTGAGTCAGATACTAAAAAAAACAAAGTAAAAAATGGATTAGTTGGATTAAAGAGGGAGTGGGAACATGAAGGAATCTTGATTAACTTAACTAACCTAGTAAGACATCTCAATTAAATTTACTGAAAGCTTTACTTGTGATCATTTAACACTTAACTTTGCTTTCACTGACTGTACTCACACTTCCTCAAAAAGTGCAGCAGGTTTTCTCAGGTTTGGGCTGATCATATTTTATACGAGGGGTTTGGCTCTGAGTCAGAAAAAGGTTTTCCACTGTAAGAAAAATGGCTGCACTTCTCGGACAATAATAAAAAATGTTTTTATTCTGACATAGATTTGTCATACAGATCGATCGTAGAACAATTCACCCAGGGATGTTCATTTTTCATTTTTGGCAGCTTTAAATTTGTGGGCGGGATGGACCATCTGTGCAGTGATACAGATCCTAAATGCATGATTACTGTGTGATTTAGGTGTTACTCTCCAGGGAACTAGAAGAAAAAAAAACTCCTTATTTTTTGATAAAACCAAAAGACAGAATCTAATACTTATTCGATAACTTGTAAAGCAAATTTTAGAGGTCAAATGAAAGCTTGGTATCGTAGTTTTTGTGTTTTACTTAAACAGGATTTTCATATTCAATGGTCCGCTGCTTTGAGAAGTCACAGAAAGTTGAAAGAAAGGTTGGCTGTGTGGGGTTTAGTAGGACAGTGGACTGATGAAAAGGCCACAAAGGATTTAGCCTCTGCTGATAAGCATCGGCAGGTGGAGTGGAGAAAAATGAGGAATGACCGCCTCAGTCAAAGTAATCTCAGAGTTGAGATTTTTGCTGGAAGGAGGGAGACATTTATCAAGAAAAGGAGCTGCTGAAGTTTCTGTGAGGCTGTTTTAAAGTTAGGGGATGTGACCATATTCACAGAGTGACCGTTTCCCACTCAGTCAGTAGCCTATATCTGATGATCATATGAGGGTTTTTCTGCCAATGCATCCCAGTCACTTAAGATGATTTTACTTATTACATGGCTCGTTCCAAAAATACGTCAATAATCTTACACCAAATGTTGATTCTGTTATTTCTTTGAAACAAAACAAACCTCTATTGTTAAAAATTGTCTAAAGATTGAGCTGCTCACTGTGTTATATCTGTAGCCTTCTCAAAATATGGTAACAGTCTGCAGTTGTGAAATAACAGACTGTTGCTATGTAGTACTGACCAATTAGAATCAAGTATTTATTACAGCTGTGTAATATTACCATCATCATAAACAAGCCAATTAGCATATGCAAATACAT